CCCCTGCCTTTTAACGCGGCAACTCTGCGGGTGGGGTTGTGTATGTCGCCCAGAGTTGAGTATGCCAGTTTTGTATCTTTAGCTGCGGATTTTTTTTTGGCCGGCGCCCGTTGCCTTTCGGCGGGTCACCACTTGAGGCTTACCCGTGGACCAGCGGGGAATCGAACCACCACCGGCAGTCTGTCCGCGTCGCCAAGAACGACGCCCTACCAACTGAGCCGCGGGGACACCTTGATGTCTTCAGCTGCGGAGTCTTGCCGGAGTCGGACGGAGTCGGTACACCTGCTGAAACGTTTTACAATGAGGAAAAGGGTTGAAGAGTTTCCACTTTGTCACTCCAGACGACTCCGCAAGATGCGCAAGATGATGTCTCTGAACTGTTCGATTTGTTTGATGCCCATTTTTGGGGTTGGAAAGCCCAGTATGTAGTGGTGCATTCACAATTTGCAGCTGCTAAACATCAACTCACCAGGTGACACTTTTCTTTTGTCGGATGCGGCTCCTAATGCGCAGATGAGACAGTATTGCAATAAAAAAAATTGACAAAACACACTGAGTACTGTATGGACCAAGTATCTCCTTAGAAGCAACAGAACAAACCAAAACCTGAGATCGACAACTCGCAATTCCTCTAACGCTGAATGTGAATTCTATGTGCTGCGGAACTGGAGTGACAAGTGTCTGCCCGAAGCGGCTGACTTTTTAAGTGCACAGGTGTGCCGGGGCGCCGCGCCCTTGAGAGAGGCTTTGACTTTGCGAATGGCTTGATATATTTTTCTGTCTCATGTGAGACCAAATTTGCGAATTGCTGACGTCTTTGTTTGGCTGTCCAAAGAGATCTGCCATTCCAGTGGCTCTATGATGCAGATGTTGCCTCTATGAACCAGGTCTTTCCGATCAGCCCATTGCTGTTGAGTGCCACTTAATTTGTGTCAATTTTGGAGCCTTCATCCTTATTGTATACCCACACTATTTTGTAAATAAAGGAGTGCCATCTGAACATCAGCGGCCATTCCTGAAGAAAAACGTTACAGACGGCCAAGTCTGTTTTGCTTTTGCCTTGTGGTTCTTGTTTGGTTTGTGTTGGTTGAATGTCCTCGCACGGTGACAGCTCAATGGATGATGTATCGATCCTACTCAGTTCTACTTTTGGTGCACATTGTCGGCAGAATGATGTTGCCATTGTCAATTCGCTGAGTTTGAAATATGCAACTGGCTTTCCGGCTTGCTTAACGACCTGGCGAGAGCCATATGGCGTTGGACGGAAAAAAAATCTGCAAACCTATCGTAGGTTATGGTTCGGTGTTAATTTACGTGTTTGAGGAAAAACTTGTGAAGCAGAAAAAAACATGTTTGCAGCGGGAAAAAGCTGCAGCCTCCAAAACCTTGACATGCACCTTCTAGCAGTTGTTGAAACCCATTACCTGTGCAACCTGTCAAACCTTGGACACTTTGTCGTTTGAGCTATTGTTCCGTGGACTACTTTGGCCACAAGCACCATCATTCCTCGGCCTCCATGTCTTCTTTCAGGACCATACCCAGTCGTCATCGGCAGCATCTGTGGACCAGCAACTAAGGTCCCGACACCAACTAAGTTCCCAGCTGTCGTGCTTAGAATTCCTATTCCTGCCTGACCTGGGGCACCTGCATTTTACATTGCCGGTTGGCGAAATCGCTTCAGCACCATTTTACCTGCTTCTAGCCTAGTCGGCGAATGTGGTTGCGGCATTCCTAATCCTGGTGGTTGCATCTCAGCTCCTGAATTACCTCCTCCCTGGATCATCTTTTACGGCCCCGAAAATGAGATTGCTGCAGTGACCTTTTTGCCAAAACCAGTGCAGCTTTAACAAACAGCAGCGGCTTTTGCAAGTCCAACGGATCAGCAGGATCCCGGGGAACGGTTGCTGATTGAAGGTCTCCAGCCCCGCCTGGAGCAAAAGAGCATGTTGCCAATCTTTGCCAAAGCACCATATTGTTTGGAATTGTTTGGGTGTTGTTGTCGCAGGCTTTCGCAGCATGGCGTGGGCGAGGTGCCGATTCCGCTGCGACATTGCTGGCCGGATGCCTTTTTTCTGCGCTTGCCTTGGCTGTGGATCGTTTTTGTCATAATTGGGCGTCGCACTGCTCAGTTTTGTTTTGGTCTCTTGATGCGTTGTTTGTTTTTGGGCTCCCCCCTTTCGCGCCCCTAGACTCCTAACGCAGCAGCTTTGCTCGGATTGTGATCGCTCGGAGTTCAATATCATCCGGTTAAAGAATAATAGTATATATTTAAAACTTGATGAATCCTTTGTTTACATTGGGGGAAGAGTTTTTCCGTTTGCACTCCACAGTCTGTCCAGCAGCAGGTTAGCAGTTACACACGGTCACCACAAACCAAAACAAGGACGTGAGGTGTCATATACTGACTCTTCACAGTTTCACAAGGTTTCACCTTGAGGCAAGTGTTTAAAGGTTGTTGTTCCAAAAACTGTTTCCTTTCTCTTTCTATTTCTTCTTCCACAAACAAGAGGGAGACAACACACACCCAATGGATGTGTTTGTCCCCTTCAGACGCCAGTCTCTCATCACAGTGAGTAAGACGTAGCTCGAAGCTACTTGAATAGACTGACATGTGTCATCATTAGGAGGCAAAACAACATCCATTAGAGCAGTGAAGTCGCCACCTGCACAACTTCACACTGCCGTTCAGACTGTGAGTTCAAACTCGTTCGGTCAAAACAAAACACATCACGAATTCTGTTTGCCAAAAACTGTTTCCAGCAACTTCATATGAAAGTTGAGCACCCTATGGCTGAGGGTGACTAGCGACATGTCATCCCTCATTATGGCATTCCTCATCGTGGTACAGTTTATGCACGGAATATTGGTAGACAACACTTTACTTGTTGTTGAACTGAATTCCTGAAAGAAATCAAGAAGGCAAGAATTGAGGTGAAAAAAATGAGGAGGAGTGTCACTTGAACTCACCCCACGTTTCAAAAAGACCGCGATAGCTTGCAACTGCACCAGCACAAGGCAACACGGTAAAACTTTAGAACGTAAATCGCACAGTAATGACAGTGCTGAACCAAGTCATTGGTGTGATTGAAAATCAGTGAGTTGTATGGTGGTCAAAAAGACCTGCCCGTTACCACCCAAAGACACCATACAAGATCCCGAAGAGATTTATTAGCCACACCGTCCGGAGTGTCACCTGAGCTCACCCCACGTTTCAAAAAGACCGCGATAGCTTGCAGTTGCACCAACACAAAGCAACACAATTATTGTTTTTATGAAAAGGACCGTGAAATGACGAGCATACCAAATCACGATGACCACCATGGTCATCGTTTGCAACGTTACCCACGCCCACCCATTGTTCCAAATGCGGCTATTGCTCGCAAAATAACTGCCACTGTTGCACAAATGTGCGGGAAACGAATTTGCGCACAAATTATGTTCATGTTTTTTGTTTTCTTCCGACACTGCCCCGAAATTATTTGGATAAAATATGGAATCACCCATACATGGTCCGCAGACGATGCGGTCAGGATTTGTGTTAACCTGACCATAGTCAATCAGGCCAGTTAATGCCATATTTTCTTGTGCGTGAGTCGTGTTTCACGTCGGGGTCCCAGTGACCCGAATTGGGGGGATTGAGCACTGATTGTGTTTGTTGTTTTTGTTGTTTTTGGTGTTTCGCAAGCGTCACCCACAAAAGTTTTCGGGGGCGACGGTGGCTTGCAGAGTTCGATGGGTTTTACTTCCGTTGGCACCGTTTATTGCAAACTGATTCTAATCATTATCACATGTATGCCCACTTAGCACGTGCGAATTTGCCTATGGTCAGGAAATGATCTGAACTCCCGACACAGTAAAAACATGTAAAAACAAAAAAACATTTGATCACTAGTAGCTCTTGTGTCATGACCACGATCAAACCTTGGCCCTCACGGTCTTGTATAGATAATCCGGTCATGGTCTCTGCAAATGGTTTGCGTCATTCAATCATTTGACAGGTGGGACTCGTTGGGGCTTCATTTTTTCCAAACAAATTGACTTTGGTTCACCCTGTGGCAACAAACCACAAACAATCGTTTAAAAACAACGTTTTGGACAAAATGACGCAACAACAAATGTTTGTTTGGACAACATATTCATTGTCATTGTGTTGAAACACACACACATTTTCATGAACAAAATTGTTGTCTTACAATGTGATGCCATTCTGATATTTGAAAATAAATCGACCAAACATCAAATGCTCACGGAATGGGCAAAAATAACAAAGCAACAAGATTCAACAATCTGGAATCAGGATCATATAAATGTCCGTTTTCCACTGTGTTGTATATAAACAGTTTAGATTCCAACACAACATGAAACGGAAAGTGAAAAATGTGAAAATGAGGCTGAAACACCGGCCCCATGTTTTCAATCACATGTCTTGGTGAATCCAGGCTAGCCCATTGTCAGGTGCGATTGTGCTTCTTCTCATGATCTTTCGCTCCAAAAAAAAGAAAAATCATCGTTGCTGGAGGGCATTGGATTCCATTCGCATTTATGGTTTCAGAGTGCCTTTGAAACGATGCCTGCAACTAGTTTGGAATCAAAATCATGGACAGTGGGGGTATCCCAGACACCTATTATTTTTATTGATCAACAACCCTCCGAACCATCTAATATTGAAACATGTCATCCGTGTGGACACGGGCCAAGAGCAGGCCGAAATCTTTTTGTACAATTTACAGTCCATCGTTAAAAACCTTAAACTAAAATGCTAGGATTTCGAGGATGTTGCAGTGCAAAATCGATTCATGGGGCAGTAAAATTTCAATACCAACACGACCCAATTTCCTTTCTCATTGCACGACATTTGTAATTCTGTCCCACCATACCTTTAATACCTTTGCTGCTCGTTTTTGGAAGTGTGCAACAATGAACATTGAACAAACCAATTCTTTTATTTGTTGACTGTTCAATTTCGATTCGGCCATCTCAATGCCGAAAAAACTTGAGCCATGGGTCTTGCCAACAGTACATCCAAACAGTTTGCCACAAGTTTTGGCGAAGAAGAAACCGTTGTCGTGAGCTCAGTTGATTCTTATTTGCTTGGGTCCAAACAATCCAAACATGCATGAACATTTGCCTACATGCGCCAAGGGCCGACGAGGGCCTACATTGGGAAGTGTTTTGATTGATGGAGTTGAGGCAGTGCAAACGCGAACTCCACATAATTCTCCCATTTGAAAATGATCGATGATGTGAGAACTTCACTTCCATACATCGAACATGTACATGCAATAGATCATGTTACTTAATCAGTTTACGGATTTTTGGATGAAAGGTGGAATTTATGGACACCATTCTGTTGAATTGTGCGCAAGTGTTGTTTATATACAGAGTCAAACGGACAATTCGGCGCAACCCATGTGTTGGGAGGCGGGCAGTTTCCGGCTAGTTGTGGTGACACCATTGAAGATTCAGGCACGCAACCGGTTATGCAAGATGAAAGTCAACATGGTAGTAAACGGAAAGGTTTGGCCTGCACACTGTTTATCAGGTGTATGATGCCCACACCGCCAAAATCCTCGATTTGCAGGTGCTTTGCAACATTTTCCACTTGTCAATTTGCTTGAAAAAAATGCACACATCTTTGCTGATTTGACATGATTTGACTACTTTTGACCTTTCAAAGGGGGTATATCGGGTATATGAATGGTTGCCAAAAAACTACATACAAAAATATGTTTTCCCTGTTATTATTTTCTCTTTTGAACTACGGATTCCGCTGCTCGCAGCATTGAAGTGGCTCTCTAAAACGGCGTCATTCAACAGTCATGTTGCAGCATTAGAATCATTAGATTGATTGAGTTCTTTTGAGTTCCATTTTTTTCATCAGTTTCCATAAAATCCTGAAATCCGCCAAACAAAATGCCTGAATCTGCCGCGATGGCATGTTTCCATGGACTCAGGACGTTTGTATTATTTGATCAGACCAAGTTTTTGTGGAACAACTGGAACAACGGAAAATGTCTCCGTGGTAACGATCCGCGCTAATTCAGATCCATCAACATTGAAATCGTGCAGCTGTTGATTCTGTTGACAATTCTTCCCCGTCTCACATTTGCCATTGTCAATTGTCATTATATTATCATTATACCCATGACTCATTCAGGAGCTGCTTGCCGTTTAAGGCATTGCTGGCCGAAAAATTGTGCCGTGAAGGTTCGGACTGCAACCTGCTATATCGAGCTTAGATACCGGAAAATTTGATTTTTGGGAGTAAAAACTGCAAACGAGACATGCCTTAAGAGACGTCAAAAACATTTTGTACCGACATGTTCAATATTGTTTTTGTAATGATTTGACTTGACATTTTTACCGGGTGATGATGACATGTCACTGATGTTGCAGGTTCTGCAGAAGTGGAGGGCAGTCTTCGATTCTTGGTTCATTAGCAAATCCTGCTGGCAATATGGGCTGTGCTCTTCTTTGAGAAACTTGGGAGCTGGAAGCCGGCCGCCCAAGTGCTGTACACATTTTGTGAAGAATCTCTGTCATGGGCAGTTCTTTGCTGCCCAGAATGGTGTCGAGGAAACGATGATCTCGGGGACTGCAAGACATCAAACTGCACGACTTGTGGTACCTTGATGTGCAGAAGGGAATACCAAAGTTTGGAGGGCGAGACAGACCTGTTTTTCAACGCTGGCACAGCATGGTACCAGTTCCTGGTACTTCACACAAACAAATTTGTGAGAAAACTTGGCACAAGAAGTTACAGAATCTTGCACTTTCTTCTATTTTAAAGATTTTGTAGGCTTCCATTATATAGATGCCACTGGTGTCTCGGGGTTTGCATAGCATTGCTTGATTTCATTTTGTTGACTAAGATGAACTCCGACTGCAGGCCGGGTTGTCTTCCAATGGGATTTCAAACCATTGCAGGATCTGAGTTTGCCGATGTGTTCTGTCCAAGACAGTAGACTCTCAGTAGACCTTGCATCGGCCAAAGGTGAAGTGCTTACAGGAGCAGTTGGCTGAGATGTCGCTCCCTCCAGTGGAAAAAGATGCAAAGATCAACAACGATTGCAGGGTTCCTAGAAAAGTTGAAAACACATTGCACAAACTCACCACACGCTATGAAGAGGGACGATGGAGTGATGGAGATTTATGAGAATATGTTGGCCTGTCAATTCTAAATCTTGGATCCAGTGGTGCAAGAGAGAACAGGAACAGGTGCTGATTTGTATGTATATATATGTAATATTGTATATAATATTATATATATATTATATATATATACATATTATAGACAAACACTTTGCAAACTAGGCATAAGCCAACATTGTGATGCTCTTGACCGTCTTGACCTTTACCAAGGCGTCGTTTGTATGATGCAGCCACGTCGCTATGCCTTTACCCCTTGTGGGCATCGTTGTGTTTGCCATATCTGTGCTGTGGGCGTCACCCACATGGAAAGAAGATGTCCCATTTGCCGTGCCAAGGCGCCAAGGGACGTCACAAGTCTTGTCATCTCAACAGGATTCTCCATGAGACCATCTGTTGATTGAAATCATGTTGAATGAACTGAATGAACTGAATGTTCAATTATTTTTGTTGTGAGTAGATTCCCGTGTTCTGAATGGCAGGTCGTGCGGATCTTGAGGATTGTGGACCCTTGAATTCTATCAAAACGTATCAGTTGCATCGCCGGCGTAAGCCCCTAGGCTTTGCAGCCAAGCAATGATCAGGTAACTGAAGATTACTGACAATTGATTTGCAAAGTTGGCTACAACATCCAAAGAACACACAGTTACGGCCCCAAGCATTCCATAATGTGTGATCTGTGTCGTTCCTTTTGGATCATCGCTTGGAGGCTTTGTTTTTTCTTCCTGGTATCACCAGCAGTTGTCAGCATAGCTGCAGTAAGCCTTTGCATTATCGGATTATCCAGTACTTTACAGACGCAATGTACTCCACAACAATTCTGAGACTTGAACTCCTGGCATGCTATGATAATCAATGGGCTGGTGAAAAGCAAAGAAAGCTGTCATTGATTTCTTTGCACCAGCACAATGAACACAGTTTCTGTATCCCTAGAATGGCATGGGCGATCCTTGACTTTGTTCAGCACTGTAAACAAGATGTGCGCGTTTTGTCAATGAAAAGGCACAAATGACCGTGCTCTAAGACCGGATTGCCTGTGTCTCTTCATGTTTTTTACGCCGAGATGGCACAATGTGACAAGTTCGTTTAGTTCTGCGCCTTTGTCTTAAGAAATGAATCTCGTTTCGAGACACTGGTGAGAAGAGACTTATTGGCGCCAGAATTGTGATGAAGGGCTCTGAGTCCTGACAAAAGACGTGGAATGCGTTGTTTTCATTCCTTTGCATTTTGTCTCATGCAAAATTATGTCGGGATTTCACTTAATCGTGAACTTGTAAATGAATTTGTTTTTTTCTTTGCGTCCTATATTTCTTCAGGATTTGGTCCCCGCTTCCTTGAGGACCTGGGAAGACAGAGCCACAAAGTCCGCAAAATGCATCATGTAGTCGATGTAGTCGGTGTAGTGGGTGTAGTCGGTGTAGTGGGAATAGTGTTTTGTGTAGTGCAGACCTGTGGTGTGAGAGGAGCCATTTGCCCATGACCAGCTTCTCTGTGGAGGCACGGCTCATGCTCGAATGTGATCGAGTTCATAGTCGGCATCTGTTGCTTTGTCCTGGAAAGGCTTGTTCTACAGTGTTCTGCGGGCTTTAGTAGAAATGTATGAATATATTTTAATATATATATATATGTATATATATAGTATGTATATACATATGTTTTTGGGCAGTATGTAAGTAAACCAGCAGAATCACACACAACATCACACAACAGTGCCTAAGTTGAGAGCAGTCTCCAAGGGCGATGAACTGTTGGCACAGCGAGTTGTATTTCCAGGCTGAGTCCTCCTCATCGCGTCGAATGGCAGTGGGCTGTCAGGAGACACATTGACATGGGTACCCACAACAAGTTTAGACAAGGCTGCTTTGAAGAGACACATTGATATGCTTTCATAGCTATGTCAGGAGGGTCCCTTCAGTCATTTTATCTTTGCGTCAATCATCTTTTTCCACAAAAACATCCATACAACTACACTCTTCACCTCTGTACAAAAACGGGTTGTGGCTGCATCGCCAGCTCTTAGAGGACGGTGAGGTCCTGATTTTCAGCCTGGAGAGCGACACTGCCAAGCCGCTTCGCTCTTTCCACGTTGAGGACAGCTGAACTCCGATAACTCCACGAGTTTGAAATCGATTCTCTACGAGGTTTTAAAGTTTTTTAAAGTACATGCGATATGCATTGATATCACCAGGTTTAGCATCCAATGACTAGGCTGTCCTGCTGTAGTGTGCCAGGCTGGTTTTTGTTGCATCGGCGCATCGAGCTGGTTTGCCAGTTTGCCCTTTGAAGGAGGACTTGACCAGCGAGTCGAAGCACGCCTTGGCAAAAAGCATCCTGGTAAGAAACTCATTGCAGAGACTTTGTGCAGATGTCATTGGCATTAGCTTCTGTGGATCTTCTGTGGTCCCAAGAGTTGCACTTCGATGCCATGGCCAGATTTCAGGCGCTACACCTCCATCAAGGCTATGTCTTTGCAGGAACTTGTGGGCGATGTATGTGCAAGGCTCTCAGCAAGTAGAGCAACGCAAAGCATTATGCAGATTTTGCGGTTCCGGTCAAGGTATTCTGAGGCATTTCTAACTTTGTTAAAGCGTCTTGCTGAGTCTTGCTGAGTCTTGCTGAGTTTTTCTGACATTTAAAACCTTTGCACCAGGCTGGAATTTGGATGATGGGGAGCTGCTGCATGAGTTCCACCTGCCCAGTGCAGGACCTAGTAGAACTATCGGATTCTGTGTTCTTTCGAAACTGTGTCTCTCACACCGCTCTTTAAACTCCTCTTGAGCTAAAACTCTTCTGGCAAGGTTCGGATCATCCTGTATCTGCCAGCTCGTTGGTAACTGTGGCGCCGGCGCGGGCAAGTTTTGAGATGTTTCCGGAAGATCCCGTGTTTACTTGATTCGGGATTCGTCTTCATAGGTGAACTTACAGAGTCCAAGCATCCCTGTCTCAATCTGTCTCAGGAATCTGGCCTGCAACTCTGGACAGGACTCGATGTAGGCTCAGTTGCAGTGTTTGAAGTTGAAACGGGCAGGGTAGCCCAGTTCTTCCGAGCATTCAGCATCGACAGTGGCGGCAGCGTCTAGTTGCAGAGTCTGCTACGTCTCTTTGTGAAAGAGAGCAAACGGTGACTCTTGAGGCATGCTTGTACGGAGTCTCCCTTGTGGTGGTCCGGAGGCCGCTTGTGAAGGATTTCTACTGAATCTCTAGGACTCTAGGCATTCTCATCACAGTGCCAGTTTGTATTTTTGGAAGACTCTGGTGTGCAGATGGTCGTTGCCTTGGCGTTCTGCGAGAAAACCTCCGTCGTGTTTGCACTTTCTGCGCACCGGCAACGCTGGCCTCAGTTGCTAGTGATCTCATATGTAATTATATATACGTATATGTATACAGTCAGTTTCAGTGCAGTACATATATATCATATATAATTATATATATATTATGCATGATATATATGTTGTATACATATATATATAGCGTACAAATACATATATATATATACATGTATATATAAATATACGTATACATACATACATACGTAGGTAGGTAGGTATGTATGTATGTAAGTATGTATGTATGTATATATATATACATATATTTACATATATATTTACATATATATTTACATATATATTTACATATATATTTACATATATATTTACATATATATTTACATATATATTTACATATATATATACATACACACATAAACACATAGACACATATACATCTATACATCTATACATCTATACATCTATCTCTCTATCAATCAATCAATCAATCTATCTATCTATCTATATTATCTTATTTTATTATCTATATTATCTTATTTTATTTTATATTATCTTATTTTATCTTATCTTATCTTATCTTATTTTATCTTATCTTATCTTATTTTATCTTATTTTATCTTATCCTTTTAATCTTATCTTATCTTTTTAATTTTATCTTTTTTTTTATCTTTTTTTTTTTATCTTATCTTTTTAATCATATCTAATCGTTTTCATCTTATCTAATCTATCTAATCTATCTAATCTATCTATCTATCCTATCTACCTATCTATCCTATCTATCCTATCTATCCTATCTATCCTATCTATCCTATCTATCCTATCTATCCTATCTATCCTAGCGATCCTAGCGATCCTAGCGATCCTATCGATCGAATCGATCGAATCGATCGAATCGGATCTATTCGGATCTATTCGGATCTATTCGGATCTATTCGGATCTATTCGGATCTATTCGGATCGAATCGGATCGAATCGGATCTAATCGGATCTAATCGGATCTAATCTGATCTAATCTGATCTAATCTGATCTAATCTGATCTAATCTGATCTAATCTGATCGAATCTGATCTAATCTATCTAATCTATCTAATCTATCTAATCTATCTAATCTATCTAATCTATCTAATCTATCTAATCTAATCTATCTAATCTATCTAATCTAATCTAATCTAATCTCATCTAATCTTATCTAATCTCATCTAATCTAATCTTATCTAATCTTATCTAATCATATCATCTATCTATCTCTCTCTCTCTCTTTCTATCTCTCTCTCTCTCTCTTTCTATCTCTCTCTCTCTCTCTTTCTATCTCTCTCTCTCTCTCTTTCTATCTCTCTCTCTCTTTCTATCTATCTATCTACCTACCTATCTACCTACCTACCTACCTACCTACCTATCTATCTATCTATCTATCTATCTATCTATCTATCTATCTATCTATCTATCTATCTATCTATCTATCTATCTATCTATCTATACACACCTATATATATATATATACATACATACATATATACGCAGTATATACATATATATATATTTATACATATATATTTACACACACATATATATATATAAATGTTGTGAAACTTTGGATTCACACTGAAGCCACTCCAGAAGGTCTCTGGAATATATATATATATATAGAAACTTGCTGTGGCTCTGGGAATAGAAATCTTTGACAGAAAATGAGAAAGAACCTTCAGCTTTTTTACGGAAGCCATTTTCGCGAACGCAGTGAGAGATTAGGGGTCTGGGGGGGCCGGCACTTTTTCCAGTCTCAGTTGGTGTTCAGGGTGTCAAGTGGGACTGTTTTGCAGGGTAACGTACGGGGTGGGAAATGGTGACGGTGGGTATCGATTCCCCCCTGGTCCGTGATATTGGGGTTAGATTTGGGGGTTAAATTGGTAGACAAATACTATGGCTAAATAAGTAGACAAATAGACAAATAGATAGATCAATGGATTGCCAGGTAACGGATGGATGCAGAGCAGACCGAGAGGGGAAATTCATCGATAGAAAAGGAACACGTCGTTTTTGGATCATGTTGGGACCATGTTGGGCGTATATGGAGCCTAGGTTGGGCCTATGTTGATCCATGTTAGGCTCCTGGAGGCTATGTTGGGGCCATATTGGAGCCATGTTGAACTTATGTTAAGCCAAGAACGGCGTGTTCCTTATAAGAACTCCAATTTTGATTCAATTTTGAAGGACGCGCTGGAAATTTGCTGCGGTAGGGTATCGATTCCCCCTCGGTCTGGTTTTTCCTGGGTGAGCTCAGTACCCAGTCAGAGAAATCGATAGAGCGAGATTGCTTAAAAGACTAGAGATACGTAGCTGACCAACAGAGTTTTAAGAAGGCGACCACTGGAGAACTCCAATTTTGAAGGTGCTACGCGCAGTCGTGATGCTTGCGGGTTTGCTGCAACTGGAGATCTCCAATTTTGAAGCAGCTGTTCTGCGCAGGAAGTTCAATGCTCTCAGTCGTGATGCTTACGGGGCTGTTCCAACAGAAGAACTCCAATTTTGAAGGTGTTATACGCAAGGAATTTGCTGCAGTAGGGTGTGAGTGTTTTACGGACCATGCCCTAGCTCATCCCCTTAACTCCAGGGGTGAGGCAGTGGCCCGCCTATCCGTCTAGTGTTGCACCCGGGTATTGAACCCGGATTTGACGCAGGATGCGTCTTATTCACTAGACCATACCGGCCCTCTTGCTGCAGTAGGGCATCGATTTCCCCTAAGTCCGGTTTCTAGCCAGTTAAACAAATAGACCGAGAAAAATATATTGCTCGAGAGACTGAAGGTACGTAAACCAGCAACAGAGTTTCAGGATGTGTGCCTCAAAACTTTCTGTGCAGTTAGGGCTACGCTACAACTGGAGGATTTCAATGTTGAAGGTTTACACACAGGCAATTTGCTGTGCGCAGGGGTTTTCATTATGAGAGCTGGCTTTCGTTGCCCCCTTCTCAGGTTTTTGAAACGGATGCCTGGGAAAAACTTCGTTTTCCTCCATTATTTTTGGGCTTCTCCATTTCTGCCTCATCAGCATTTCAACCCAAAACCGATTTCGTATCATCCCAGAGTTCATACTTGATGGGTTTCGCAAACCGGCCACGTACCTGCATTGACGTTTGTTGAACTCAGTCTCTTTGGGCTCTTGGTCATGTGTGCCCAAAAAGATACGACACAAACAATTCTAGCATCGAAATGCGCAGAAAGACCCACGAAGTAGGCCCCCGTCGGCGGATACTGGCGAATATTGTGTTAGGAGTTAGGATGTGCTAGGCTAATCCAAGTTAGACGCCAGGCGAGTCACCATTTGGGACACAGACTTGTATGCTTGCCTGCAGAAGTACCCTGCAGAGTTGATGACGTTTGGGTGCCCGGTTGCTCCTTGTGGCTGAATCACATGGCCACATAGCGCACGTATGTTTTGGCTTCAAATGAACTGTGACACCCTGAAATGTCCGGTTGATTTTGGGAGCCACAACATTGTATCACAAACAGCACGCCAAGTCTTCGAACTTTGCAAACGCATTCTTACTTTGAAAACATGTTTTTCGTTCATGGTTGAAGCAATGTCGTTGTCTCGAACATGATTCACCATGAACAAATGGGTTCAATGTTGGCGTTTGACCCGTCCAGGTGTGGAGCCGATCTGAGTGCCATGGGCGCTTTCGACATCCCGAGCATCAACATGTCGCTTCTGGTGCTGGCGGCCAGTGCCTCAGAACTTGTTTCTGTTGCAATACCAGGGAGGACTTAATGTCGAGATGTTCCCTTTATATTGTTTGCGACTGTTTGCTTGTGATGTACACGTCATATTTTTTTCCTGCAATTTTTACTCATCATACGTCACCATGATGTGTTGCATTTCTCTTCAATGCACCATAGACTGCAGGGAGTGGACGGCTCCCTGTGCCTTCGTCGCATCACACGCAGGGAAGACAGGAGAGCTCAGGGTCGAAACAAAAAACCAAGGATAGTCCTGTTGCTGTCTATGGAACCATAACAAGAATCCGACCAGATGCCATCAATGGTTTTCAATCTCTGGTAAGCGCAGCGATTGGCATGTAAGCGTTTAGAACCCGGGCTTTCAAAGCATACATGCAATACAGATGAATTAGATCGGCAGGAAACTCAATTGCATCCTGCTGTGGTATCTTGGAGCTGAATCCGTGTCTTGGCTGCCAAATGATCTGGTGCTAATTGCTAATGGGCTAATGATTCAAGACAGACTTTCAGATTGGCTTGAGTTGTGCGCGACGCTTCATCTATGAAGAAACGAATTGCAGTGTGCTGTGCAAATGTCATGTGTAGAAATTCCAAAACCCGAGGAACACACACAAGCAGACAGACACAAGCAGACACATTTTAGATCATTTTAGCGACCCGGAACGCGTCGGAACGCGTTTTTTCTCCATTTTTTAGCAGCCAAGCACGCCAAGCTCATCCGAGCTCAGGGATGTCCGATCACCGCGTTGGATTTTCACAGAGCAACTGAAACGATCCTCTTGGGCGATGCAGTCTCTTGGCAGTGAAGGCAGTCTGAAAGATGTGCAGGACATAGCAGGACATAGCAGGCACTCACCAAGGGACCCAAGTGACCAAACACCGCTTTCTCATGCTTTCTGTGTTTTGAGGTTTTCTCTGACTGAATTAGCCATGATCAAATCCAGCTTTCACTTCTGAAAGAGACAAGACCTTACCTGCCCCATTTGGAAGACACCTGTTGCGTCAAGCACTTTGTCCTGTCAAAGGGCTGCCGAGTGCAACTGCAGAACATCAAAGAGCAAATTTCAGAGGTGTCTGGGCTAAAGATTCATTTCTTGAATCAGTTTCTTGGGCTTATGCATAATTCATTAGTGTGGATGGTAACATAAGCAACGTGTCTAGTTTGACACGGGGGGGAATGGCATCGAGGACAACAATCTGTCTGTACATGTTATCCAGGCTCAAATGATCCCACCGCGGAAGAGCACGGGTCCAAAGAGCCAGGACTGGTTGCGGAAGAATCCACTTGACAGCCTTGTGGTGTAATCTTTCCTTTCCGTCTACTAACTTGCTCAAAAACATATTTTCTTACTGGCAACAGACATCGGGGATGGTTCTACTCCAGCTTTGGTGTTTGAACTTGAGGAAGCAGAAGCAGAGACCACCACGGTGGACATAGGCGCTTTCACTGCCGGAAGCCTGGAAGCGATGTATATTCACATATCAAATCATCAAATCAATGTATATAGTACTTTATAATGCCTTCTGCTCGTTGAGGAGGCATCGTCCAATGAATTTGCCTCATTCGGCCTCATTGGCGCAAAGTCATGCACCAAAATCGGACCCTTCTCCGTGAGATTAGCTCCAGAGGGAGACTCTGGATTTCTGGTTACCAGGAACCTTCACATCCACCACTGGAGTTTTGGAGAGGTGAAGACGCTGAACCTCCTCTACCAGCTCCAGCATATCCGCCTTCCCCGAGTCAGGTTGGAATAGAAACGGGATTGTAGCCATGATATAATATATATAATATATATAATATAATATAATATAATATAATAAAATATATAATAATATATTATAATATAATATAATAGTATATAATATAATATACAATAATATAATATACTATAATATACTATAATATACTATACTATACTATAATATAATATAATATAATATAATAATATATATATAATAATAATATATATATAATAATATATATATATGTAATATATACATAATATATACATACTATATACATACTATATACATACTATATACATACATACTACATACATACATACATACATACATACAGACAGACAGACAGACAGACATCCATCCATCCATCCATCCATGCATGCATGCATGCATGCATACATACATACAAACATAGATACATACATACATACATACATTCATACATATAAAGACCTTGGAGACCTACAGTGTGTCAGTTTTTGGCACTTATTTTCTTTCGCGAACCGGAACCCAAGGTGAGTCCGGCCGGGGATGCAAGGACTGCCAGGACGGAAAAGAAGGCGGGGCTCTCAGCCGGTTGGGCATCTCCAAGCAGGGCCTAGCGGTGCTTACCACACCATTTGGTCATGTGGTGATGGGCATTTGGGCCTTTGTGAGGCCTGCTTTGTGTTGATAGCTGGTGTGACTGGTGTGATGTTTGTGGTTTCCTTGGCGGTGTGTTTGCACCTCCTTTGTAGGGCGGTATGGGTTGTCTTAGCTTCTCAGATGGTTTTTTTGCAATCCGTTCTCGGAGTGGAAACTTCAATCTTGCAGTGATATAGTGATATCGGTGTTTTCTTTATATATTTGTCCATAGGTTCCTTCGCCTGTTCGTTTGCATGACTTGTGATGATTAAAGGCATTTGATCTTCTCTCGCTCAAGAACAGGGAAATGAAGTGCATCATCTTTGAGTAGTTGGCATGGTAGTCACTATTTTTCTTGAGCATTCTCTTGACATCATGAGACTGTGCCATCTTCAAGTGTGAAGGGTTGAATTTGCGCCTGGTGGCGCTTGCAAGCAGCACATTACATGAAGGTCTCAGATTGTGGACACTTGAGACAGCAACCTCGTGTCATGTGGTGTCAGGAGACTGCGCCTGGATATCCCAGTGCTGATTCAGCGGCCTTTCCTGTCTTCAATGGCGGTGATGCTGTTTGAGTCATTTGCCTGATCCCTGGCAACAAAAGGTGATTCAGGCTTTGCCCGTGCATTTGGCCACGGATGTCCTATCTACTGTAGTGAGAGAATGTTTTTTTCTTTTGTAGACTGAACATGTGATGAAAACCTTGCAAGCAAAAGGTCCAGAGCAAAGCCTTGTGAGCAGAAAGGACCAAGGAATTGGAAGCAGATGTGTACGTGCCATTTGCACAAGCTTGCTGGCTCAAGGAGTGACATCCGATGTTGGATTGAGGACACCATACCAAACTTTTTGCAAGACTTGTTGTTTCAAACCCGAACCACTTTGTTTAATAGCTGAAATTAGAAGCAGTCCGCAACTTGTGACTGACCTTGGAATGCCTTTAACTGCTGCATCTTAAGGACTGACAGTGGTATGACTTTTTCAGGCCCTGGTGCACAACCGGCCTATATTGCAATGCAGAGATTCCTGAAACATCCTGACAGCAATCAAAGCAAGGTTTACTCAAAAAGTCTCAAAAAGCTAAAGCAAAAGGATCCCAAAGAGGATCATTGTTCGATTTGTCGATTGGATTCCATTTGGCCATGGAGCCTCGTGGCCGTCAGGAGGAGCTGGGATGCATCGGTTAAGTTCAGCCCATGAATTTTGCCCATCGCACCATACGACACCACAGGACACAACTGCGTCGGCTCTGAAATGTGCAGGAAGTTGTTTTCGAAACACCTGATCCTCCTCAGCGTGCAGTGCTGTGCTTACGTTGTTCATCGTTGAATTGTCATTCCGAGTCATTCCGACAGGCGCTTCGCTGTAGCTTAGTGGAAGTAGGAGTCTTAGAGCTTCAAGGTGCCATCCACAGCTCCATCGAAGGCAATGGCGGGTCGTGAAACGGATGAATTCGGATAAACTGCAATGACAACGGAGGGTTCATGAGGCAAGACTGCAATGTGCAGTAGACAATTAAATCAATTAAATTGACAAGAGATTGACAACAGAGATACAAAGTAGGAAGCAGAAACTTTGAACGATTCATTTGAACTGGACGGCAATCTCCAGAGTCACTGTGCAAATGCTGACTCGGATGCTCTCCAACACTGCCTTGCTAGATGCGTGCTTGTCACGTCTTGGTTGAGAAGCCTTTTTCCATCCTATCCTTTTTCATCAAATTGCATGACTGCTTCTCTGCCGGAACAGCTGTGAGTCAAGCTTTGTGATTGATAAAGACATAGGTTTTGTTTCTTTTTGTAGAATTAGATAGTCTGTGAATAATGGAAGAAGGGTTTTGGAGGTCAATGAAACCTGTGTATGCCGACCCATGTGGCACAGGTGGCTGCAGAAGCTGGAGCCTCAGCTGACGGCTCTGTGAGTTGAAGACCATAGAAATCTATAGAAATCTCTTGCAAATCTATGCAGATGTTCTGTTTGAGCTTCTCAGCTCCATGTCCATCAGACAATACCATCGCAACTTAGTGTTTGACGCAAGTGGAACTGAAGCTTGGTGTAGTGCCTGGGAGACCACGCGAGACGTGCAAAAGTGCAATTTCCTTAGCCAGACACACTGGGGACTACTTGCCATTGTCCCCTCACCTTGAAGTTTCCTGATGCTTCACAGAATGGCCGCTCTCGCCAGGGTCTGGACACGTCCGCAACGCGGGTACAAGATGCCTTCGACACCTTTGCAAAGAAGGAGGTGCATCTTGAGATTGTGCCCTGCAGATGGGACAACAGTAACAGAACAAACACCCACCTCGACAGGCAGCCAGTTTTTGCACTTGGAAAGCTGTTGAGTGGCTCGCATTAAGTTAACAGCAAAACATCCAAGCTATATCCTTCTGACAGAAATCAGATGTTGAAAGGCACACACACACAAATCAAGTTGATCTCAGGGAGTTAGATTTGCAGAAGAACTCTTTCCATTTCTGTGTTGCTTAAACATAGTTCACTTGCAAAAGGAATTCATTCGCATTGCTCTTTGATGCCTTCTTTTGAAGTGCTCCAGCCACTATGATGCCGGGAGCGTTTCAGATGTCTCCCAGTTCAGCTGGTGTGCAGGCAGATGGGCAGATGTGCTTAAGTCTTTTGATGCCATTAAAGTGCAACTACTCTTAAACCTGACCAACTTTGAATGAAGCTGCAAGGCAGGACGATGCCATGGCATTCCCCCGCCGCAGATAATCTACGAGAAGAAGCGAACAGCTCGGTGCTTTCCTGATGTTGAGGAATTTCTGAAGGAAGAGGCTGGAGAAGGATTGGAAACTAAGTGGACAAGCTGTGAAGTATTGAGCTTGCGAGCACTGAATCTTTGGAGGTAGTATCGTGCCGGCGGGTCTCTGTTCAAAGAACTTTCCTACACATACATCAAGATGTTGGACCACCCAAGAAGAAGCAGAGGCTCGCTTTGCGATTGGCTGCACATCTTGTGCGCAGAAAGTTGATGCAGTTGCGTATCCGTTGTATCCGTGGGCTGTTAGGCAAAAGAAAGAGGCTGAAGCGGCTGAAGATGGGCGAGTTGAGGCTAGATGGACCCAGAAGTACTGCCCGAAGTATGAATATATATATGAAAATCAATAAGCACCAGCAATGATTAGTCAATGATTAGTCAATGATTAGATACCATTATATATATATATATATTATATACCGAGATAGCCTTTGGCCCAGTTCTTTCCAGTTAGTTAGGCTGAGTCTGCGGAATACTGGGAGACCGTTCAAATACCCCCATGGATTCCTACTTGCCTGATGCCCCCCTGGGCCAACCGATCTCGCTTGTTGCGCAAGTGCAACGCAAAGCGAGCTGAATCTCTACGAGTGCTTGGGACTCTGGCCTCGGCAGTCCTTCTTGCTCGCCAGTGACTTGGAGCTGAACCTTGATGTGTTCACCTTCTACAATTTGGCGCCTTTGTCTCATGATCCATTGTGCCTTGGCTTCGGTCCATTCTCGAAGCATTTCCCCAAGCACAAGATGCATCAATTTCAGAAGATGTCCATTTTCGATCTCTGTGGTGGGATTGGTGGTTTTACCATGGGGTCGAGCCCATTAGGCATTGACACCATGGCGTTTCTGGAAAGCAATGATCTAGCATGTCAAGTGTTGCAGAGCAACTTCTCTGCGCCAGTTGTCCATGGAAAAGTTGAGGATATCACAAATGTCCAGGCACTGCATGAGCTCAAGACTGATGCTTTTCTTCAGGTGACAGGAGGTTTTCCATGTCAACCTTTCTCACGTCAGGGTGACATGCAGGGATCACAGGACTTGCGTGGAAATGTTCTGAATGCCATTCTTCGATGCGCATGGCTACTCCAAGCGGACTCTTTGCTCTTGGAGTGCGTAGACAATGTCATCAATTTCCCTGACGTCATGACCACCTTGGACACCTTTGCCGAGAATGCAGTTATGCACATTGAGAAGGTGGTTTTTGATCTTCAAGCTCAATGGCCAGTCCGACGCAACCGATTCTGGTGCTTGATGTTCACCAAGAAGCTTCCTGAAATGATACTACATGTATGGCCCAGCTGCACTCATTGTCACTGCCTTGGCAATGTCATGCCCTTTGATGCACTTTGGCCGGAAGCCCATGAACATGAGTTGATGTGGGAACAACAAGAATTGGACTTCTACTTTGATTTGGACTTTGGCAATGACCTGAGGATTCTACGGCCACAAAACAAGGCTCCCACCATGCTTCATTCATGGGCCAATGTCTTTCGTCCATGCCCATGTGGCTGTCGAAGCTGGCCGTTATCCCTTCAACGTCTTCGAGAAGGAGGCGCTCGTGGTTTTGGGATTGTCTCAGCCTTTCATGGACAAGTGCGACACCTTCATCCAGAAGAAGGAGCACTGTTGTGCACAGTTCCTCTGAACTTCAACTTCCCTGCGTCCATGAGAACGGCCCTATGTCTTCTTGGCCAGATTGCGGCCCCCATGCAGGTGATGTGGATTCAGTCACAATTCCTGGCGCACATTCAGGAGCACTTCTGGCTCTGTCCTTGCGTCAACCCCATGGAGATGTTGCACAACTTCAAACATGAGCTGCTGCAACAGAGGGCACAACGATGGAGATTGGCCAGCATGTCACTTCCCAGATCCATCAACGTGCAGGTTGACGGAACAGTCTGTCCTGTGACACTACAACAGCCAACCACGGTTGCGGAACTTGAACGTGCTGAATCACAATTGATTGGGGCAGGCTACTATGTGGTAGTTACCAGGAATTCTCAAAGGCTTCCACCATGGTGTCAACTACAGACAAATGAAAGCTACGATCTGGTGATCAAAACCAAGCAGCAAGCCCGATCCAGCTCATTGATTTGGACTTCTCCTCACATTGCTGGTGACGGCATGCATTTCCACAACAACATGCAGGGACTTGGTGACACTCACATCTGGGAAGGGATGAACCTGCTTTTGGACTTTTGCAGTTCCTCCTCCACACTGACCAGGCCATGGACCTACTCAGGAAAATGCCACATCAAGCAGTCTGCATGAACTGGAAGCTCCGCTACCACAGTTCCAATGGCGATATCATGATCATCTATGAATACGACAACCATTGGACTTTGCTGGTTGGTCGTCAAGATGTTCAACTTCATTGGGTGCACTATGATGGACTTCAGCCAGCGCCCAATTCAGCCAGAAGCCAGATAGCCAGACAAGTGGCTGAATGCATCTCCCAATGCTTGGACTTTGACATGGGAGCCTGCATTTCAATGCCATCTTTTCAACAGCAAGACAACCACACGTGCGGCACCATTGCGCTGATGAATATGGCGGATCAACTTCAGATCCTTTCACAATTACCAATGCAAGACGAACGAGCACTTCATGCCTTCTTCCTTGCTGGTACTACGGCCTGCCCATCAACTACGGCAGGTGGCAAAGGATCAGTGGTTGACTCTCTCGAGCAGATGCTTATCAACAAAGGAGTCCCACCACAACATGCTGATGAGAGGGTCAAGATGATTCATGACAAATTGGGGTTCCAACAGGTCCAACAGATCATGAAGACCACCAACCCTTGGGCCGCTCTCAAATCAGCAGCGTCTAAACCAGGACGCATGTTCCGAATTGTAACTGAGGAGGAACAGAGAGCCTATGTCGATGCACGAGCTCAAACCAAACACGGCGCCAAAATCCAGCATGCCAAGAGCAAGAAGCAGGCATCAATGACACGTGGCTCTCCAGTTCAACTTGATCCTGACCTTTTCCGTTTGAATCCCAAGCACTTTCAAGATGGTGATGGTGAGCCAGTCAATCAGATTGCATTTCAGGAAGTTGAAGCTGACTGTCAAGGCATTGCACTTTGCACAACGGCAATGGCGAGACACTTCCTAGAGAATCCCAAGTCGATCAGCTTGCGTGGACTTGCTTTGCTGATCATTGACTCACCCTCACAACAGGTCATCAAGGATGCTGGTTTGAGCCCCATGATCTTTCCAGCCCTCTGCACTACCACTGATGAACACACGATCATCATGGGACATGTTATGCAGCTTGGTGACTCAACCATCACACGGAAGATGGCTGGCAATGAAAGTGCGCCTGAGAAGATTGACACTCAGGTACTCAAAATCCAGGTCTATCGAGACCAATTTGAACTATCATGGGCTGATTTTTGCCAGGCTCCTGTTCGCCACATCATCAACCTGGTCGACCCCATGCAGCTTTGCAAGGGCAACAATTGTGGAATTGAATGTGCCAAATATCACCAAGGCATTGATGAATCACTGGATGCGGTGGTGCTCGAAGTTTGGTCCAGGAACTTTATGGATGACCAAGGCAAAAAGATCGAGCCTTCAGAGGCCTGGCAATTCTCTGTCTTTGTGAGACTGCCGGAATCAGCCCTGGTGAAGATCATGACTTCCATGCCTGTTGGTATCTACGTCGAGCCCAGGGGTCTTCAACCCAGAGAGCATGATGACAAATTCAGGGTCATCTGGCTGCCCGGCACGAGCTATGATGATGCACAACATCAATGCAGGACATACTCTAAGTCCATCTGCCTGGCCAGATTCAAGGGCAAGTATGGCATTCGAGTCAAAAAGGCTGATGAAGCTGCCGCATGGGCCAAACTTCGACCTGGCATTGAGTTCATTGACATGAGCATTCAACGAATCTATGAGCTCTTTCCCATCCCTCACGGAACTCAAAGGCAAGCCATTGCAAAGATCCTGAGCGATTGGGAGTGGAAAGCACGAGCTCTACAACCAGGACGTGGCAATTTTCACCACATGGCTTGGCGAGTTGGATCATCAGATGCACCTCCAGCTCCAATCATGACTGCCTTTGGCTCAGATGTTGTGATCACAGCAGTCAAGGAGTTGCACAAACCAGAGCAGAAGCCTCAAATCTATGCCACTGCCAAGACTCAGAAGCTCCTACGGGAAAAGCCAGCTGCTATGACTTCTAGCAGTCGAATTGGCAACAACTCTGACCCTTGGCTTGACAAGGATCCCTGGGGTGGTTACAAACCTTCAGGCTCAACACCGGCAAAAGTGAGCCAAACACACCGAGCAGATCTTCAAGAACAAATTCGCAAAGATGTGCAGACTGCCATGGATCAGCTGAACAAAAAGGACGACATGATGGACGATCAAGACCCCATCTACACCACTGAGACGGAACAAAGATTCATGGCACTCGAGACTGGACTTGTGAACTTCAGCAGCAGAATGGGCAGTTTTTGCAATGGTTTCAGCAAACTGGTGAAAGACTCCAACAGAATGAGACGGTCATGAAGGAGGTCCAAGAGAATGTCAGCACTCATGCTGGAGCTCTTCAGCAACTGGCTTCTTCAGTCAACAATGCAGAGAAGGCCATTGGGGAGGTTCACTCGACGCTGAACACGCACCAGCAGGAAATCCATTCCATGGGCAACAACTTTCAGACAGCAGTTCGCTCCATGAAAGAAGAGCTCTCAGGCGAGATGATGCAGTCCTTCAACCAGCAATATGGCAAGCTTGAAGCCCTGCTGGAGAAGCGACACAAAACAAATTGACTACGGCCCACCGGCTTCAGAACGGGGTCATTCTGGAGGCCGGGAATCTACAGTAGACCCAAACGGTTCTTTTTGGCACTTTGGTTTCTTCAATTTCTTTGCCCTGCCTTCGCTCTGCAGCATGGCACATCCTTTGCCCGGCACTTCTATGACAGCTCAGCCACTTCGGTGGACCGAGACATTGGGTCGGGGATGATGCCATGCGATGTTCCGGAGCATCATGGCCATTTTATGGCGGTTACAAGACACGGGGAAGCATCTCACCCTGGACCTGTCCATGAACAGGATTCGTTGCTGGTTGTGGGTACTAGCAACCCAGGAGGTCTTCGATCAAAAGAGGACATTGTTCTTTCAATGGGCAGTGGCATATGGACATTGACAGAGACACAGTTAAGTGCGGTCACAATGAAGAATTCCGCTAGAGCCTTTCGAGCCGGCGGCAAGAAACTCCAACGGCTCATCAGGCCTCACTTCAGCCACCCTGCGCCGCTGAGACAGGGTTCACAATGGGCTGGAAAATGGACTGGAGTTTGCACAGTTTCTGATTGGCCTTCATCGCAAATTACTTTGCCATGGCTTCATGAACACTGGACCTCAGGTAGGGTTCTCATCACCAGGCACTGGGTTGGACAGCTTCCAGTGACGATTGGTGGATTTTATGGATATCCTCAAGGTCCAACATGGCCAAAAGCCAAAATGCAGAGTAATCAATTGCTGGAAAACTTTACCCAGCACATTGTCATTGGCATGTCAGGAGTTCGCATACTCCTTGGTGACTTCAATCATGACCCAGGTGAACTTGTACAACAACGCATATGGGCTAGACATGGTTGGCGAAATGCTCAACAACTTGCAGAGGAGACTCTACACCATGAAAGATGTCCGACTTGCAAGCATGCGACTGAGAGGGATCAAATTTGGCTCTCACCAGAGGCAGTTGCACTACTACGTGGAATTTCGGTGCAGGAACATTTTGCTGATCATGCCACAGTACAAGTTCAACTTCAGGTACCTACCAAACATGCTGCCATTAGTCGATGGCCAAGACCAGCAGAGATTGATTGGCAGAACATAGATTGCCGTGACTGGCAACCACAATGCTCTGCACAACTTCAACCTGGTCAAACCTCTACTGAGTTTATGCGAACCTGGGCCAAAGATTTTGAAGACACTGTTTCAGAGCGACTCCAAACATGCCAGGGTCACCCACTTCACCCGCGCATGCGGGGAAGGGGTCAACGGCTTGCTCCAGCCACTCAAGAAGTTGAGCCACCCATATGCAAACCTAGCCGTGAAGGTGAAGTTTGCTTGCAAAGTTCCCTTGCGGGATCAGCTGTTCGTATGTGGTTCAAACAATTGAGACGGTTGCAATCTCTCAATCATGCGAGCAAGGCCAACAAACAGACGCCTTCAGCGACTTGTTACCGTGCAGAACTCTGGAGTGCAATTTTGAGAGCACCGGGCTTTCACCCCTCATTTCAAGCCTGGTGGAAGCGACGTGAATCGCCATGTGATGGCGCACCCAAAGAGTTTCCCAATGTCCTTCCTGGCGAACATGAAGTGGTTTATGCTTTGTATCAAGATTTCTTGCATCATTTCCGTGCTTTTGAAACCTGGCATCTCAATCAACGCCAGGCAAGTTTGAAGATGAAGTATGAGGGCTCACTGTCTTCAATCTACATGGATTTGCGAGATGAACCAAAACCTAGCATTGACCACATTTGGAAGGACAAAAAATACCAAGTGCTTGCAATTGACCATGAACACAGCCAAGTTATGCTGGATCAAGAGATTGGGCAACAATTTGACTCCATGTGGTACCATGAGGGCACCCACATTCAAGTTTCTTGTATCGATGGTGCGGTTTGTACAGTGAGCTCCATTGAGAATTTTGTGGTTGAGGATGAATTTGTTCAACGCATTTTTGTCTCGGAAGTCAAAGATGTCCTTGATGCTTTTTCAATGCAATGGTCCCAAAGATGGAATGCATTTGCTGCGCTCTCTGACTCGGACTGGAAACGGATCACTCAGTTCACTCAGGCATACATGCCCACTTTGTCATTTTCATTGCCACAGTTGGAACCAGATATGTGGTACAAAGCAGTCAACAAGTTCAAGCCTGCGGCTGCTCGAGGACCAGATGGCTTCAGCAAAGCCGATCTCCAAAACATGCCATATGACCATGTGAACAAGCTCCTCCACATGTTTGACCAGATTGAAAAAGGTGAGGCCAGCTGGCCCAAACAACTTCTATGTGGACTTGTCATAGGCATTGCAAAAACAAGGGATGCGCATGAAGAAGGCCAGTTCAGGCCTATCACTCTTTTCTCTATGTTGTATCGATGCTGGGCCAAGCTGCGCACAAAGCACATGATCAACCAGCTCTCCCAGTACATACCAGCGGAAGCACTTGGATTTCTCCCACACCGAGAAGCTGCAGAGGTGTGGTTGATGTTGCAAGGGCAGATAGAAGTGATGCTTGCGTATGATGAACCCTACTGTGGGTTGAGCTCCGATGTGCGACGGGCCTTCAACCACATTGGCCGTCCCCAAGTCTTTCAACTTGGTCACCATTTAGGATACCCACCACCACTCCTTCAAGCATGGCAAGGGTTTCTTACTGACTTTGAGAGGCGTTTTGATGTCAGAGGTTGCATTGGAGACTCCATCAAGTCCAACAGCGGATTCCCTGAAGGAGACCCTCTTTCAATTGTTGCAATGCTGACTGTCAATTGGGGCTACCACCTTTACATGCGACAGTTCGCTCCAAAGGTTCAGGCATACAGTTTTGTAGACAACATGACTCTAGCTGCGCGTGAGGCCCAACATGTCTTTCAAGGACACTTCGCCATGACCAACTATCATGCGTTGTTTGGGCTCACCATGGATGATGACAAGACTTATGTGTGGGGCCTCACAACTTCGCAGCGACAATCACTGCAGCGCATGGGCTTTCCATGTCTATATGATGCAAGCGAGCTGGGGGCCTCCATGAGCTATGGGGCCAAAATCCGAAACCGTCATTTGAAGGCAAGGGGCACGGGAATGGAGGACAAATGGAAACGTCTTCAAAGATCTCCTGCGCCCTTTCCACAGAAGATGACTATGTTAGCCAAGGTGTTCTGGCCGAAAGCACTACATGGATCACCAGCATGCATGTTTGCTGACAACTACCTGACTTCCTTGCGTAGAGCTGCAGTGCGAGCCTTGAAGATCATTGGAGCGGGGGCTAATCCGCAGCTCCGGCTGACACTTTCTGATGACATGAAGAATGACCCTGGTTTTTACCAATTGCAGCATTGCGTTTCCACATTCAGACGCCTAGCACGGAAATCCACTGATTTTCTGCCACTATGGCAATTGTGGCATACGCAGTTCAATGGCAAGTTACTACCAGGGCCTTTCACCAAACTTATTTCATGTCTCAACCAAGTCGGATGGCATATCATGACTCCACCTTTTGTGATTGACCATGACCACTACCAATGGCATCTACTCCATGTGGATGACAAGACTTTGCAGGATCGATTGCAAGATGCGTGGTGTCAATACGTGGCGGCCACCACCAAACACAAAACCATGCATGATCTTCATGGAATGGAGCTGAGCTTGACAATGTGGCAGACGAAAAAGCTGCTACCACTGGAGCGGGCGCTACTCTCGGCTTTGCAATGTGGTGCCTTTATCAGTGACTCCGAACAGTCAAAGTTTGACAAGGAGAAATCGAAACTCTGCTCTCTTTGTGAATGTGCTGATGATCGGGCTCATTGGTTGGTTTGCCCACGCTTCCGTGCTTTGCGCATGACCATAGATGACTGGCAGCCAGACAATGTTGAGCTACCACTTTGTGTTATCCATCACTTGCTGGTTCCGAGATTGCAGCCACTGACCGAGTGGAGAGGCAAGATGGTTGAAATTCCTGATGAAACTCAGACTTTTTGTTTTACTCCACCAAAATCTGGTTTAAGCCATTTGTTCACGGATGGGGCTTGTACTCAACATACATATAAATGTTTGAGTTATGCAGCATGGGGTGTTCTCAGCGCCACTGATGGTGATCTGGTGGCCATTGGACACCTTTCTGGCATCACACAGTCCATCGATCGGGCTGAATTGACTGCGATTCTGGCTGCATTGCGATGGTCTACTTCTGCAGACATTTGCATCTGGAGCGATTCACTTTCATGTGTGAATTTGGCTGACTACTTGCAACAGCATGAGCACGTTCCTATCAATGTGGAGAACTACGACCTATGGTTGGCAGTTCAGGATGCCTTGCGCTTGCGTGCCGGGTGCACCACCATGTTTAGATGGGTACCATCACATGTTCACGCTGATCAAGCTGTGGATGCATTTGAATCTTGGGCATTTCACTGGAACAACGCCATTGACTCCATTGTCACTGCCTGGAATCAGGAAAGATCTGCAGATTTTCATCAGAGATTTGAGGCGCTCGAATCACAGATGAGATGGTGGACAACTCCCATTGACCAACTGCGGCAATTCTTTTTCAAAGTGGCCGAGAAACACAAGCAGCAAGTGGCTAGCTCTACTGAATCACCCATTTTGATTGAGTCAGATGCGGAGACCTCAGATGAGCCAGAACTTTTAGCTGATCAACTTCCATTGAACTGGGCTGTGAGAAGCAGACAATCAGAGGGCAAAGTCCCAGGACAATTCGTGACTTCAATTTTGCAATGGCTATGTGCCGCAGAGCAGCTGGATCATCGACAAGTCATTGTTAGTGATTTGGAGTTTGTTTTCCTTTTGTTGTTGGATGATTCTTTTGAGTTTCCTTTTCGGATCGATGATCGATGGTTCCACTCGATGGTCCATGCGTTGTGTAGATGATCTTTTTCAGAAACCTACTATGGTTATGCTGCTTAGACCAGTTCAGATGGCCATGCAGCAAATTGTGCAGCTTTTCCCAGAAATTCCGATTCGGACCCCACCGAGGTCAAATCCAGATCTTGGAGTGTACATTTCTTTATGGGGTCTCAAAGCCTGCTTGCCACCCGAGATGGTGCAACAGGCAAGGGCGCTTTTAGCACATTTCACCCAGAGTCGACCAGTCAGGAGGACTGGCGACTTGTCTAGGCCGAAGACCTAGCTGCGAACGTTGCCGCTGCTGCACTGCAAGCGCCGTGCACAGTCGGCATGCAATGTCCGAGCTATATATACCGAGATAGTGATGGCTAGCAGCTTTCTCAGTGCCATGATTTGACTCTCGGAGGTGCCTGCTTGGGAGGAATACTTCAAGTCCAATGGCTTCACAGACTGCCAGCTCATCCAGACCTTTGTCTGGAAGCACAAAGATCAGAAAGATCAGAAAGATCAGTTGATCTTCGCCTGTGTTCCCTATCCTTCACGACCTGATGGTGCCCTTCTGGCAGAGGCTTGGCTTTGAAATATTTGAAATACTTGAAATTCAGTATCATCAGTATCTTTACTGCAAGTCTTGTTCTGATCCGAACAAACAGCTGTGACTCACCAATGGACTGCAGGTGATTCAACAACCTGCCAAAGATCTGGTTCAATGCAAACTGAAGGAGGTGTGCTTGGATCGGGAAAGGGGAGAGCTCCTAGGGTGACCTCTGAGTGAAGCATGACCAGACATGCGACTCAATGACCGAGCAGGTACAAAGCATCACGAAGCGTCCTTTGTTTGTGTGCTTGCCCTTTGCTTTGCCGGAGGCCAGTTTTTGTTTGGGCTGGCAATTGGCATGGCATTTATCGGCATGAAATTTTGATGCATTGCATTCACTTTGTTTAGACACATGCAAAGTTGAGAGGCTTCAGAAACGTACTTCGAATTCGTTCGAGTCATTCTTGCATCACTTCAAGCTCTTTATTTTTATTCTGTTCTTCTTTCCTAACGAATTCATCCTTTGGGTCCTGTTTTCCTTGTTTTTTCCTTTTTCTTTTTCATGGTTCTACTCAGAACACATTCCCATCATGAAGTTCACAGAAAATGCTGATACTCCTGGTTTTGTACGTTCATCTCTTGACACACTTTGTTGCCAGACAAAAAAGTGCTTGCTTTCTCAGTAGTAAAATATAGCATAGAAGCGACCATCCAGTATCCAATAGTGACGTCGAACATCCTGGCTTTAAATGGGAGATCTACATAGATCTACCTGGTTCTCCTCCCAAATCAGTTGTGCTCCATGAAAACATCTGAGCGCGTTGACAGGGATCGCTGGTGGTTGCAGATGAGCAGCTCCGTGTTCAAAGCAAAGAGTTGCTCTTCGACTGCGGCACTGTGGCGCTGTTCATGAACGCCACTGAATTCTGGAGGCAGGAATCGGCACAGACAATGAATAGCACAAAACAATATAGAGATACACACACACACATTGGATCCTTGCCTCTTAAACACTGTTAGCAGATCTGTTTCGTGCGGGTGTAACAAGACTGAGGCAGGAATGCCACAAGCTGTCTATGACTGTCCAGTTCGCAGGTCAGTGAAGCCAAGTGCGGGCAACATTTGCAAAGCATAGCGTTAGGCCACCGCGAGGCTCGTGAAGATTCAGAAAGTCTGTTTTGGTTCGCGAAGTGATTGGGCCCCCGGCTCGCTCCAAGAGCCTCGTCGACCTTGTGCGCACGAGTCAACCACTGGCACATCTGGCACCTGAACACATGACGACCTGCTTTGCTGACTAGACTTCGGCAGCTGAGACTCCCTGGGACTGTTGCCTCCAAAGAGAATAGATTGACATGGTGTCAGGGAAGAAGTGCTGCGGAGCGATTCAATCACACCATACAACTCCAAGCACTAGTGGTGCAGAGATTTGAGATCCTTCAATTTGCTTCTGCCAATATTTAGCCAACCTGGTCATTCTTGATTTCTGCAAGAGAGATGAGTCGTTTGCGGTGACAAAAAGACCAGCAGTGCCATGACCGTCTCTATGCCATGATACAAAAAAATGTGATGCCATTCGGCATTGAATAATCTAAGCTTTGACTTAAAAAGACCCAGCAGATATCACAGCACGCGAGGCGAACAGTGCTGGCACTGGCGGTAATTCTTCCCATCGTCCCAAACGGGAGTTTGAGGCACCAGAAGTTGAGATTCTCATCCATTTTGATTATTTTTGATTCAGTTTGCAAGTTGACCTCTCATGCTCGTTCATGGACATCTCTTGGGATTCTCGTGATCATCATGATCATCATGATCCGTTTGGAAGTATGTTCGAGATTGTTCGAGGGAGGTAACCATAGGTTACCCAGGGATCAATAATCGTCCTTGGCGAGGCGATGGGCAGCAGCAATTTCGAGCCACCTGAGCAACGGCTGGCTCGGCTGCAGGCTGTCATAGACATGGGAAGGGCATCTCTATCCTTAAAGCATAGCTTCGACCCTTGTGCAGCAGAGCAGATGTTTTTACGATTGTTGGATGGTTTGCTTGGCTGCAGATCCAGTACATCATACATCAAGTTGCCCTGTGAAAGGCTGAAGTTTCTGAGCTGCTAAAGTACACCGAGAAGTCGAAGGATGGGGGCTTGATATTCGAAGTCTAAGTTTACGTCAGGTACTTGCCATGCAAAGCACACGGCTGCATCATTGTTTACCTTGACTTTGCCACCCAAGGACACAGGAGCAGCAGATATATTAGGTTGGATGGGCAGTGGTTTCAAGAAGCTGGCATCTCGATTTGTTCTCCTTCCAGGGGTCTTGAGCACCAGCTTTCTCCATTTTGCATTCCTTGGGCATCCTAGGGCAATCTTCTGCCTAGACCCGTTTTGCCCAGTGGGCTCCCTAACTTGTTGGGACATCCTATCTAAGACTATCTAATACTCAAACTGATCTTTACACCATAGATTCGTGTCACTGTTTGCTCAGTCAGTCCTCAGAACCGAGAACGTTTTGAACATTTTCTCCATATTTTCTCCATATCTTGACATGTCAAAACATGTTTTGACCGAGCCCTTGGATGATCTTGGATGATCGATGATTGGATCGGATCTGAACACAGGCGGGGATCCTGTGGCAATGTCCACGGAGCTGAAGGTGCACATGAGACCGGTGGTAGGAACGTCATGGAACACTTGCAGCACTTGGCCATGACCTAATTTGCAAGGGATCTCGAACATTTCTCATTGAATCATGAGGATCATGAGGTCAAGAATCATTGAAATGTTGAAATGTTGAGCTCATTCTTGTTTTGTTTTTGCCAAAGAGGAAAAAAGAGGCTCCATCAGGCTGCATCTCGTGTTTTAGTGGTGCAATGTCGCATCACAAAAAAGCAACTCAATTTTCTCACCTCCTTTGTTGGGGTGGCCCTCATTCAGATCATTGTCATGTTCACCATTGGCATTTCATGGTTTACGTTTTAGATTTGCCCAAGGTGGTAATATTGTGTGTACCGCGGGTTGTGTCAAAGTCTGATGCTTTCATGTCAATTTGCCTTGATCTGCATCTCACTCTGCTTCTTGAGGTGCTTGAACAACGACTAGCCGGCTTGGCTGAGTGCGATTCCCAATGATGTGTGTAATCAGCAAGCGACTTGTGCATCATGTGCATCATAGCACATCAATGTCATGTCACGACAAGCAACCTGTTGCTGCTCAGGTCATCTTGGGGCAGAAGTGGCGGACGGAACCAGGACCCTGCCATTATGGCACCATTCTGTTCAGGTGTTGTCTCCTTGTTTTCCTGGACAGTTGACTTGAAAAAAAGCTATTTGGCTTGGCAGCTTGGCATGGTGTCCCTCCGTCGGCCAACTCCGATCTCTGAGTATCTCTAAGCCTGTCAACTTCCTGTCAGGCGATGGGCTATGCGATGCCTTCGCCAGGGGCTCATTCTTTCAAGAGAAACATCGCAGCTTGCGTAGTTGGGGTGGTAGTAGTTGTATGTTGTCATGGAGATTTCCTACAATGGGGGTACTGTACCCCGAACCATCCAACGTTGAAAAAAACAGGGTACCATTGGTACCATCTTAGTATTGTACCATCTTAGGTGACGTGGGGATCCCATGGGATCCCCCATTTTGACCCACCATAAAATCCCGCTGGCCTCGAAGGTCTTTGGTAAGTCAGCTGGAGCGCCTGGCCTCGACTGGTCCAGCAGCTCCTGGCAGCGATGGGTGGGCGAACTCAGGGTTTGATTCACCGCAGGGGAAGTCCAAACCATGGGAGATGGCCATTTGGCCATTTTTCAATGGGGAAAATGATGATAAACAAATCAAACCATGGGAATCATGATGAATCATGAGGATTTTGGATGTTTTTGGTGCACTGTTTTCAGAGAAACCCAAAGATGATGTTTGCGTCTTGATATTTCATGAAATGATTCGTCATGAAATGGTTGGGAACTCCAAGATGTGGACAAAATGCAGGGCAGTTCTCAGATACGTTGAGGCAAGTGACATATGAAATTCACTACACTCCAAGCGTGGCAAGCATCAGCGATGGGGCTGGCATCTCAGATTGCCGCAGTTAACTTACACATAGGACCGGGACAGCGATGCAAATTATCCAACTTCAAAGAAAAGACATTTCTGAGTTCAGAGAAAAGGACACTGAAGCAAGCTGTCTTGCGGTTGTTGTGTTTTTATGTGCACTCATGAACACATCATGAATTTTGGAAGGTAGGTGTGTCATCCTTGCCTCTTCATGTGCCATTTTGCCTTCTGAGGCAAAGCTCGCATCGATGGAGAGTAGCATAGCGGAGCCACACAAATCCCCGTTCTTTACTTTTCGCCCGACTGGCGTGAAAATATACATAGTGACTGCAGAGTGACTGCAGAGCCTGTCGCAGGAGATTGAGAAGCAGCTTGGTGTCTTGCACCCATCGAATCCTTTCCCAGTGCAGCTCTCAGCAATCATTTCGAAGGCTAAGAAACCGCGAAGTGAGAGAAATCAGAAAAACAAGTCCATTTGCAAGACAGTGGTTATTGTGCTTAGACTACTAAGGACCTGCAGACTGCAATCACGCAGCTTCAAAAGCGTATTTCCCTTCTGGAGCAACGGGATTTCGGTAGACTTTGATGGCAGTGTGCATGAACTGACGGCAAGCTTGGCTTATTTTCTTTGCTGCATACGGGTAGATTTTCAAGAATGCTTGACGCTTGTCCCTTGGACTGGTGGAATGAAACGGACTGATGGATTTCAGAGCACGTTAGCACCTTCATCCTTTAGAAAAATTGTTCCAGGATGCTCAAAAGCTGGAGACTATCCAGAAGAGCCTGGATAAGGCTTCTGGTTTCGCATCCTGGTAGAACGCGCTATGACAATCTGTGACGGGCTCCAGACTTGACATTGGAAAACTCAAATTGGTGTAGCAGGTCCTGAGCGAAGTGCAGCAGGTTCTGAACAAGAAGGAGGGAACCCTGAGGGAACCCTGAGGGAACCCTGAGGGAGCTTGGAACATGAGGGAAGTTGGATGAAGTTGGGCACCCTGCGACTCCCGTCACATGACCTTGGCCCCCGAGCTGTGCGGTCTATGCTGTTCCGTGCAGTGTCTAAATGTGAGATCCTGTTGGGAAAATGTAGAGCTAGGCAGAGCTGGAGGGTACGGCAGACAAAGACCTGGACCTGAAGGTACAGCGCTCAAAGAACTTGACGTGGTCGCCCGTGTGTTTGCTGTATATTCTTGCCAGTGGATAGACAGATGAATAGACTTGAATAGACTTGAATAGATTGATCAAAAAAGAAGGGAAACAGGGAAACACAACAAAAGGATTGACGGATTGACGGAACAAGGACATTGACCTGAGTGCTTCCGTTCCTTTTTGAGGTGAGCCAACTTTATGACTTTTGTCATCGCTGGAGCGCCACTGTTCGCAGCCTTAGATAGCCTTAGGGTGTGACATGACCTGTCACCAAGCTTCACCAAGTCACACTAAGCTTGCATTGCACAAGTCAAGGATCGTAACAAAGATGAGGCAATGATTACTAGGTCTTCTAGGTTTGCTCTTTGATGTCTTGAGGCCGCCTCTCTTCCTTTGATCGTGGCACGTCTTCAGTCCTTGCAGGCCTGTCCTCTGTGACAGCGGTCCTTTGAGTCGTGAAAGTGGTGGAGTCTATATGATATCAACTATTGATTTACAGTATTTACATATATCAACATCAGATAACTTCAGCATCTTGAGAAAATTGAGGCTTTGCATTTGCAGAGCGCATCTTTTGCTTCGCGCCTCAATGCGCTGGAGAAGCAGCAGGATCTGGGAACCGGCTTTGCTTAGTCTGGCGTTCGTCAAATGACTTGACCGTGGCATGTCACAACTTGGTTGCTGGATGTCGTGTGATCCCTGGGAACAACCACAACTCTAGTCTCATACTGACTCATACTCGCTTTTGCGATGTACTTAATGTACTTCTGTTTTCTCGGCTCTATAATGTTGTACTGGGTAGATCTGGGTAGTGGATACTCCTTGAATTGGTTCAAGACATGGATAGCGATGCTCAGGAGGAGTTGGCGCGGCTGCTTGAGACCACATCTGAGGCAGTTCAGGAGCTCACAGAGAAACTGGTGTTAGTAGATTGATAGAGGCCAATAAGGCCAGGAGCAATGTCACAAGGACAAATATTGACAGATTATGTCCGTACAAAGTCTTCCAGCAAAAGATCTTTGCATTTCAGCCTTTTTTTCCCGAGAGCGTCTGAGCGCAGGGTTCTTCCAATAGTGGGGGTCTGTAAAACATCTTCTCATCTTCACATCTCATCTTCACATCTGCTCATCTTCACATCTGCTCATCTTCACATCCTCTCATCTTCACATCCTCTCATCTTCACATCTGCTCATCTTCACACCTTCCCACCTTCACATCTGCTCATCTTCACACCTTGCCATCACATCTGCTCATCTTCACATCTGCGCATCTTCACATCTGCTCATCTTCACATCTTCTTATCTTCACATCTTCTCATCTGCTCATCTTCACATCTGCTCATCTTCACATCTGCTCATCTTCACATCTGCTCATCTTCACATCTTCTTATCTTCACATCTTCTCATCTTCACATCTGCTCATCTTCACATCTGCTCATCTTCACATCTGCTCATCTTCACATCTTCTCATCTTCACATCTGTTCATCTTCACATCTGCTCATCTTCACATCTGCTCATCTTCACATCTGCTCATCTTCACATCTGCTCATCTTCACATCTGCTCATCTTCACATCTGCTCATCTTCACACCTGCTCATCTTCACACCTGCTCATCTTCACATCTGCTCATCTTCACATCTGCTCATCTTCACACCTTCCCATCTTCTCATCTTCACATCTGCTCATCTTCACATCTGCTCATCTTCACATCTGCTCATGTTCACATCTGCTCATCTTCACATCTTCTTATCTTCACACCTGCTCACCTTCTCTCTCATGCCTTCTTTTTATCTTTCTCTCACATCTTCTTATCTTCACACCTGCTCACCTTCTCTCTCATGCCTTCTTTTTATCTTTCTCTCTTAAGGCCGAGGGTGGTGCCGGCGGCGAGTCACGAAACGTCAACCCTTTCGCACGAAATGAGGGTCGATCGGCAAAAACTGAGGTAAAAAATTTGACTTGTCCTGGAGCAACCCTTTCGCACGAAATGAGGGTCGATCGGCAAAAACTGAGGTAAAACTGCGATTTGACTTGTCCCGGAGCAACCCTTTCGCACGAAATGAGGGTCGATCGGCAAAAACTGAGGTAAAACTGCGATTTGACTTGTCCTGGAGCAACCCTTTCGCACGAAATGAGGGTCGATCGGCAAAAACTGAGGTAAAAGTGCGATTTTACGTGTGCTAAAGCAACCCTTTCGCACGAAATGAGGGTCGATCGGCAAAAACTGAGGTAAAATTGCGATTTTACGTGTGCTAAAGCAACCCTTTCGCACGAAATGAGGGTCGATCGGCAAAAACTGAGGTAAAATTGCGATTTTACGTGTGCTAAAGCAACCCTTTCGCACGAAATGAGGGTCGATCGGCAAAAACTGAGGTAAAAGTGCGATTTTACTTGTCCTGGAGCAACCCTTTCGCGCGAAATGAGGGTCGGGCAAAAACTGAGGTAAAAGTGCGATTTTACTTGTGCCGTTCTTGTCTGTGTGTAAAAGCGCCTGTGTGTAAAAAGCGTCTGTGTGTAAAAGTCTCTGTGTGTAAAAGCGTCTGTGTGTAAAAGCGTCTGTGTGTCAAAGTGTCTGTGTGTAAAAGCGTCTGTGTGTAAAAGTGTTTGTGTGTAAAAGTGTTTGTGTTCAAGTGTTTCTGTGTAAAAGCCTCTGTGTGTAAATGTGTTTGTGTGTGAAAGCGTTTGCGTGTAAAAAGCGTCTGTGTGTAGAGGTTGTCTGTGTGTAAAAGCGTCTGTGTGTCAAAGCGTTTGTGTGTAAAAGCGTCTGTGTGTAAAAGTGTTTGTATGTAAAAGCTTCTGTGTGTAAAAGTGTTTGTGTAAAAGTGTTTGTGTAAAAGTGTTTGTGTAAAAGCCTCTGTGTGTACATGTGTTTGCGTGTGACAGCGTCTGTGTGTAAAAAGCGTCTGTGTGTAAAAAGCGTCTGTGTGTAAAAGCGTCTGTGTGTCAAAGGGTTTGTGTGTAAAAGCGTCTGTGCGTAAAAGTGTTTGTATGTAAAAGCTTCTGTGTGTAAAAGTGTTTGTGTTACAGTGTTTGTGTAAAAGCCTCTGTGTGTAAAAGCTTTGTGTTTAAAAGCGTCTGTGTGTAAAAAGCGTCTGTTTGTAAAAGTGTTTGCGATGCAAACTACTGTCTTGCACTTCTCACTGTCCTGTCTTGATACTCCTCTTCTCGACTGCCTATAACAGAGCTTTCATATATCGTTTCTAATATTGCGTCTCCATACTAACAAGAGAAGACCCTGCTCCCCCCTGAACTGGCCGAGCAAACATGACTGTAAGCATTTCCAGAGCTTCTTTTGGTGGCCGTGGTGCTCGTCTTTGGAGATTTTGGAGGCCTGCTGCATGTTGCCGTGTGGCAGTCATTCGATGTTTTGCTGCTAGCTTTTGGTAAAACCGCATGATTTTGCGAGTTTCAACTGCAAGCTTGTGTTCCGTTTGTTCGTGAAAGCATGAAGCTGGTCGGCGCAGCTATTGGTTCGAGATTTGTATCGCGCTTGGCGTCTAATAGTTGTCACTCTGGGTTCGCTGCAACCGGATATGTCCGAGAAGGTCCGAGAGTTGCAACAAGGCTTGACAGAGGGAGGAGTTGATCCCTTCCGGCGCCAGGTGCGCAAACTTGGGATCAATGCATTGACGGCTTTAGCTTCTGAGCTGGGGATGCCACTGTGTGGCATTCATTCGATGTTTTGCACCGCATGATTTTGCGCCAGGTGCGCAAACTTGGGATCAATGCATTGAAGGCTTTAGTTTCTGAGCTGGGGATGTCAGTGTGTGGCAGTCATTCGATGTTTTGCAGCTAGCTTTTGGTAACACCGCATGATTTTGCGCCAGGTGCGCAAACTTGGGATCAATGCATTGAAGGCTTTAGTTTCTGAGCTGGGGATGTCAGTGTGTGGCAGTCATTCGATGTTTTGCAGCTAGCTTTTGGTAACACCGCATGATTTTGCGCCAGGTGCGCAAACTTGGGATCAATGCATTGAAGCCTTTAGCTTCTGAGCTGGGGATGTCAGTGTGTGGCAGTCATTCGATGGTTTGCAGCTAGCTTTTTGGTGAAACCGCATGATTTTGCGCCAGGTGCGCAAACTTGGGATCAATGCATTGAAGGCTTTAGCTTCTGAGCTGGGGATGTCAGTGTGTGGTAGTCATTCGATGTTTTGCAGCTAGCTTGTGGTAAAACCGCATGATATTGCGCCAGGTGGCAAACTTGGGATCAATGCATTGAAGGCTTTAGCTTCTGAGCTGAGGATGTCAGTGTGTGGCAGTCATTCGATGGTTTGCAGCTAGCTTTTGGTAAAACCGCATGATATTGCGCCAGGTGCACATACTTGGGATCAATGCATTGAAGGCTTTAGCTTCTGAGCTGGGGATGTCAGTGTGTGGCAGTCATTCGATGTTTTGCAGCTAGCTTTTGGTAAAACTGCATGATTTTGCGCCAGCTGCGCAAACTTGGGATCAATGCATTGAAGGCTTTAGCTTCTGAGCTGGGGATGTCAGTGTGTGGCAGTCATTCGATGTTTTGCACCTAGCTTTTCGTAAAACTGCATGATTTTGTGCCAGGTGCGCAAACTTGGGATCAATGCATTGAAGGCTTTAGCCTCTGAGCTGGGGATGTCAGTGTGTGGCAGTCATTCGATGTTTTGCACCTAGCTTTTCGTAAAACTGCATGATTTTTGCGAGTTTCAACTGCAAGCTTGTGTTCCGTTTGTTCGTCAAAGCATGAAGTAGGTCGGCGCAGCTTTTGGTCCGAGATTCGTATCGTGCTTGGCCTCTATGAGTTGTTACTCTGGGTTCGCTTCAACCGGAAATGTCCGAGAAGCTCCGAGAGTTGCAACAAGGCTTGACAGAGGGAGGAGTTGATCTCTTCCGGCGCCAGGTGCGCAAACTTGGGATCAATGCATTGAAGGCTTTAGCTTCTGAGCTCGGGATGTCAGTGTGTGGCAGTCATTCAATGTTTTGCATCTTTGCTTGAGACATTCAGTTTCACCGTAGTGCATCCTGTCTCACCGTAGTGCATCGGCGTGCGTCAACACCTTTGTGAGCAGCTTAGTTATTTGATGTTTAACTTTGATTCTTGTATTGCAACCAGAACTGTCTGAGCATTGAATTTGAAAATGAAGTGCATCAGCATGAGTCAACCAGAACTGTCTGAGACTTGCTGATGCACGCATCTTTGCTTGAGACATTCAGTTTCACCGTAGTGCATCCTGTCTCACCATAGTGTATCGGCGTGGGTCAAGCAGAACGGTCTGAGACTCCATAGAAGAGCAATAAAGTTGCCGATTCCTTTTGCGCATATAGTTGTGCCGGGACATCGCTGAATGTGATCTGTCACAGTCATTAGTCATAGTCCTTGAATGCTTTGCGGGTCCGCATTGTTGGTCTGTGCAGCTAGGTTTGCATCGAGTCAGGGCCCCGGGATGGGATGGATTACTTGGATAAGCTGCTACCACAAAGAAACAAATCGATATATTTTATATTGAGATAGAGATAGAGATATGATATAAAGATGGATGTATGACTTTTAATATATAGAGATGGATGTATGAGTGTTAAGATAAGAGTTTCCATTCCAGTCACAGTCAGGAGTCAGGACCCTAAACCCATAAAGAACCAACTTCTATCATATTGTAATACTGTGCGTGTCCCAGCCCAGAAACGGTCGCTGCCTGCCAGGTCCGCCCGTTTATACCTTTTTTTCAGGAGATGGCAAACCACCTTGGTTGGGGGGCCCCAAAGCACATAGCCCGCATGACATGTTTATACATGCTGGTTTCGAGGCACATGGAAATAGGACTTCGCCACACCACCCCGTCGGATTGCTGAGGTCGCCACGACAACGATGACTTCGCTGTGACTACCTGGGCCGGCCTCTGTGTAAAAGCGTCTGTGTGTACAAGTGATTGTGTGTAAAAGCGCTTGTGTGTAAAGCCGTCTGTGTGTAAAAGCGTCTGTGTGTCAAAGTGTTTCTGCGTAAAAGTGTTTGTGTGTAAAAGCTTCTGTGTGTACAAGCGTCTGCGTGTAAAAGCGTCTGTGTGTAAAAGTGTTTGTGCGTAAAAGTGTTTGTGTGTAAAAGTGTTTGTGTGTAAAAGTGCCTGTGTGTAAAAGCGTCTATGTGTAAAAGCTTCTGTGTGTCAAAGCGTTTGTGTGTAAAAGCAGCTCCTGTCTGTAAAAAGGTCTGTGTGTAAAAGTGTCTGTGTGTAAACATGTCTGCGTGTAAAAGTGTCCGTGTAAAAGCGTCTGTGTGTCAAAGCGTCTGTGTGTAAAAGCGTCTGTGTGTAAAAGCGTCTGTGTGTAAAAGTGTTTGTGTGTAAAAGTGTTTGTGTGTAAAAGCCTCTGTGTGTAAAAGCGTCTGTGTGTAAAAGCGTCTGCGTGTAAAAGCGTCTGTGTGTAAAAGTGTTTCTGTGTAAAAGTGTTTGTGTGTAAAAGTGCCTGTGTGTAAAAGCGTCTATGTGTAAAAGCTTCTGTGTGTACAAGCATTTGTGTGTAAAAGCAACTCCTGTGTGTAAAAGGGTCTGTGTGTAAAAGTGTCTGTGTGTAAACGTATCTGTGTGTAAACGTGTCTGTGTAAAAGCTTCTGTATGTAAAAGCTTCTGTGGGTAAAAGCTTTCTGTGTAAAAGTGTCTGTGTAAAAGCTACTGTGTGTAAAAGCTTCTCACTATTTGGTCTTGATACTCCTCTTCTCGACTGCCTATAACACATCTTTCATACATCGTTTCTAAAATTGCGTCTCCATACTAACAAGAGAAGACCCTGCTCCTCTACGCTCTCGGGCCATCCGTCGTCTAGTTGTCAGTGAAGGTTCAGAATCTGCGAACAACATTCATTGGCACAGAGTGCAAGAAACTTTCAGGACCTTCATACTGGGTTGCGGGAGAACATCAGCATTGCCATTTGGCTGCATTTGCAGATGAATCGAGGTTTGCTTTGCTTCACTGAAAGATCTTCTTACGAAGCCATTTCCGCCGATTTATCAGCAGCAATTCTGGGTGCGCTTGTGATCCTTGATCAAATCTTTCCTGAGGTGAAAGATAACATGAAGAGTCTCGAAGACAAGATTGCGCAGGTGCAGCCAAGACCAAACAACCTCGTGTTTGTTCTTGGTTCAATGCTTGAATCAATGCTTCATTCAACGCCTAAGTCAAATATACATAAAGGCACTACGTCACTACACCACTACGCTGAGTAGAACCAACCTGCTGCGCCCTGGGCCCTTCCAAATGTGGGGTCCAAGCCAGCGGTACAGTGCACTCAGTACGCGTTGCAATTGTGACAATGCCTGCTGTAGACTCTGTAGACATCAACTCCCTGCGTTGTCTAAGTATGGAAGCAGCTGTTGCCTCTGCCATTGAGGAACACTTTTTGCAACTAAAGCAAGACAAGCAAGACTACCCTAGCGACTATGTGCCTATGTGCCTCCAGTGGATCCAATGATGTCTTTTCTGCACAGCTGTGCACCAGGCAATGGCGAGCTGAGTTTGAGAGCCACTCCCAAAGACGCGATCACTTGCCGAAAAAGTCGAATTTTTGAGTTGCACTCCGCTGCCACACTGATGGAGAAACTTGCCCATTAAGTGCTGAACCCAAGTGTAACAAACATTCGCAGGGGGAAAGAGTCCCTATGTTACCAATATCAGCCTTTGATATCCTTTCAAGATCTTTTAGAGAATTTTAGAGATCTTTAATTACTTTTGATTATGTTCCTTTTCCTCATCTAAAAAGAACTCAGAAGTTTGGAGACTTGTGCCAGCTTTGGTCGTTTGGCCTTGGCCTTCGCGTGGCTCAACCGACGGAAGTTGATGCGCGCCAGCCAGGCCAGTTATGACGCGTGGCATGTTGTCCTGTAACAAGAACGAGCGAGAGGGAGGAAGCATCTCGTGGAATGGAATGAGTTGGACCTCTGGATTTTATAATTCAAAAGAACGACTCAGATCAAGAGATTTCCTGTCTTCCATTAGATCCATTAGTGTCAGCGGAACCTCTGAACGCTTTGATGCTTTGATGCTACGAACTCTGAATTCTGAGGCGTTGGGAGCTGCCTGCCATGGGCTGCTCTGGGGCCAAGCAACCTCAAGGTGTCTTTGTCACTGGATGCTCAGCACACCTTGAGCGGTCAGACATGTTTCGGGGGCCAATGTGATGATCGAATTGTCTACTACAGAATATTTCCAGACACTTAAACACGTTTCCATTGAATACGATGTGAGTTGGTATAAAGGAACACCTGTCATCGAATTGTGAACAATCCATGAAGATATTCGAATATTTTCGATACTTTGTGCCATTCTGAGTTTTTTTTTAGCAATTTGAGCATTTTGCGAATTTAATGCGATCTGTTTGGCAGGTCAGCCGGGCCTGAATGTGCAGGACGCGCAGTCTGTGAGAAGCACTATTGAGGCCATGAACACGAAAGCGCCAGCGCTGCTGAGATGGGTATGCAAAAAGTGGATGGTTATGATGACTGTCATGATGGTTATGAGTTATGACTAGTTATGACTAGTTACGACTCATGACAATTAAACAACTACCATATGAAGACCAAAATCTTCTCCCACAGGCCAAGATCGTCCTCTTGGGCGACTCTGGCGTCGTGCGCTGGCATGTCGACAAAATCCAGACCGAGTTGTACTGGTTGAGTTGCATGTACTAAATCGGTTACTGTAGAATATATATATATATTGTTTTGTTTTTACTTTGCTCTTTGATTGTCAGGATTGGTTTTGGCTTTGAAACTGTTTGTGCCAGGGCAAGTCTTCACTGGCTTTGCGCTTCTGCCAGGGGCGGTTCAATCCTTACCATGAGGCCTTTATTTGGACATCGTAGCACCACATGCCAAGAGTTGGTCTCAATCCTAATGTTCCAAACTACTGTAGCATCCTTTTCTAACTTGTAGGTTGGGAAGGTACACCTACAAACATGCCTGTTTCAAATCACTGTAGCTGCCTCTAAAAGGTGCTGTATAAGGTTGCAAACGTAAATCCTCAAGAATACTCACTGATTTTGACACGTATGTATAAGTGTATGTGCGGACATTACACAACATGTAGGCTTTGTTGTCCACTGGCCGACGTAGCAAATTATTTGTTGGGTTCCAACAGACTCCAGGGAATTGTTTGGTGAGGACTTCTCTTCGACGTGGTTCAAATATGGACTCCATTTTTCAAAGTGGGAGACACGACCTTTCAAACCTTGAGGATATAGTAGTTTCCTCACGCAGGTCACCATTGGTGCTGCCTTCTTGCAGCAGATTGTGCGATTGCGCATCTTGGCTGCAACTCTTTAGCAGCCTTGCTTGACATCTCAAGGACTTCTCGAGCTCAGGAGATGGCGGCCAGCTGAAGCTTCACGTGTGGGACACAGGTGGACAGGACAGCTTGCAGCTGAAGCTTGAAGATTTCTTGGATTGGAACTCTTTGATATATTTCTTCCATTTGACTGAAAGCTATGTAGGGATTCATCGATTCTACTACTGTATATGAGTGTGTTGATGGAACGCTGCAGCACCATTGGAGACAGGAACGCTTTCGAGCTATGACACACTTGTACTACCGCGATGCGGCGGGTGCTGTGCTTTGGCAGCAAATCTTCGAACTTCTTTGAAGATTTTGAAGAGAATGTAGAGAGTCCAAAGGTGAATCAGTAAAGGATAATCCATGAGAATCCATGATAATCCTGAGTCGGAGATGGCTCCATTGCGTCTAGGCTCTCGCATTTCAATCCATGATTTCAAATGCTGGTTTTGAATGGCTTTGAGGTCATAGTCTACGACTGTACTGATGCCCATTCGCAGGTTTGATCCTTGGAAGCTTTGCTTCAAAGAAATTCGATGACTTGATTCTTTGGACAGCTTTGCAATCATTTTGCAATCCTCCATATGCATATTTTTGCTTCGTTCTCGGAGTCACCTCAATGGACAGGCTTCTGTGGACTATTGGGTCCAAGAGTTGCAGAACAAGGCAGCATGTCGTTCATGTCAGGATGCCCCCTTCCGATTCTTCACAAAAAATGCTCCTGGAAATTTGTGAAACGAATCCCGTGCAGTTCACTTGGAATGGTTGATGATAGTTGCATCAAGATGCGTCAGGGGCCAGCGCGATGTTGCATGGCTGTTGCAGCCAATAAGTTCGAACCCTAGCATCTCAGGCTGCTTCGGGCTTTGACAAGTCCAAAGAATCGGTGGTTAAGCAAGACTAAACTGGACTTGTTTGATGGCGATAGTGCACGCAGTGGGTGTGAACATGGCATTTTTTTTTGCTCTATACATAGGGCAACATTTTGGCTTAGAACACATCAAAGTCACTTGTTGCGAAATTGAGCATAGTCATGACTTCTCTAGCTTCTGCCGTGAGCACTTTGGCTGATCCAATCGTTGGCACATCAATGAGACAAGTGTGACCCTGATACAAGGAGCGATGTCGAGTCAAAAGCCGTGGATCCGAAGCAGATGAAGGCACCGGTATTCCCACGCCTATAGCTGCCTTAGCTTCTTTCAAAGTTTTGAAATGGCTCACCAAAGGCCATGTGCGAGGAGAAGGGTTTGCTGTTTGTTGGGGACCTGAGAGTGTTTATTGCCTGGTAAAAACGCAAGGGGTTGAAGCAGAGGCATAGAAAAGAGTGTAAGATGTGCCAAAATATAGAGCATCAGGTTGCTCGGTGTATATATTTTCCGACTATTTTCTGTAGTCCTACAAAGTAGATAAAGAGTGAGACCAAAGACATCATAGTTTTTTCGTATAGAGCATGCCATTTCCATTTAAGAGCTGTGGAAGGGCCAAAGAAACAGTACATTATATTTATATAAACATGAGTATTCATGTCCTTGTGCCATGTATGGAAACATCTGAGGTGGAAACCTCTGCAAAGACCGGCGAGAACGCTTGAACCTTTCTTTCGTTCCTATCATTTTTGTGACCTTAGATATAGTTTGTGACAAACGTCCGAGAGGTACAGAGCAAGGTGTCACACTTCCTAGGCATCTTGTTGGTTCTGTCTTCAAGTCAGACCTTTCCATTTACCCGACGCAGCTTTACAGCTGGAGTTTTTTGCGGTAGTTGTAGTCACTGCAACAATGCATCAAGAGAGCTGTGGGGTGCATGCCCTTGAACAGATTGAAAAGCTCACCGGATGAATTTGTAGCTGATCAGTTTGTAGATCAGTTTGTAGCCAATATGGTCAAGAGGGATTCGGCATTGCTTTAAAGTCTGTGGGGACAAACACCAGGTTCTTGAATGTGCCGGGCGACACAGGGTAAACGCTGTTTTGTCAATGTCCGCACTTTCTGCCTTTTTAACTCTTTCTGTCTCTTTCTGTCTCTTTCTTTGATTCAACAACACCATTGTAGCTACACACGGAAGTTGAACAACAGAAACTCTGGGCGATGCCTGGATGGTGCTGTAGCTGAGAGCCTACTCTGCCATCAGCTGCCATGATGAAGGATGTTTGTTGCTCAGTGATGCTCACCAATGCTCAGCGAACCCAATAGGAAATGGAATGAACGAGAATGACTGGAAAATTTGGAATGAGTGGCTCCTGTCCATCACCACTACAGTAAACTCTCTCGTGACTGGCAGACACGCAACACGCAGCAAGGCAAAAGAAGTGCTTCGTTCGACCTTTCTGGCAGCCGAGCAAGCAATCGAGCAGAAAAAGGCCCAGGTGCAAATAGCCCAAAGATGTTGGTCCAAACGTAAAAGAACTGCTTTGATGGTCCATCATTGGTCAACAGTATGCTGAACTACGATAAAATAAAACAATAAATACATACAGAATTTGATTAAGGCGCACTTGCTGTATGTGTGCCAAAGCTGTGGCCACTGGTAGGTGCGCTTGGCAGAGGCTGAAGCAGAACGCGAGAGACAACACCTGGAACTTGAGCTTGGAAACTCAGACGTTGCACTGCAGCTCAAGTTGCTGGGCGTCCACTCCACGGCTCTGCCGAAGCTCTCAAGCACCTTCGATCACCTTCGCATGCTCCTCACATTTGCAGCAAATGCATCAATCTCTTCACCGGCCGCCTGTCACCGCGGCTGAGGTGGCGACGTCTTCAGTGGCAACAGGAAGCTCTTTCAGAGGACAGGATGAATGAACTTTGATGACAGTTGTCGGCTCAGCTCTGTTCAACTTCCTCTTTATGCATGTTGAGTCTTCTTTTGTAGACTTTCTGTGGGCTTGACGTGTCATAAAAACTGAACAGCGTGGTGTAAGAAGGGTGTGCAGTTTGGGGATGGTAAGAAGATTTCAGGAGAGGCGGGCGGGGCAGAGATTGAAGGCCAGCTTGGAGGCTTGATCTGGGCGGCTTTGGAGCTTTCCACACCGATTCAAGAGCTATCAAGAGCTCGGTTCAAACAAATCGTGCGAGTGTTGTTGCCTGGCTACCACTGTGCTGCCCCAAGGCTGCAGCTTCGATGCGGATCCAGTGTTGTCTTAATGATGAATATATAATGAGTGCTGAGGCTTGCCATTCCTTTTTCCGGTTTTTTATTGTTGTGAGATTGGCAGCTCCAGGCGAAACATGCGGTGTTCGAAGTGGAATATCAGGCTGGGTGGTGCTGTTTGACGTGGATTGCCCTCAATGAAGTTTAGCCTTTCGCTATGCACTTTTCTTGCAAAGCGTGAAGTACAGAAGGGGAATCGAACTCCACACTTCACATCGCCAATCATGAGTTCAGTTCTGTTTCCCTTACTTCCCTCATGCCCTCCATCCCTCCGTTCCTTTTGTTGTTTATTCTTCAATTTCTCCTGCCCCCAGTCTTCTGTCCTATGAAACTGAGGTGTGGGCACCAGATCTGTTGAGAATCTCTCTACAAAGACGGATATATAGTGCTTCCCACTTAACTTATTTGTTTGGTTTCCTCCAAACTCAAAGTCATTTTCTGTACGATCGATCTGGCAAAAGGTGCGTGGCAAGCGCCGACCAGGCAAATTCATGGGGCGTACAATTCATGCAATTTCAGTCTGCTTGGGAAATCTAAATGCATTAAACGTGCCCATCTTCCTTTGGAATCGAAACCAGCACAAATCTGTTTGCAATTGGCGATTCGCAGAACTCAAGTGAGGGCAAACTAGGCAGAATATGGCAGAATGACATTGCTGACAATATGGGCGAAGTAGAAACGAGATTGGCTGCCACACCTTTGCAGCTGACGCAGGAAAGCCTCATATGACTCATACACATTTTTGGACTTTTGTTTACTCGGGCTCACTTTGGGCTCACTTTGTGATGACCAGCGCATCAGCGCATCGGACCTTTTGCCAGTTACTTGCTTATCTGAAACTTCCGTTGATCAGCCGAGTCCAATGCTCAGCAGCCGCTCTTGAATGCAGCATGTTGGGTGAGGTTGGGATTCTAAGCCGAGAATTATGGTGAACTGGAGATGACAGAAGCTTGTTTGCTGCTCCCGAGGCTGGTGGTCCTACTTCTCAACCCTGGCCGTAGCAGATGGAGGTGGGGTCTGAGACTTCAAGGGCAGTGCCAGCTTGTGAGTCAATAGACGTCCTGGAAGTTCGCCCCTAGTTGGTGTTTGCTGGATTTGACATGCAAGTGCTCCGCTGGTGTTTTGAATAAAGTAGGGCCTAGCCGAGAATTCAGACCACGAACTTGGGCAGGTCATTGACATGGCCATCAGACCCATGTTTCCATGAAGCTTCAAGACACGTTCGCAATGGCACCGCCCACATTTTCAGGATTTTGTTGTGTAGAGGGGTTCTTTACTAGAGTCGCAATGCCGGGCTTGATCGCTCTGTGGAGGACTTGCGTCAGTCACAATTCCTACCATTCAATTCAACTCATTTCAATGGATTCAGTGAGGCTTTGATGGTTTCTTAATCATGTTTTATCAATTTATCCGATTTCATCCATTGTTTTGTCAGTTCTCAGTTGGATCAGCATGGATTGGGCGCACTTTACCATCCTTCACCATTCGTATTTCCGTGAAACGAGTTGACCAGTTGAGGAGCTCAGCGCTAGCAGCGCTCGGTGGTGTCGTCCTGGGCTTCGTTGTGGGCCGTTTGCCGTTCGTCGTCCAGTACTTGGAGAGCCGCCAGGGCCGCCGGTTTGTGGAACCCAGTGGAGTTGGCGCCGACCTGGTCTTTGATGTCACCAGGATCTTCAGTGTTCAAAGCAAATTTCAAAAGATCGAGGTGTTGAGATCCGAGTTTTTTGGATACATCCTGGCAATCGATGGTGATCTCATGCTTACTCAGCGAGATGAGTTTCTGGATTTGAACTTCAGAAGATGCCAGAATTCGTCTTCGACAGCAGTACATTTTTTACATGGACATTTGCTCAACTATCATGTACAAGTTTCTACTCAAGAACTTTTGAAGCGTTCAAATTGGCTTTGAACTCTGGATATGTTCTCATCTAAGAATCTAAGGTTTGTCTACCATGAGATGATTGCACATGTTCCTGCGGCATACATCCCCAATGCAAGCGACGTGTTGATCATTGGTGGTGGTGATGGAGGAACTGCAAAGCAACTCCTGCGACGACCTGTAAAGCACATCACTGTGGTGGATTTGGATGAGGTTCGATCCCAGTAGAGCAGTAGATTGTGAAAGATGCGAAAGGTTCCAATTACTCCACTCGGCCCTGCAGTACTGGAATTCCGACTCTCAAACAATTGACATGTATTGACACCTGTACTGACATGTGGACTGGCACATTCATTCAGCACATTTGGACGCATTTGGTTTTGGTACTGACGGGTGTGCTACCTTTCCTGGCAGTTTCAGCCGTGCAAAGGAGGTGGTGCATGTTTGCCGGCGATTCTTTCCCAGGCTTCGGACAGAGAGATCGATGGGGGGAGGGAAGGGTTTCGCACAAAATCACACAGCTCACCTTGGTACCTTGGTTGAAGGGGTTGAAGGTTAGGGGCGTGCCAGGTTCGGGCGTTGCGTGCCCTGTTCGGCATTGATGTGGGGACTGCTTTACAAAATTACTGAACAATGTTTCCAGTGTGACTTTGGGCTTCATGAAATATCAAGTTGCCCATGCCTTCGTTGCAAACGTTGAATGATGAATGATTGTTTTTTCCCCCAACCCCGGGTCCCTGTTCACAAAAGTAGAGTTTAATTTCGGTCCTCGCGACGACAAACCGCATGATTGACTCTCTCAGAAAAAATAAATCACACTAAAATAATAAAATATACTAAATTTGTTTCTATTTGCGACATTTTCTTGTTTGAACTTTGTGAAACCATGATAATTCTTTCTTTTTCTGGTCAACCTAGATACAATTAATACAAATATTTCCTTAATTGAAGCTATATTCAGCTATTTACTGGTGAGGGCCCAGAGTCAGGTCCATGCTGCCTAGGTTGGGACATTACTGGACTTAATTTTGGCCTATTTGATTGATTTTTTTTCACCTTACAGGCAGAAAATCTTGATTTCTGCTATGTGTTCTTGTGCTGGTTTTGATGTGAGGTAAAAAAAGCTAGAGCCGAGCCACATTGGCCCAAAACCGACTTCAAACACTGATTTGGGCACCCAAAGTGGGTGCAATTGGGGAATTCTAGGAGCGCACACCGTCACAACATGGCACCAACATTCAACATAGTTTCGATCTAGGTCTGGCAAAGGCGTGAGCATGACAAACGCACAAAACAACAACGCTTCGACGGGGTGGCAGCACGCACCGGCGCCTTCCCAAACCTTCCAAAGTGACCAAAAAACAAATAATCATGGTAATAATAATGATAGCAATATGGAACGGCAGGTTGGCAGCTGCATTTGATGATCATCGTGTTCGCTTGGAATTTGAAGATGGTGCCGAATGGGTTGGCAACGCCGTGCGCAAACAGAAAACGTTTCTCCGCTGCAGATGAGAAATTGTCATTGATTTGCGAGAAGACGTGTATTTTGCATGTTTTTGCACAAAGCGATGCGCTTCAACTGGAATGTAAAGAATGTGATTGAACATGTTTGGACAGTTGGAAGTTGAATTTTTAAGTAACGTTTGGGTTTTGTTGTTTAGAATGCGTCGGGAATATTTCAGATCTATCAAGAGCATGTGAGCGCAGCTGAGGTTTGACATCATCATAGTGGATTCCACTGACTTTGGTGCTGCCCAACCCCTTTTTGAAGAACACTTCCATCGGCAGCTACGTCAACTCATGGCGAAGATCGCCGTGTTAGTTTGAAACCCAGCAGTCTGCCAACATAATATGAGACCTCATATTATGATAATATGTGCTGCAATCAAACATCACCATGTTGTGAGGGTGGCCATCGATGGCCATCGGTTTTGTCACAGGTGATCAACCTCACTTCCCTGCCGTGGCAGTTGGAGTCGGTGCAAAGAAGTGTGGCGCGGCAACGACGCATCTTTCGCTTTGTGCGAGTGTTTCAAATCCATCAGCCAACGTACACCTCAGGCACAAGACGGAGCGGTATGTTTGCATTTCGATTCACGTGGCAGCAAAAGAAAACAAGGTGATTTTTCCTCTGTGAAAGACTTGAGTTGGTCAGGCCACTATTGTTTTGCAATTTGTTCCAATAGCGTTGACGCTCTGGAAACAGGCAGGGAAACTTGTTGTTAGATTGAGAGGGACGACAAATGGACACGTGTTCGACAAGATTGAGGTGACTTTGATATGATGAGAGCTTCGAAAGGAAAACACAAACATACAATTGATGTGGAAATGCCGACTTTTGTGTAATTTCCTTCAGAGGTTTCACAATCCCCATTTGCTGCTTTGCAAGGCACCATCGATTTTACAGCCGTCACCCACGGCTTGTACATGCAGCACCTTTCTTGATCTGACGGCCGATGGAGGGCAAACAAAAACCAAAAGCCTCGGCACTAGGTGAAGCAGTCCAATTCTCTTTTCATTGAATTCACTTTGCAGAAGGGTTGGGCCACAGGTTCAGTAAGTTCAGTTTGTTGAAGTATGTTGAAATGTTAATGGGAGACTCGGCATTCCGTGGCATGAAGTGCCCCACCCTGCCGGCTCAAAGGTACTACTCTCCAGAGGTGCACGAGGCTGCCTTCGCGCTGCCTGAGTTTGCCCGGAGAGCCATCAGCGCTCCGTCAAAGGCACGGAAGAAAGCGAGGAAAGCGACGAAGAAACCGATGGTCCCTTGGACCTTTGGAATCCTTTGTGCCACACTTTGGAATCCCTTGGATTGGGATGGATTGCGCATGGGCTAGACATCAGAGGGTGGGATCGGATGCCCAAATCCCGAATCACTTGGAACATCCACCACTGCATCCTATCTCTTTTGCAGAAAGATGTTTGCCCATGAGCTTTTTTTCTTTGTTCTAACCAACTCGATCGATGTCGATCTCAATATTTATCACACGTCACACTGCTTCAGCTGCACTTGGTCACCCAAGGCGAGCATGAATTTCACTTCGAAGAACTATGCTGCTGACAAGCATGAGCTCTGAAGAACGCCAAATGCGGCAGATCTTGAGCCATGAAAATGTTACGTTGCAGCCGTGTGCAGTGGGTGTTTTGAAAGACGAAAAGAGCAGAAGCCCCACTGAAGCACGCCAAAACATCAACATATCGGATGTTTAAAGCAAGTCAATACAGAACTGTGCGGGTTCAAGATCAAGGGCCCCGGACTTCCAGAAGCGTTTTGCCGTTTCAGGCTGGTGGTTTGAGAGTTGCACTTGCCCCAGCCAGATTCTCAGAATTCTCAGCCTTGTGGCACTTCTTCAGTTCAATCGGTTCACAGCATGACGAGGCTCCCGCTCCAGAATCGAGGAGGCTGGAAGAAAGACAGCAGTCGAAAGTATGCAAGTCTTGGCCTCTTGGCCCTTCCAGATCATGTTTTCAAATTGTCATAAATGCAAATGCAGTTACAGAATGTATGAATGCATTTTCTACTAAGTTTACACACCATGTTACACAAAGTTGCGCAAAGTTGCACAAAGTATGAGTCTTGAGGTGTCTCGTATGGGCAGTGCCCTGCCTTTGGCCCATCCGGAGGAGAGCTTAAGCTGATTGTTTCTGATGACAGTCCAGAGTATTCCTAAGTGAAGAAACATGAAGAAACATGAAGAAACCATCTAAAAGCCCTTTAAAAGCAATCTAAAACTAAAAGCCATCTAAATGCCATCTAAGAGCCATCTAAAAGTGCCAAAAGCAAGCTAAAAGCAAGCTAAAAGCCATCTGAACGCCATCTAAGAGCCATCTAAGAGCCAGCTAAAAGCCAGCTAAAAAACCAATCTAAAAGCCAGCTAAAAGCCAGCTAAAAAAGCCATCTAAAAGTCATCTAAAAGCCATCTAAATGCCATCTAAGAGCCATCTAAAAGTGCCAAAAGCAAGCTAAAAGCAAGCTAAAAGCCATCTGAACGCCATCTAAGGGCCATCTAAGAGCCAGCTAAAAGCCAGCTAAAAAACCCATCTAAAAGCCAGCTAAAAGCCAGCTAAAAAAGCCATCTAAAAGCCAGCTAAAAGCAAGCTAAAAGCCATCTGAACGCCATCTAAGAGCCATCTAAGAGCCAGCTAAAAGCCAGCTAAAAGCCAGCTAAAAAACCAATCTAAAAGCCAGCTAAAAGCCAGCTAAAAAACCAATCTAAAAGCCAGCTAAAAGCCAGCTAAAAGCCATCTAAAAGCCATCTAAAAGCCATCTAAAAGCCAGCTAAAAGCAATCCAAAAGCAATCTAAAAGCAATCGAAAAGCCAGCTAAAAGCCATCTAAAAGCAATCTAAAAGCAATCGAAAAGCCAGCTAAAAGCCATCTAAAAGCCATCTAATGCCATCCAAATGCTTCGCAAGCTCAGTTCTACTAGTAAGTCACACTTGCCATACCACACGTATACTGTGCTCCCTGCGCAGCAGTGTTTCCAGTTGCGCAACCACTGTGTTTCAACACTGCGAGCAATACTTGAGGCAAGATTCGGTTTCCTTTGGTGTATCCACACAGCCGCTCTGTGGCTGGTTTATCTTGATCGTCTAAGATTTTTGAGGACGTGCACTTTATTTCTGCGCCCCCACCTTGCCCATCTGTGAGGTGCGGAGAAAACACTTGCGACGTACAAGAAAGAAAACCTGGAAGAAAGTTGAGACAGCAAGTGAAGATTCTATTTGACATGGCAAGTTTTAGTTCAGAAGCGTAGTCGAAAGATCTCAACAATTCAATTCAGATTGGTGCCCAGGCCAAAGAATGCACCATGCCATGGCCTTGGTTAAATGGCGTTGGGAAACAGGCCATTGAATGAGCAGAAGTTGAGCAGAAGTTGAGAAGCTTCAGAGTTGCTGAGATTGGTTGGAACATGGTTCAAACTCGTTGAAATTGTGGCTGCCTTCATGAGGTATGCCCCCAATCCGTGAGGAAGCTCTTGACACACTTGACCTTGAGCACCTCAGCCGCACACCCCGACGAATCCTGCTCTAGTGATCTCTAGCGGACCAGCAACAATGTGTCAATTGCTATTTGTTCATTTTGTTCTCGTTTGTCAAGCGCTCAGGGATGAGTTCCGGCCATCCACATCCGCTTACAGCGTGAGATATGCAAGACATGGTGGAGCCTGAGTGGCAGCATCCAGATACTCCTGGTTTAAGCACCGGGGGACCTGTGAGGGATCGATTTCAATACTCCAATTGGACTGCATGGAGACCGAATTCCGGTGATGAGTTTTTTGCTTTCGCCTGGGCTGAAATCTTTCTGACCAGCAAAAATTCATGATTTTCAGAAATGTTGTGTTTTTCAATGGCACGAGTCATGCTTTGAGCATTTGCAATTGAGGGCTGCCGAAGGGTTCTCAGACAGGCCAAGCCAAGCTTTTGGAGAAATGGCTATAATTCAGAAGATTTGATTTGCACGGCACAATGCTTCAAAAGAGCAAAGGCAGTTGAGCCCTGCGCATCATTTTCTCCGCATACAAGATTGATGTCTCTTTTGTGTCACGATGTGTCACGCTTCAGTTCACTCTCCTTGACGAATTTCAACCTCTGAGGTCGGCCACTTATTTGAGTCCTTAGCGGCAAGGGTCGCTGCTGAACAGGGGAGATGATCGTGAGCAAAGCGAGTAGGGCTCCACATCTACGTTCCCTACAACGCAAACATCTAAAACGACATATGTGAAATTAGCAACTGAATAGTATCATGATGAGTTGATTGAAGAACCAATCCAGAGCCAAGCCGTTCTCGGGCTGTTGTAATTAGTAGTGTTTCAAAAGCCATTCATCTACTATCAATCAAGAAACATCAAGAAACTTGTGTTTCAAGAGAAGCAGATGCTCCTCTTTTCCGCAGCACAAGAGTCTGGAATCGTTCGGAATGACAAAGCTTTAAAACATGCTTGGAGACCAACTGTTAGAGCTTCGTTAGAAGCCATTTTGCAAGCGACTCTTGAGCTTCTGCGACTCACAACCGAAAAACCTCGTGGTGCTCAGAGAAGGATCGGGATCGGAAGGGCAGAAGCCCCAAACGCTGAAGAGCAGCGACTCTCTGTGGACCCTTTTGCGGCTTCGTTTGCAGTGCAGAAAACTAGTCATGCTCTGCAACATTTTTTGCCATGCCAGCAACAGTCATACACGAACTTAAATTTTCTTAGTTTTGTCAAATAGTTTTCCTTTGCATCTTTGGTCTTGGATTGGTAGTATGCTGTGTAGAATTGTAACCTCACAGGCGCATGTGTCTGTCTGAGACGTGTACACCCGTGATTTGCATCGATCCAAGTGATTCTAAGTACATGGCTTTTATGGGCAGAGCCTTCGCCAGATGTCTCATGATGTCTCATGATGTCTCATGGCATCAATTCATTCAGCTTGAACCGAATCATAGCCGCCATAGCCATTTTGGAAGCTATTGAGTCACAGCTGCGCCGATGGTGTAAAGGCCTGAAGGCCTGGCAAAGGGCAAGTGGGTGACAGTCACTGATCAGCACAAGTTCAATGTCCTTTTTCCATTGCTTGCGTGAACCCTTATGCCTTATACCGACTTATACCGATACCTATGGATTTCTGGTTTTCCCCAGTATTTCGTTGCCCCTTGTGACTTGATGTGCATTTGTGGTGCCCAGGTGTGGGCAGGCTGCCCAGACGGCCGGCACTAAGCCACGCGGGCCACGATGCAGCCCGTGGCTGGGCTGCCGCCAAATGTGCCGGTCTCATCCGTTTCTTCCGCACCTTTGATTTGCGGTTCTTGATAATACTCAGACAGTACTAAGCCTTAGTTCCTTAACCAAACATGAACATCCAGCAAGGCCTTCACGATGCCTATGCCTGCTCCAGGGAGACTTGGCTTTGTTGGCAGATGGGGTGGATTCGGATGTCAATTCAAAATGAGTTGTTCTTGTTCATTTTTGTTCAATGTCATGATATGATCAATTGAAGTACTTCTTTCGGGCAGTCACCCAACACGCGAGTGCTATTTTGAGTCCTTATGACTTTGGTTTATTTTTGGTTTATTTTGGTTTATTTTTGGGATCATCAACTCAGCATTTTTGCTGATTTCTTGATTGATAGGATGGGGCCTCCACTGCCTGGTGCGCCCATGCTGGTGCATGGCTCAGCTCGCAGCTGCAATATTGTGATATAAGATACAGAACTTTACACATATCATGATAACATCTACATATTACATATCATATATATATATAATATAATATAATACAATATTATATAATATAATATAATATAATTATAATTATAATTATAATATAATATAATATGATATAATACAATATACAATATACTACATAGATAGTGTAGATTAAAGTTGACTAATTCAGATGGAGAACTACATGAATCGATTTAATTTGTATTTGCGGCATCCAATCTAAGGTGCCAGTTCCAGCAACTGCACCGCTGCCTGCGACCTTGCACCTTTGCTTTGGAAAGGGGGGGAATTGGAGGCTGATGGGTTTATGGCATATGGTGGGTTTATGGGGGATATAATGGATAATAATTAGTGGAAATAAGTGTAGTTCATGGTGGATAACAACCATAGTTTCACTATAGTTGATGGGTTTCTAAACCAACAAACAGAACCGGGGAGCCTCACCTTGTTTGATACTTCACTAGGCCATTAGGAGGTCGTGGAAACAGCCAAACATCTTGGATGTAGCTGCATCACTGACCTTTGCCGGGCTTCATATTGGAGTGAAAGGTTGCCAAACCTGAGGCTGTTTCATTCATGTCATTGAAGTCAGAGCATGCTATCCGAGGCCAGGTGCTTTGCCGCCCATGCAACTTGGCTGATGGGGACCACTTTTCATGCAAAGCTTCATGCTAAGCGCAGACATCTTGGACACCTGCTCCTGCCAGGGGTGCGCCTGGCCTACCTGGCTTACCCGGGGTGAAGCTTGGCTGAATACTGTAAGTCAGAATGCGGTCAGCTCGACATTTTTTGTGATGGTCTTTGTTTGGAATGTAGATGGCTTCAAACATCAACTGTTTTTTGGAACAGATTCCTTGCACTTGCACAGTATTCTTTGATTGGGGCGGCTGGCATCATCGACAAATGCATTTGCAAGAGCTCAAGATTTCGGTGTTCTCTTCTTTCTCTAAATTCTCTTCTTTCTCTTCTTTCTATTCTTCTTCTCTTCGTCTTCTCCTCTTCTTCTCTTCTTATTCTTCTCTTCCTCTTCCTCCTCTTCTTGTTGTTCTGTGTTTTTTCCAGTTTCCAATATCCTCTTGTTCTTGATCCGTTTCTTCTTTTACCCTTTCTCTGTTCACCACACTTTGATACTGCATTGAACATCAAAAGGTCATGGTCTCTCCAAACATGCTTTGTAAGGACGGAGCAATGCAGCCAAAAGTCTGTCCTCCCGTGCTCTCAACCCCATACCTCCCTTCTCCATCCTGGCTGTTTCGGCTGTTTAGGTATGGTCCCTCCCGTGTTAGGTTTGGTATGGTTTGGTTTTTCTTTGTTTCCAGTGTTATTTTGATATCCTTTGGCACCACCTCTCCAATGGTTTCCGAACATGGAACCCCGATGTTGCTTGTTTGCTCTTCCTTGTTCTGAGGGGTCTTGGTTGGCGCATGTACCTTCCATCTTGTCTATTGTTTGTATTGCATGTTACGTGATGTTCCCTCCTAAACTGTTTCCGAACATCGAAAGTCCCATGTTGTTGTGCTTCATTTTTCTTGTTTTGCTGACTCCCCAGCCGGCCAATCCCTTTGGCTTTGGTGTATTCCCCTGTCTCAAGTCATTGGATACTAAGGACATTGCCGCCACCACCAAACGCTGGTGCGACAGTGTATCTTCCTCAGATTGCTACAGACCATTGGATACCATTGGTATTTATTTGGGTGTTAAGGATTAAGTACTTCCTCGTAGGTTTGATGTTTCACTCGCTTTTTTTGCTCCGCAATGATCACTTCGAAGTCTCGGCAGTCGAGGGAGCCAGGGCAAACATCGAGACCTCCGGCCTGTAGATGCCGGTGATTTGCAGATATCATCAGATATCATCAGATATCTACCGGATTTTAATATATCTTAATGCTGATTAGGATATTGGGATATTGGGCAGATTAGGATAGATTAGGATAGATTAGGCAGATTTGAAGAAAGTTGTGTCAGTCAAGTGCAGTACAATTTTTGACCGCCAGGAGATTTGGTTCCCTGCGCTTTAGCAATTGACACACTAGTTTGCCTTGCCCAGGTCCATCGCCATTGACAACTTGCCATTTCGGTATCAGCTGTCCGAGGTGCTCAAACCCATTTCCATCCAATTTGAATCCATCCATATCCATTCCGAGCCATACCCACACGTATGCAAGTCTGCTGCTGCCTCAACCATCCCAGTGAATCAGGCTGATCTGAAGGAGATGTTTCAGCGATGGGGAACTGTGCAGTCAGTCCAGGTGCCAGTCCGACAGTGCAACAGTTTCCATGGCGTTTCTTTGGACTTCTGGTTGTTTTCAGCCTCTACTACTCCAGTCTTCAAACAATTTCAAACACCTTTTGCGCAGCCATTGCCAAATGTGAGGTGGTGCGAGATAGTGGCAGCAGAGAGGTCGGCTCTGTCCAGTTTGCAGACCAGGTGCCGTTGGGTCTTTGTCTCCATCACCCAGCTGTCAGTGAAGAAAACTGTCCAGGTTGATGCGCAGGATGCGCAAAAACAACTGACGGGGCAGAGCTGTACATTCGATGGTGCCACTGGCACTCTGGCGGTTGTCATGGGGAGCCCTTTTCAACTGGCGGTGCCAAGGGCTCAGTGAAGAGATGACATCGGTAAAAGCTTGAAGCTGCAAAAGAGAATACTGGTTGAATCTTTTTGCCACAGCAGACCAAGGATATGTTGAGAGCTGAAATTTAGACATCAGAAATCATCAGAACCAAAATATCAGTCACGGCCGATTGATTGAAGTGAAGCAAGTTCTGAGACACTGAGTAGTTTTTAGAGGTTTTTGTTTCGTGGCTTCAGGGGGAGCAATGAGATTTTGAGAATATACCGCATGTATAAGCCATATTTCTGCCAGAGGCCAAGACAAGTCCCAGGGCAAGCAGGCCGCTGATGTGTGGGAGTGCTTTGAGATCTTTAAAAAAACAATTGAACAGTGAACATGTTCTATCCTTTCTAGACTTTTCTCTGCTATTCTGCTATTCCCTAAAGCAGAGGCTCTCAAGCTCCCAACTTTTTGAAACTGTCGATGATTCGGCAGCCAGGTCCTGGTCCGGTCGCGCCGACAGGCCCTTTGTCTGGTGCTCACGCTTTCGCGGTGATGGGAACGAACACAAATCTGAACTCAGCTCCCAATTCCTAGCACCTCCTAGTAACTGCCAGTAACTGCTAGTAACTCCCAGGCTTGGTGCCACTCACGGGTGATCAGTGCCTTGTGCTTGAAGCTGCTTAGGTCTGCTCCTAGCGCTTGTGGGCCAGGCTGGGAGATCAATGGCAGTGAGGTCATGGCTATTCGAATCCGAGTTTGAATATGACAGGTATGACAGTGACTTGGGACATTTGGGACAGTGAAACGGCTTTGCCATCTGCACCTTCCCTGTTCAGGTGCGCCGAAAAACGGCACCCCGGTCATGGCGGATGGAAAGGGTGCGCAGCGACCACAGACTTTGGCCAGCTGGATCCGTTCATTTCCCCTGTGATATCTTGTGGAACCTAGGTCTTTGTCACTTTCTGCGAAAAAAACTGAGCATAGACACGACCAGTGTTGGTCTGATGTTTGTTAGTTCTACAGTAACATGTTGTACGCTGCAAGATCTGCTTGAAGATCAGGCCGGCAGCAAATGCTGATTTGTTGTTCACGTGGTACCTTATTCCAAGGCCAGCAAATGGCCACGTGAGACCTGTGTGGTGTTGCAAGATCGTGGTGGAGGCAGGTTCTAGCTTCTAGAGTTAATTTGTGTAGCTGTCGCTCAGTCATACGAGCCTTGCCTTCATTCAAGATTTGGAACAAGAAATGTAGACCAGTGTCACATTATGACTGTTTGAGACGCTGTCACAGGCAGAATCACTGCATCCGGAGTTTCCCACGGCACCTGGCTAAGATTCTACGCAACACGGAAAGTGCTGTAGGTTGACTTCGAAACTGCAGCAGTGCAGTTGGACTTGTCTTGGGCTGTAGTTTGGCAACTTATACAATATAGAGATTAGAAACTGAAGTGTTGGTCAAGATTGTTTGTTTCATGCTGTAGGTTGGCAACCTACAGGGATTGGAAACAAAAGCGTTGGTATTAACGGATCGGGTTTTAGGCCACGTTGGGCTTGTTTGGTGCTGTGGGTTGGCAACCTACAGGGATTAGAAACTGAAGTCTTGGTATCAAATGGTGGGGGTTTGGGCCACGTGGGGCTTGTCTGGTGCTGTAGGTTGGCAACCGACAGGGATTTAGAACTGAAGTCTTGGTATCAAAGGGTGGGGGTTTGAGCCACGTGGGGTTTGTCTGGTGCTGTAGGTTGTCTTGGTATCAAAGGGTGGGGGTTTGGGCCACGTGGGGCTTGTCCGGTGCTGTAGGTTGCCAACCTCAGGGACTAGAAACTGAAGTCTTGGTATCAAAGGGTGGGGTTTGGGCCACCTGGGGCTTGTCTGGCGCTGTAGGTTGGGAACCTACAGGGATTAGAAACTGAAGTCTTGGTATCAAAGGGTGGGGTTTGGACCACGTGGGGCTTGTCTGGTGCTGTAGGTTGGGAACCTACAGGGATTAGAAACTGAAGTCTTGGTGTCAAATGGTGGGGGTTGGGGCCACGTGGGGCTTGTCACTGTAGGTTGGCAACCTGCAGTCTTGGTATCAAAGGGTGGGGTTTGAGCCACGTGGGGCTTGTCTGGTGCTGTAGGTTGGGAACCTACAGGGATTGGAAGCTTAGGTCTTGGTATCAAATGGTGGCGGTTTGGGCCACGTGGAGCTTGCGCAGCTTGTACGGTGCCGTAGGTACTGTTGGTATCAAAGGGTGCGGGTTTGGGCCATGTAGGGCTTGTTTGGTGCTTTATGTTGGCAACCTGTAGAAACTGAAGTCTTGGTATCAAAGGGTGGGGGTTTGGGTTTGTTTGGTGCTGTAGGTTGACAACCTACAGGGATTAGAAACTGAAGTCTCGGTGTCAAAGGGTGGGGGTTTTGGGCCACGTGGGGCTTGTCACTGTAGGTTGGCAACCCAGGGATTAGAAACTGAAGTCTTGGTATCAGAGGGTGGGGTTTGGGCCACGTGGGGCTTGTCTGGTGCTGTAGGTTGGGAACCTACAGGGATTAGAAACTGAAGTCTTGGTATGAAAGGGTAGGGGTTTGGGCCACGTGCGGGGCTTGTTTGGTGCTGTAGGTTGGCAACCTACAGTGGTAACCTACAGGGATTTGAAGCTGAAGTCGTGGTATCAAAGGGTGGGGGGTTTGGTCCACGTGGGGCTTGTCACGTGCTGTAGGTTGGCAGCCTCAGGGACTAGAATCAGAAACTGAAGTCTTGGTATCAAAGGGTGGGGGTTTAGGCTACGTGGGGTTTGTTTGGTGCTGTAAGGGCTTGTCTGGTGCTGTAGGTTGGCAACCTACAGGGATTAGAAACTGAAGTCTTGGTGTCAAAGGGTAGGGGTTTGGGCTACGTGGGGCTCGTCTGGTGCGGCAATTGACAGGGATTAGAAACTGAAGTCTTGGTATCAAAGGGTGGGGTTTGGGCCACGTGGGGCTTGTCTGGTGGTGTGGGTTGGCAACCTACAAGGATTAGAAACTGAAGTCTTGGTGTCAAATGGTGGGGGTTTGGGCCACGTGGGGCTTGTCTGGTGCTGTAGGTTGGCAACCTAGAGGGATTAAAAAATGAAGTCTCGGTATCAAATGGTGGGGGGTTGGGGCACGTAGAGCTTGTCTGGTGCTTTATGTTGGCAACCTGTAGAAACTGAAGTCTTGATGTCAAGGGGTGGGGGTTTTGGGCCACGTGGGGCTTGTTTGGTGCTTTATGTTGGAAACCTGTAGAAACTGAAGTCTTGGTATCAAAGGTTGGGGGTTTGGGTTTGTTTGATGGTGTAGGTTGACAACCTACAGGGATTAGAAACTGAAGTCTCGGTGTCAAAGGGTGGGGGTTTTGGGCCACGTGGGGCTTGTCTGGTGCTGTAGGTTGACAACCTACAGGGATTAGAAACTGAAGTCTCGGTGTCAAAGGGTGGAGGTTTTGGGCCACGTGGGGCTTGTCACTGTAGGTTGGCAACCTGCAGGGATTTAGAACTGAAGTCTTGGTATCAAAGGGTGGGGGTTTGAGCCACGTGGGGTTTGTCTGGTGCTGTAGGTTGGCAATCTACAGGGATTAGAAACTGAAGTCTTGGTATCAAAGGGTAGGGGTTTGGGCCACGTTGGGGGCTTGTTTGGTGCTGTAGGTTGGCAACCTACAGGGATGAAAAACTGAAAGTCGGTATGAAATGGTGGGTGTTTGGGCCACTAGAGCTTGTTTGGTGCTTTATGTTGGCAACCTGTAGAAACTGAAGTCTTGGTATCAAAGGGTGGGGGTTTGGGTTTGTTTGGTGCTGTGGGTTGACAACCTACAGGGATTAGAAACTGAAGTCTCGGTATCAAAGGGTGGGTTTGGGCCACGTGGGGCTTGTCTGGTGCTGTAGGTTGGGAACCTACAGGGATTTGAAACTGAAGTCTTGTTATCAGAGGGTGGGGTTTGGGCCCCGTGGGGCTTGTCTGGTGCTGTAGGTTGAGAACCTACAGGGATTAGAAACTGAAGTCTTGGTATCAAAGGGTAGGGGTTTCGGCCACGTGCGGGGCTTGTTTGGTGCTGTAGGTGGGGCACGCGGGGGTTGTCTGGTAACCTACAGGGATTTGAAGCTGAAGTCTTGGTATCAAAGGGTGGGGGGTTTGGTCCACGTGGGGCTTGTCCCGTGCTGTAGGTTGGCAACCTACAGGGATTAGAAACTGAAGTCTTGGTATCAAAGGGTGGGGGTTTGGGCTACGTGGGGTTTGTTTGGTGCTGTAAGTTGGCAACCTACAGGGACACGTGGGGCTTGTCTGGTTCTGTAGGTTGGCAACCTACAGGCAAGTCTTGGTATCAAAAGGTGGGGGTTTGGGCCATGTGGGGCTTGTTTGGTGCGGTGGGTTGGCAAGGGATGACAAACTGCAGTGTTGTTACTACGGGGCAACCTATATACAGGGATTAGAAACTGAAGTCTTGGTATCAAAGGATTGGGTTTGGGCCACGTGGGGCTTGTCTGGTGCTGTAGGTTGGGAACCTACAAGGATTAGAAACTGGATAAGTCTTGGTGTCAAATGGTGGCGGTTTGGGCCACGTGGGGCTTGTCTGGTGGGTGCTCTAGGTTGGCAACGTATAGGGATTAAAAACTGAAGTCTCGGTATCAAATGGTGGAGGTTTTGGGCCACGTGGGGCTTGTCACTGTAGGTTGGCAACTTGCAGGGATTAGAAACTGAAGTCTTGGTATCAAAGGGTGGGGTTTGGGCCACGTGGGGCTTGCCTGGTGCTGTAGGTTGGGAACCTACAGGGATTTGAAACTGAAGTCTTGGTATGAAATGGTGGGGGTTTGGGCCACGTGGGGCTTGCGCGGCTTGTACGGTGCCGTAGGTACTGTTGGTATCAAAGGGTGCGGGTTTGGGCCATGTAGGGCTTGTTTGGTGCTTTATGTTGGCAACCTGTAGACACTGAAGTCTTGGTATCAAAGGGTGGGGGTTTGGGTTTGTTTGGTGCTGTGGTTGACAACCTACAGGGATTAGAAACTGAAGTCTCGGTGTCAAAGGGTGGGGGTTTTGGGCCACGTGGGGCTTTTCACTGTAGGTTGGCAACCTGCAGGGATTAGAAACTGAAGTCTTGGTATCAAAGGGTAGGGGTTTGGGCCACGTTGGGGGCTTGTTTGGTGCTGTAGGTTGGCAACCTACAGGGGCATGGGGGTTGTCTGGTAACCTACAGGGATTTGAAGCTGAAGTCTTGGTATCAAAGGGTGGGGGGCTTGGTCCACGTGGGGCTTGTCCCGTGCTGTAGGTTGGCAACCTACAGGGATTAGAAACTGAAGTCTTGGTATCAAAGGGTGGGGGTTTGGGCTACGTGGGGTTTGTTTGGTGCTGTAAATGGGCAACCTACAGGGACACGTGGGGCTTGTTTGGTGCTGCAGGTTGGCAACCTGCAGGTAAGTCTTGGTATCAAAAGGTGGGGGTTTGGGCCATGTGGGGCTTGTTTGGTGCGGTGGGTTGGCAAGGGTTGAGAAGCTGCAGTGTTGTTACTACGGGGCAACCTACAGGGATTAAAAATTGAAGTCTTAAATGGTCGGGGTTTGGGCCACGTAGAGCTTGTCTGGTGCTTTATGTTGGCAACCTGTAGAAACTGAAGTCTCGGTGTCAAAGGGTGGGGGTTTTGGGCCAGGTGGGGCTGTCACTGTAGGTTGGCAACCTGCAGGGATTGGAAAGTGAAGTCTTGGTATGAAAGGGTGGGGTTTGAGCCACGTGGGGCTTGTCTGGTGCTGTAGGTTGGGAACCGGGATTAGAAACTGAAGTCTTGGTATGAAATGGTGGGGGTTTGGGTCACGTGGGGCTTGCGCGGCTTGTACGGTGCTGTAGGTAGTCTTGGTATCAAAGGGTGGGGGTTTGGGCCACATGGGGCTTGCGGAGCTTGTACGGTGCCGTACGTAGTCTTGTTATCAAATGGTGGGGGTTTGGGCCACGTAGGGCTTGTCTGGTGCTGTATGTTGGCAACCTACAGGGATTAGAAACTGAAGTCTTGGTGTCAAAGCGTGGGGGTTTTGGGGCACCTGGGGCTTGTCACTGTAGGTTGGCAATCTGCAGGGATTAGAAACTGAAGTCTTGGTATCAAAGGGTGGGGTTTGGGCCGGGGATTAGAGACTGTAGTGTGGGCATCAAACTGGACTGAGAGCTGAGTGCTGGCCCAAGGTGGTTAGAATCAAAGGAGAGGGTGATGCTAACGTTGAGCACATCAGGCGCACATTTTTGGGTTGTCCAGCTCTTGCAATTTTATTCTTTTGCAAACGGGCTGTGATCAAAGAGACGCAAACAGTTCGACCCTTCTCAGTTGACCTGTAGCTCCATGGTATGTCATGTGTAGGTGCTTTCCTTGGTGCAAGCTTTCCAACCCAAGCCACTTTTCATTATTTGGGTCCGTTGAAGTTTTTCTGACCGCAAAATCCAACAGCCAACAGCGGCAGATGTTGGATTCGCCAGGACGCAGACAAAATGCTACGTGCAGCTCCGCGGAAAGGGATCAGAGACTCTGGAGCCCGAAACAAGTCAGGACAGAATGCGAATTGGAGAGGACGTAAACAGAATTAAACGTGGAATTTGGCCGAATCGATCGATTGTTTAGAGTTTTTTTAACCATTTTAACCCATCTAGGGACCATTCACTCAGACGGCACTAAACCACAGTGCCACGGCGCCAGGAGTTGCCAGAGCCTATGTTCTTGTGGCTCACAAGTTGTGCTCCAAGAGAACTACGGCAGAAAACATATTTCCAAGATTTCTGATGGGTTCGGCTTAAGTCTTCCAAATTTGATCACTTGATCGAGCTTTCAGAGGCTTTCAGGCAACTGGCCAACTTAAGTGCAAAATAGGTATCAAGTCCCCCCAGGCCCTGAAGCTGACAGTAAGAAGCGCATGCAATGCAAATGTAGTTCGGCCCCCTCGGCTGCCTTCTTGTTTCTAAGGTGACAGCGCTGAAAACGGCAAAGTAGGAATGGAGATGACCCTGGACTGAAGCTTGGAAGTTGTTCTTTTCTGTGTTTGCAAGATGCTTAATTAAACTATTTTGTCTCTTGACTCTTTATATACTGATGTTTTCTGTTGGTCTTTTGTCAGCTCTGACTTCTGATTGGACTGTTGAGAGCGGCAATATGTGGCAACGCTTGGCAGATTGTTGGACGCTGAAATCCCTGCAGGACTTGCTGAAAAGCATCTACGAAGGTCATCAACAGTTGGAGCCTCGGGAAAGAAACCAAGTATTGGCAGAAAAAGGTGCAACTTTTATCATCATTTTCAAATATTTTCAGGAGAAAAGAAACCTTAAATGACAAAATGATTTGGCCCAAGCTGTCATTTTGTAGATGTTTTGTAGATGCCTCCAGGCTTTCAAGATTTGTGTCCCTCCAGGTGGTGTGAGCAGAATGGGATTGGCCATCCGGAATCCATCAAACCGAGCCTTGACGGCACCTTTTTTGCTGCTGGAAGAGCTGTGTTATGCGCTTTGCGGCTTTGCGCTGCCAAGGAAGGTCTTGGAAAACCCAGAAGTTCTGCCAGGCTCCGAACAAACACCGCACTGGAAGATTATGATACATTATGGCATTTATGATGGCATCTTTGTGCTGTTAAGATATGTCAAGATAATTCATTGCTGAAGAGATGGGCGTGTTTGCCACGTAGTGACGTAGAGTCTAGTGACTTCTGGTGGCACGTCGTCACGTCTCTATTGTGGGATTCTTGATCCAAGCAGATCCACAAACTGCCAGGCTCCGGTCCTACTGGTGCTATGGGACAGGCACTTGGAGTCTGACATTGTGGGCCTAGATATGAAAGGACTTGGAAGGAAAACCATCAAAGGAAATTCCAAGAGATCTGAAAGCCTAAGAAGAAACAGCAGTGTATTTGGCAGATTTTGGCAGTTTTTCTGGTTCTTCTGGCTTGAGAAACGGAATCGAATCAGGTTTTGCAGCTGCAGCTGTGCAGGGTTTGACAGAGCTGTCATTCTTGAGACATCAGGTGGTACCACCACCGAATACAAACTATGGATCTGATCTCAGTGCCTGGCTGCCTCACTATTTCTGAAGGCAAAAGGTGCCGAGGCAACAAGTGAAGAGATCCTAGCACTCCGAGGCCCAGGCAAAGGTTCCCTGCCAGGCAAAGTGCCTGGGAGCCAAGAGCATTGGTTCGGCCGACATGGCGTTTCATTCATAACGATTCATATTCAGAATGTATATATCTTTTGTGTAGTATAGTATAGATAGATAGGTAGTAGATAGATAGATTAGATTAGATTGGATTGGATTGGGTTGGATCGGGTTGGATTATATAGATTAGATTAGTTTAGTTTAGATTAGATTAGATTAGATTATATTAGATTATATAGATTGGATTGGATTGGGTTGGATTGGATTATATAGATTAGACGATTAGATTAGATTAGATTATATTAGATTATATAGATTGGATTGGATTGGGTTGGATTGGATTATATAGATTAGACGATTAGATTAGATTAGATTAGATTGTATTAGATTAGATTGTATTAGATTAGATTGTATTAGATTAGATTAGACTATATAAATTGGATTAGATTAGATTAGATTAGATTAGATAGATAGATAGATGCATGCATGCATGCATCCATCTATCCATCTATCCATCTATCCATCTATCCATCTATCCATCGATCCTTCCATCCTTCCATCCATCCCTCCATCCATGCAGACAGACAGACAGCCAGCCAGCCAGGCAGGCAGGCAGGCAGACAGACATACATACCTACCCACGTACTGACGTACGTACATGCGAACATGTGACATACGTAGATACGTTAATACTATACGGTATATACTCATATGACTCATATACGTATATAGTATATACATACGTACATACGCACATACTGTGGATGGAAGAAATCCTGCACCAGTTGGCAACCGTTAGGTAGCTATGAAACATTGTAAATAAATGTAAATAATGCGGTTACAAGGGGATAAACATGGATAAACCATGTACCAACTGGTGCAGGATTTCTTCCATCCACCGCACGTATAATATACGTATATACATACGTACATGCAATCCTGAATGTAGATAATTGTTATATAATATAATATATATATATATATTATATAATGTTCTGCTGAATGTGTCCATTTGCTCCATCACCGTAGCAACTGGTAGCTCCCCGGCTCTGTCTCTGATACCAACTTGGGGATGTAGCTGGCAGCTGAGGCCGGGACCATACTTTAAGTGACCACGCTGAGCACAGCTGAGCAGAGCTGAGCAGAGCTGAGCGAATCTGTGGAGGTCGAGAAACCTCTGGGTTCGTTGTGTATACAAAACGTTAATCGCTGGAAAAGGATTTGCAGCAGCACAAAGGGCGTGCTACACCTGGCCAAGAAAGACATGTCTTCCGATGTTGCTTGTCTTATTCCCGTGATCATGTATATGGCCTTGCTCCAATACAGAGACTCGTATTTTATGTTTTTCCATCTTTGCACTCTCATCATCAAGACTTGGCATTGCCTGCAAATCCAATCAGGTGATGGTCTGAGATGACTCCGTGACGATTAAACTTCGCGTCAGCAACTACGCTTCAGCAACTACGCTTCAGCAACCAAAACCCACTCTCGCTTCAGCAACCAAACCTCAGCAACCAAGACTGGCATATCAAAATCCCACCCCCTCTGGCAAGTACATGCAAAGTCACATCTTACACGTGATATCAACATCCCACCCCCTCTGGCAAGTACATGCACAGTCTCATCTTACACGTCATATCATTTGGTTTTTGAATCATAGTTTACGGAGCATAGTTTACGGATCTTGGTTTACGAAACATAGTTTACGAGTCATAGTTTACGAGTCATGGTTTACGAAGCATAGTTTACGAATCCTTGTTCTGCTTGAGCTTTTTGACCTCACTGCCCTACATTTTGTCCAAGGCTTTTTTTTGGGGCTGAAATCGTTTGGATGCGCCATTTAGCATTGGTTGGCAAGGACTGGCAAGGGGTGAATTGCAGAGGTGCCACTGGGTACCCAAGAAATGCCTCTGGAGACCATGACTGTATTGTACTTTGGAATAGGGCAATAGGGGAAGAAAGATAGCACCAGTGCTCTTTCCTAAGTGAGTGCTCAGTTGTGCTTTTTCGTTCTGCGGTTCTGTCGCTCAGATCAAGGACAAACAAACCAGGGCAGAAGATGTGGGGAATGGCTTACTTGTCACTGTCCAAAGCACTTGTATGCCGCCAGCAGCAACACTGATGAACTGCTATCCACACCAACGACAGACACAAGATCACGTGTAGCCAATCAACAGCCTGCAACTTGCAATTGCCACTTGTAAGCACGGTGTCACTTTTTTTCGTTGATGGCACCAGCAGGCGTGGGCTGTTTCTGGTCAATATGTATTGGCCCATGCAGTAAAGCTAAAGGGTTTCTCTGAGCGGTGTGTGTCAAGTGTGTGTTGCTGTTTGCAGTGATTGTCCAGCAGGAAAGGTCTTGGCAGCGATTGCTGTTTTATGTTTGTGCAGGAAGCATGCCGGCAAGCTGGGGCCACAATACAGGGCAACTTGATAGGTCATAGGTGTACTCGAGCCGAGCCTACAAACGCCTATGTAAAGACGATGACCCCGGGTTTGATTAACTTTAGTTCCTAAGCACGGCAGGGATTCACTGTGACAAAAGGTGGTAGCTGCAGGCAGTCTTTAAGTGCTCATGATAGGCTTCCATCCTCGAAGAAGCAAACGTGTATCTTCGAGTGATAGGATTGGAAGGTGCACGTTCGGATTCTGTAGTGCTTCTTCCCAGGTCAGACCGGTCAAGGTCAAGGCCGGAATGTGGAGGACAGACGGCACATTCGAACAGCAAGTGCTTGTTTCGAGATGGCAGATACAAACCTTGATCCTCAATCCAGGTTCAACACGGAGATGACATGAGATGATCAGATTTTTTGACGGCATTGAAATACTCAGATAGTTATGGCACGTAGTTTCCCTACGATCCCGATGCAGGAACTCAAAGGCCTCGTTGTCCACACTCTGGAGACAAACGGCGCCTCGGCCATGGGGTTAAAGAAGCCTTGAAGGAACGCAATTCATCGCAATTCATCACAATTCATCACCATATTCCAATATATTCCAATATATTCCAATATATTCCAATATATTCCAGATGTATTGAATTGTATTGACCAAAGCGGATCTCAAACGCTTCCACTTCAGACTGGAGATTCCTGGTGTAGTGCCAACAGGTGTTTTGGGGCAAATTCGGGCCGAGCTGCGAGCGAATGTCTACAAGGCTACTCCACCTTTCGATGAATGAAACGTAATGTAGCGAACATGTAGCGAACGTGCTCCTATGATCTGAGACGCACTGAAAATAAAGAGTCTTTTTCGGCGTTTAGCGATCCCATAAGACTACTTCTCCTTTCAGCTCAGCAACAAATCATAGAGGTTCGATGAGGTTCAGATTATGTGTTTACATCTTTGTACTGTTTTTTTCCAAGCACACACACACACATATTACATGTAGATATGAATAAATCTCAAATAGATGTTGTGATAAGTCTTATGAGTCTTATGATAATATATACTAATATACTATATATATAAAATGGTATATCATGATATATATCAAGATGCTATGGGAGCCCCCTGCGGCAAGATAACCAGCTGGGCGGCAGGCCATCGACTGCGACGAGGACGTCGGAGCTTCGTCGTCGGTGCGCTCCGCCATGGCGCAGGTGGGAGGGGGTGGAGGGACTGGTGCTATAGTATATATATATACCATCAGGTTATTTAACATAGCCATGGAAAATGGCCCATTTATAGATGGTTTACCTATTAAAAATGGTGATTTTCCATGGCTATGTTAAATAACCAGAGGATATATATATATATACGTAGATGTATATATATATATATATCTAGATGTATATGATGTATATGCAACTATACACTGTTATGTTTGATCAGTTGCTTGTAGACAACACATGACAACTAATGATAATGATAATGATAATGATGAAGGTCATGACAACTACGAATGATCTGGTAATATGTTCTTTTATTTGTAATCATTACCCAAAATTGTATGGTTCATACAATGCACCAACTTTGTGGTCCATTCGTAACCCATTCTCAACCAATACCCCAATACCCAGCTGCACTCCGTGGTTTGAGAGGCCAAGATGACGAAATCGCCAGTCGGACAGTTGATGGCTGAGATTGCAGGGCGCCCCGGATGCCACCACGACTCAGCTGTGGGCTCTTTTTTGAGGTGCAGTCAAGGTTAAAGCTGTGCGAAAGTTTCATGAACCTTCGTGACAGATGTGAAGACAGCAAGAAGAGGCCAACTTTAGTATCATAATAATATCATAATAATATCATAATAATATCATAATAATATCATAATAATATCATAATAATACATAATAATATCTAGTTCATTTCTTAGACTATAATAAATAATAAAGCCATCCAAGATGGTCCAAGTCATAGCTGGTGCCAAGGTGGCAGAGTTCTTTGAGTTCTACCATTTCAGGTGGGAAATGGGAAGGGCAAGTCTCCATGTGCCTGGGACGTCCCCCGCGTGACAAAGTATGATAAAGCGGCATGTGATTTAAGGCATTTAAGGGATCCTGGGAGGATTGCACATACAACAAGGCCTGCAAACATTTGGCTCAGATATGCAGTCAAGGGCAGCGCTGCCCATTTTTTGGTGAGCTGCTGGGCGACAGCATTTTAAGATGTTCAATTCTCTATCATTTTCCCTGACCTTAGCTTTTTATTGAAGTTTATTTTGCCATATTTTGCCTAATTTTCGAACAAGTGCCATTTGTGCGATGGGTACAGTTTATGTGCTGCTTCTTGCTGGAATCCGAGGCTCAAGATGTTTGCCAGGATCGCTAGGCCATTGGTGTCAGCGCCCACCAGGCTTGGAGGGACCGTCGGAAAATATTGAAGCCATAAGAATTTCAGCATTGTTAGCACCTTAGGAAACATGCCAGTGAAAGATACGCGTGCCACATGTCCATGATTGGCACACTAGAAGCTTGAGATCAAACGTCTCCCTTCCTGTTCCATTTGCAGGTGCTCGTTACGAAGGTTCAGCGCATCTGCAAGCACCTCGGTGGACCGGATCTTCCAGCTTTTCAGCAAGAGACTTGGCTCTCCATCTCTGGATTTTTGTATCAAAGGCACCATACAATCCATCGCAGATGCCTGGCAGATGCTTGGCGTAGGCTCCTAGCCAAGGCATGGTGGCGACGACTACATCGGGGAGGAAGTCTCTCAACTGGAACATGCTTTGCAGGCAGCAGATCTCGCCCAGAGGCGCGACATGGCACAACAGTGTTAGTGCCAAGTCTCTCAGCTTGGAAGTGGATTATTGATTGGTTCTTCGAAGTTCATGACTGACCCAGACCCATGTACCCCCTTCGGCAAGGGATGACGTGATGCGTAGCAACGCGAGCCACGCTGAATTCCGTCATAACTTGGGCAAATTGCCTGTCCTCGGGACACTCATCAATCCATTGACAGGTATTTTTACGACCATTATCTATAGGGATTCCCATTGCGGTTTGGATGACCATTACCATTCCAATATTTGACTTCAGTATGTACGTTATTCATTTGTGGCAGTTTTGGTTTCGTACAATTTTGAACAGGCTTTTTGACATCAAGGTCTGTGCTTTTCTGAGATTCTGTGCCTTCCGCTGTGCACACACACACACAGTTCATCATCCCCAGAGCAGAGACTGGGTTGGCTTCAGGTCTGGTCTTGGAGCGGACGCAACCATTGCAGCTTTGCTCCATGACGTTGGGCATTTGATAGGTGCCTTACCTTGAGACTTTAAAAAGGAACCACTTGGATAGAAGATTGCCATCCCATGCCAGGACCTTATCTGTCACTTATGCATATTGATGATTATTTATAGGGGGTTTCTTGCACTGTGACCGATTTTTTCCTCTCAAGAGTTACAAAGTAGCGATGTTGGATGAGGTTGCGTCCACTGAAATCACACTCCAAGCACACAAAGATCCAACATGATCCAACTTGTGCGAATTGGTTTTCTGTAGTTGTACCATATTGTACCATCCCGTGGGTTTACACACGGGCAATTTGACTTTGTCCCTCCAGGCATGGAGGATCCTTCCAGTGCTCGGATGGAGGATTGTGGTGTGGTGGACCATGAGAAGTTAGGAGGTCAATGGCTGGCGGAGCTGGGTTTCTCTCAGCAGGTCTGCGATTTAGTTGCAAGACATGTGGATGGTAAACGTTTCCAGGTTGCAGCTCTGTGACCCAGCACCAGAATCACCAGAAGTAGAGTTTGTCCACAAATTCTAAGTTTATGTGGGATGTTGCAATTGAAAATCGTTTTTTGCTAGTTACTTAACCGACTGAAACTGTTGAAGAGGGTTTGAATGGAACTAAGAGACTCTTGATGAAAGTTGCTGTGAGGCTATCTTTGTGCAGTCAAGAAAGACTACCATGATACCCTGAGCCCGGCCTCAAAGACAACTCTGAGACATCAGGGAGGCCCAATGACGATAGAGGCAGGGTGGTTGAGATTTTGGCCGAATATTTCCAAACACCACAAGGTTTGATGCTCGTTGAGAGAGCGTGAACCACTGAACCACTCAGCTCTTCTCAGGTGGAACCGAGCCAATTGTGACTCCAATCATACAGCATTGAAAGACATTGAAACCCGACAGTGCAGGTTTTGAATGGTTTTTTTCAATGGTTTTTGTGAAGAGCCCAGGAACCGGAGGGAACCGGAGATAGGAACCAGAACCAAGGCCTCAAGGCCTCACATGGATCCCACATCACCAGGAGGCGAAAGGCTTCGAAAAGGAGGAGCTCCATAAGACCATCGTGGCCATGCGCCACTGGGACGAAGCCGCCAAAGTCAAGGGCAAAGAGGTCCCGACGTTGGAAAGCTACCGAGATCTCCTGGAGAAAAACATCAGATGAACTCGGTACAAACCGTTTTTCTCCAAGCAGAATAGTAATAGGGACTTTTGTAGACATTTGTACTGTAGACAATTTGTAGATGTTGATTCTTGATGATTCTTGATGATGCTTGATATAGCATAGCAACGATGGTAGTATTTGTTAAGCTTTGAGCGCCAAAGAAAGGTCAGTGAGGTCCTTTTGTGGCCTTTGTGCCAACCTGGCAAGATGTGCTCCCGGAGTGACTTGTCCAGCCACCAGATTCGATCCAGACAAAAAGGACTGCGGAATCCTGCTTCGGTCAGATGACAACGTCCTGCAAAGTCTCTGATTGACATTGGTCAAACATGGTCAAACATTTAGAATGGACATTTGAATCATTTGAATCACTTGAAATGCAGAGCAACCGGCCCATGCAAATTCTGGTCCTGTTGATTCCAACACGTTGTCTCGAACACTTGAAACGAAGATCTTGGATGGAAAAAACACTAGCATTGACAACAAACCCAAGCGCACCAAACCTTTGGTTCATTGCCAGGCACACCCTTTCAGTCTTCCTGCCAGAATCGCACCTCGGAAAGGAGCGCCGCAGTCGCGCAGAGGCGTGGCAAGTCTCAGCTGATCTTCCGGCGCTTCCGGGCTGGAAAGAAGTCACTCAAAAAGCTGCTTGAAGCTGCTTGAAACTGCTTGAATCCTTCAGATCAACCAACTCGCTCACACTTGAAATCCAGATATTCAGATATTCATCATGAATCATCAAGTTAATCTGCACCAAGAAGATGCGGTAATGATGCACCAAGAAGATGCGGTAATGACATGGAATGGCAATCTCTCCGGGTGGACAGGATCGGCAGTGCCACTTGTTGGGTAGCTTGTTGCGTAGCTCCTTGCGCTGCATAGGTTGCCGTAGATGCTGGATTGATCCGCATCCATTCAGAGACATCCATCTTGGAGCAGCTCATGAGCCTTTCATCGAGCAGCTCACACAAGATGAGACCCTTGGCAGCACCTGTCCCTGTCCCGACGTCGCAATTCGTGATCTTCGAGCTCAAGCCTGGGTGGAGATGCAATGTCCATCCTGCAACATCCTGCATTTCATTGCATTTCCATGACTTTGTTTTATGTGTCTCCTTCAGCCTTCTGCTTTGTAAGTCAAGCTCCCTGCATTTGTACTTCTTGAAACATCAATTGAAGACTCGAAGACTCAAGACTTGTCATTTTTCAATGCTTGTGATGGCTCCTCTCCATCCGGTTCCCCATGGTTCCCCATCTATCTCGGACTACCTTCCTGAGGTGAGGGATGGCACTCCAGCGCCAGTTCCACTACTGCCAGACTCTTTTCTGACAGCCTTGCCGTGCTTATCTTTCCAGCAGAATAAATGCTGCTTCAGCTGTGCTTCATGAACCTCGTGGCACAGTGATTGCTATGGAGGGCCTCTAAGTGACTGAAGTTGAATTTGTTCTTAGGCTTCATCGCCGCCGCCACAGCTGCTTGCATCAATGGTTGAGAGCTGAGTTTGAGGACATGACATCTACATACATCTACCAACAAAACTTGAGACACACACACACATAGCCATTCAATTATTTGTGGAGGTGTGTGGATAAACACATCTATAATATCATAGAATACCATCCTATATATATATATAATTTATATATATATATACATACAATTATATATATATATATACATATATATATAAGACGATATAAACGCATAATATCACATATTAACATCATATTCCTAGATATTTGTGGTGCCCCAGGCCTCAACGCGTCATTCAGCCTGGGAGACCACCGGAAATGACACGCCGCCAGCAGGACTCAGCTTCGATGATTTTGGGATGTTTCTTTGGATAGTTTTTGGTATGTTTTGGTACATGAATTATTACTGTAGTTTTTTTTGGATCATTTCCCTGGAAAATAACTACTGTACTACATTGTGTTCATCAACATCATTCACTGTAGAAATTGGCGCCATGACAAGATAAGTTTTTTTTCTCGTACATTTTTTGGTTATGACAAAAGATATTACAAGCCAGGACAAGTGCGGCCTCAAGGCAATGCTGTGGGAAGGGAGTCGAGACAAGGATCAATGAGGTGTTGAGCATCGGAAAGAACCGTCCTAGGCTGTCCATGAGGTGCTACAGGTCTTAAAAGCCATGGAAAACAGAGTTTGATCATGTTTGATCCAGACCTCCGACTTGTGCTGCAAAATGAGGTGGTGATCGCACTCGAGACTTTAGTGGAGGGGCCCGGAGCTTTGACACCCTGCAAAGTCCTGGGGGTTTTGATGCCGTAAGGAAGCCGATACTTTTCCAAGATTTGCCGGTCTCTGCCACCGCTGTGACTCTGTAGCCCTTGCACCGTTTTGAAGAGCTGCTGATCAATGCATAGAGAACAGAACTATGCTGACCTGTGTTGAAAGCCCTCTTGAATCTTTTGATCCCCAAAAAAGCGTTGCATCCAGCACCAGAGAGCACTGCCTGGCAGTTCAGTGCTTGCGATGTACTTGCCCCAAGTGGTAGTTGCACAGACCAGATGGGACGACATGGAACAAGAGCATACAGTACCACCCTCCATCGGACTAGCGTAGTCAATGTCGCAGCACTCAAGCAGTGAAGCGTAACACCTTGAGGCTGCTGTGGTGGATGCCTTGAGTTCAGTAGTTGCTGGCCATGAAGTGCACAAAGGATGGTGGGTGAACATACGTGACACACTGCTGCAGAGCAACTGCGGTTGTAGTTTACTTACAGTCTGGTGATGTGCTTGAAGTATGGATCATGATTTTAACCCGTAGCGGGTGCTGGCAGTGACAAGTACAGTAGTGTGATTGAATCTGTTTTTAATGGCAGTGCATAAGCCGGGGTTGTCCTACTTTGCAAAGAATGTGTGGAATGCAGGAATATCCACACCGGATGAAAAGAAAGAAGAGGCACTGAAGTGGATTTACGGTGCTCAGCGCAGGTTGATGAGATTCCAATGAAAGGACTGACTCCAGAGACAAGATAATTCTTGAATGAGATCTGACAGCAGCGTCCAAGTCTAGTTCTGATGCGTAGCCTTGTCCCGTCCAGTACTGTCGACCAGTGCTTCAGGCCCCAAAAGTCGAGGAGGAGCCGCACGAAGAGGCTCAGTAGAGTTCAAAGTAGGTTCCGTTTCTTCTCCAGATAGCATGGTCATTGGAGTCATGTTTTTCGCTGTATCTACTACTTCCAATTTACTTTTCTTTTTGGAGCAAAGTGTTCCATACTTCAAACAGTTTTAGGTCGTGCAGAAATCAACCTAAGAAAGCCTAAGAAAGCCTAAGAATATCAATGATGTTCATTATATGATGTTCATACGGGCTGATCCCAACCGCCACACCCATCCGTCCCTTGACTGCAGGTCCGTGAGCGTCGACGGACGACCGCACCACGCGGCAAACTGCCGGCTCTCTCCAGCGCAACTTCGCCACTGAGCAGCGGAAAGGCCTCAATTTGGGGAACCGTGGAGTCGTTTCTTTTCCTTGGCACCAAAATTATACAGCAGCCACAGAAGATATTCGGCGACAGAAGCGCCAGAACTTGGTTGCAAAGTCTCCTTCAACACACAATTTGAGGAAGAAAAATCGCCAGATGGTTGCAGACAGTGTTTCAGCTATTTTAGCTTCCATCCGTTTTTATGCAGATGAAACAAACATTGGCGAAACACACACTGTGCTGTCAGGAGCTTTTGCCCCCGCTGCGTGGTGTGGGGTCAGCTGCCTTGGAGTTTTTTTGATGTTTTTTTGCACAGGCCAGAGTTTGTTGTGGCGGTGATTGTTTGTTTGCCATTTCTAGGCCATCAGGCTGGATTCTTCATGTGAAGTTGTTGGAACACTTGTTCCACCCTGTTTCTGAGATAGAAATGGAATTGCTGAATCTCTTTCTGAAGAGACACGCCTGAACTCAACTGGACCACCATGAGCCTACTATTGAGGTTGGGAAGCAGTTTGGGTTCCCGCAGCGGCGGCAGTGCGGTCTCCGGGATCCATACTCCTGAAGAGGAGGCCTGGAAAGTTCTTCCGTTGCGGTGACATCGGTGACTCCAGCTGCCGCTGCTGCTTGAAAGGTATCGCTGGGTGAGCAGTCCGGCGGAGCTTTGAGCGAACCATTGGATGAGGCTTTGCAGGGAGTGATTGGAAGAGATATGAAGAGAAGACTGATAGGAATCTTAGACCTTTGTCCAACTTTGTTCCCCATGCCTAGCATGCCTTCGCTGCATCATGATCATCATCATCTTGTGGTTGTTACTCGTTTCTGCTTCAAACAGAGCACCCATCGCTGGAAACATGTCGTGCCTCTCAGGTTGACCGGCAACTTGCCAGATTAAATCGGCCAACTGTCGGCAGAGTAGGCCATGCCTGTATAATCCGCCATCAATGTTGTGTTTTTTTTTTAAAGCGCACAGAGATTAAAATCTATCTCCTCATAGATTCATCGATCGACTTGAGCTTGCCATCGTGGATTCTTGTTGGAAAAGGAGTACTGTATTGGGAACTGGAAGCCAAGACCATCTCCGTATTCGATGCGTTTCAAATAGGGACACCTCGTTGCATCCTGTGAAGGAACAATTTGGCAGCACTGCAAGGCTTAACGTCCGACTCTCCCTTTTTGCTCGCGAGAACTCCAAGCTGCCTCGCAGGCTTGGCTGCCGCTGCCGGGCCCTCTGTGCGGAAGAGGCCCGATGGCCCTGAGGCGCGGTGCAGTGACCATAGTGAGCTTCGACGGCTGCAACACATTGGGCAACATTTTGCAATCATTAGATGATGTGTGAATTCTGAAAATGGCTTGCATTAAAAGTACACTTCAAGCGATTCGGTCATTGATGATCCCCATCGCGTGCATTCTTACTCATCAGCAACAGCAGAGCAAGCGTGTCCTGGGTGCTGATTTGTTGCAAGTCATCTAGACTATTTTGCTCTAGCGTATTTCAAGCTTGAAGAATGCCGATGGGGTCCGTCTCCTCAAGACGTGCTGGCTTCATGTTGGGCTTCATGTTGCTTCATGTTGCTTCCATTTTTCAATGTGTCTGGGTTTTGAATTCCAAGGTGACTTGATGTTTGCATACAGACATCACAGGTGAAAATAAGTAGCAAGAAGGATGATTTATATAAAGGACCACCGTTTTTGAGGCTGCCACTGGTGCTGGTGTCACAAGCCCAGTGCTCTTGTGATACTATGGCTTCTTGACGTTCTGTCCAGCGGGGCATCAATGCCTCACATGACATGCTGGGATTCCTGACCATGATATGGATGGATTTGGTTGGCCAAGGATTCAGCATCAGACGAGTCTGGCACGGAACTCGGTGTGACGGGTCGAAGTTGTTGATCATTGCTGCCTACAGGGAGTCATCAGTCATTCGTCATGAGTCATTCTATGATTTGTCTTGATGTCCTGATTTGTATTGTTTTGTATTGTGTAAGGGACAGATCTTTCGCCATCGGTCATAGGCTTTTCCTCAGTTTCACATACTGATATCCCAGCCTCAGGCTCAGGCGACATTGAGCTGACGGGCAATCGAGGCAATGTTGGCAACAGCAGCTCAGGCTGGGGTGATCACATGTGTAATTACTATGCTACATCTATGCTACTTAGTTTCTGTAAGGCCTCATCGCAAAGGGCCTCAGAAATTGAACATTGAAATCTTGTGAGTCAGCTGAGTCAGCGCCTCATCGAACATCAGTCTATTTACTGTCAGGAAGCTCCTTGGCGGGTGGGCCTGTACGAGCTTTACCCTCTGAAGGTAGCGCCCAGGCACCCGTTTCCTTGTAACTGTGCTGTGTGTGGACGTAAAAAGAGTCCTTGAGTCTCAATGAAATTGGATTCGACCCCAACTTCAGATTCGCTTCAGATCATGACAAATCATACATCCAGAATATATTTATATAATTCTATATTATTTTGTTTGTATGTATGTTAGTATGTATGTCACTGTATGTCTGTATATCATGCAAAGCGTTTACCGTTTCTTTGGGCATATTTGAACTTGGGCCCGACAATAGAAGTCGGCAGGATGACGGATTGGAGGAAGCCGGAGGGCTCAATGGGAGCGGAGAACCAGGCTAATGCCAGTGCATTTGTTCACGTTATTTCACGTTATTTCACGTTCGTTCCCACGATGTTTCCCTTCCCCAGTTTGCCATGCGCAGTTTCGCTGAGGTGGAGGAATCCATTGAGGAACTATACAGCGGCGAAGGCCTGAGTTGCCGTAAAAAGTCGTTTTGAGTTCACAAAAATGATGTGACAGGGTGTGAGGCAATGATAGAAAATGATAGGCAATGGATGGCAATGGTAGGCCACTTTGGACACGACCAGCTGAGGCGAGATGGAAGCCTATTCAGAGGCCTCTCTGCAGTTGACCGTTGCACGTGGCACGTGGCACGCCTCTTTTCTTGATCGCCAGGGCAGTGGGGTCGGTGTCGGCGATGAGTTTTGAGAGGTTGGGCTCAGTGGCTTTTGGACGGTTTTAGACCGTGCCAAGGTTCACAAGGTTCATGAAGTGTGGGGTGAACCATGGTGAACCGTATCGAATTGTATCGAGCCTTCAACAACTTTTACTCTTTTGCTTCGAAACTTGTTACACTGGAGTTTCCCAATCTCATATTATCGAACTAGTACTATTCTTGCACACTAGCATTAAAGTATTCTATCAGTTTCGATTGCGCTGACATGCGCAGCAGGATATGCGCGCCTGGCATTTTGTTTTGTTGGCCGACTGACAGCAGAGTATGAATTCGGCAGAAAACAGACACCACACGTGGCACTTCTGGACTCATTTGGACATAAAGATTCTTTTGAAGCCATCGCACAGGCGCCCAGAGCGCAGAAAGGTGCAGAGACAGGTTGGGGCTCCAAGGTTCTGAGGCTATGCGAAGTAATGTCAAAAACATTTACAGAGATTTATAGATGATATGTATATATATATAATTATTAAAGGGCTACGCCCTCTGCCGCCGACCCCTGGACACTGGAGGGTCATGCCTGCCTCTGTGTCGTAAGCATGAAATGAACCCTAAAGAAACCAGAAACTGACCTAAACAAACCATTTGTATGTGCGTTTGGCACTGTGCACATGCAAGCAGCATGGACCCCTGCAGGATGACACGCACAACTATGTGCTCTGACACTTTTTCATGGCTCAAGAAATAGGAGCTTTCGTCATTGGCCAGGTGTCTTGGGGACCTAAAGGGTTGCTCTAGCACTTAAGACCCATACCCGAAGCCCCCGTTCGTAACCGCAGTATGAATCTTTAAATGGCATCCTAAAGAGACCCGAGACGACACTGCACTGCCAACTGCCACCCTGCTCGTGTCCTCCTGGAGCCGGCTTTCGTTCTGCACCGCTTCGGTCCAAGCTGGAGTCCAAGGACCGTGTCGCAGGGCTAAAACACCATGGCAGTGAAGGACGGATTGGGCCCGCGGCCCGTATCCCAGACTGCCAAACGTCACTTTCTGAACCGACTAGAAACTAGCTCCAAACCTTGACTTTTCCTGCGTTTCTGCACTGGTGTCCTCCTGGAGCCGGCTTTCGTTCTGCACCGCTTCGGTCCAAGCTGGAGTCCAAGGACCGTGTCGCAGGGCTAAACCACCATGGCAGTGAAGGACGGATTGGGCCCGCGGCCCGTATCCCAGACTGCCAAACGTCACTTTCTGAACCGACTAGAAACTAGCTCCAAACCTTAACTTTTCCTGCGTTTCTGCACTGCCAACTGCCACCCTGCTCGTGTCCTCCTGGAGCCGGCTTTCGTTCTGCACCGCTTCGGTCCAAGCTGGAGTCCAAGGACCGTGTCGCATGGCTAAAACACCACGGCAGTGAAGGATGGATTGGGCCCGCGGCCCGTATCCCAGACTGCCAAACGTCACTTTCTGAACCGACTAGAAACTAGCTCCAAACCTTGACTTTTCCTGCGTTTCTGCATTCCCAACTGCCACCCTGCTCGTGTCTCCTGGAGCCGGCTTTCGTTCTGCACCGCTTCGGTCCAAGCTGGAGTCCAAGGACCGTGTCGCAGGGCTAAAACACCATGGCAGTGAAGGACGGATTGGGCCCGCGGCCCGTATCCCAGACTGGCAAACGTCACTTTCTGAACCGACTAGAAACTAGCTCCAAACCTTGACTTTTCCTGCGTTTCTGCACTGCCAACTGCCACCCTGCTCGTGTCCTCCTGGAGCCGGCTTTCGTTCTGCTGCACCGCTTCCGGTCCAAGCTGGAGTCCCAAGACCGTGTCGTAGGGCAAAACACCCATGGCAGTGTAAGGAGGATTGGGCCCCGTGCCTGTAATCCCAGAACTGCTTCCAAACGTCACTTTCTAACCGACTAGAAACTCGCTATCTCCAAACCTTGACTGTTCCTGCGTTTCTGCACGCCACTGGCCACCTGCTCGTGTCCTCCTGAAGCAAACGTTACTTTCTGAACCGACTAAAACTAGCTCCAACCTTGACTTTACCTGCGTTTCTGCACTGCCAACTGCCACCCTGCTCGTGTCCTCCTGGAGCCGGCTTTCGTTCTGCACCGCTTCGGTCTAAGCTGGAATCCAAGGACCGTGTCGCAGGGCTAAAACACCATGGCAGTGAAGGACGGATTAGGCCCGCGGCCCGTATCCCAGACTGCCAAACGTCACTTTCTGAACCGACTAGAAACTAGCTCCAAACCTTGACTTTTCCTGCGTTTCTGCACTGCCAACTGCCACCCTGCTCGTGTCCTCCTGGAGCCGGCTTTCGTTCTGCACCGCTTCGGTCCAAGCTGGAGTCCAAGGACCGTGTCGCAGGGCTAAAACACCATGGCAGTGAAGGACGGATTGGGCCCGCGGCCCGTATCCCAGACTGCCAAACGTCACTTTCTGAACCGACTAGAAACTAGCTCCAAACCTTGACTTTTCCTGCGTTTCTGCACTGCCAACTGCCACCCTGCTCGTGTCCTCCTGGAGCCGGCTTTCGTTCTGCACCGCTTCGGTCCAAGCTGGAGTCCAAGGAACGTGTCGCAGGGCTAAAACACCATGGCAGTGAAGGACGGATTGGGCCCGCGGCCCGTATCCCAGACTGCCAAACGTCACTTTCTGAACCGACTAGAAACCAGCTCCAAACCTTGACTTTTCCTGCGTTTCTGCATTGCCAACTGCCACCCTGCTCGTGTCCTCCTGGAGCCGGCTTTCGTTCTGCAGCCCGTAGCCCAGAGTGCCAAACGTTACTTTCTGAACCGACTAGAAACTAGCTCCAAACCTTGACTTTACCTGCGTTTCTGCACTGCCAACTGCCACCCTGCTCGTGTCCTCCTGGCGCCGGCTTTCGTTCTGCACCGCTTAGGTCCAAGCTGGAGTCCAAGGACCGTGTCGCAGGGCTAAAACACCGTGGCAGTGAAGGACGGATTGGGCCCGCGGCCCGTATCCCAGACTGCCAAACGTCACTTTCTGAACCGACTAGAAACTAGCTCCAAACCTTGACTTTTCCTGCGTTTCTGCACTGCCAACTGCCACCCTGCTCGTGTCCTCCTGGAGCCGGCCTTCGTTCTGCACCGCTTCGGTCCAAGCTGGAGGCCAAGGACCGTGTCGCAGGGCTAAAACACCATGGCAGTGAAGGACGGATTGGGCCCGCGGCCCGTATCCCAGACTGCCAAACGTCACTTTCTGAACCGACTAGAAACTAGCTCCAACCCTTGACTTTTCCTGCGTTTCTGCACTGCCAACTGCCACCCTGCTCGTGTCCTCCTGGAGCCGGCCTTCGTTCTGCACCGCTTCGGTCCAAGCTGGAGTCCAAGGACCGTGTCGCAGGGCTAAAACACCATGGCAGTGAAGGACGGATTGGGCCCGCGGCCCGTATCCCAGACTGCCAAACGTCACTTTCTGAACCGACTAGAAACTAGCTCCAAACCTTGACTTTTCTCGCGTTTCTACATTGCCAACTGCCACCCTGCTCGTGTCCTTCTGGAGCCGGCTTTCGTTCTGCACAAACTCTTCGCCCCTTCTGGCATCTTGTTGCTAGTAAGGCCTCCTCTGACGCGCTCCCCCTGCTGACGGCAGGGGTCGGCGGATATTTTTTATGTTCATCTTACATGTCTTACATCTTACCCTGTTGTGGTGCTACATGTGCTACCAACACGTAACAGACGTAACACATCGCTGTCGGATTCGCCAAGGCCGACTGCATCAAGCTGCAGCTCAGATCAACCAACTGAATTCTCAGGTGCAACGTGCTGAGAAGGCGCATCTGCCATGAAAAAACACTCTGTTATCCAAATATTTGCCAAATATGTTGTCCATGTTTAAAAGAATAGTTCATTGCGGAGTGGTTTGCAAAACTGTAGAATCTGCGGAAATCTGTGGAAATATGCCAATGCAAATGATGTACGTTGTATCCTCATGGGATGTTGCTGCCCTAGTTTGTTAATTTGCCATGGCCAAAGAATTTCATAATTAGTATGGCCATGGATGACAGTAGATATGTTGCTTCAGTGTTGATCCAATCATGATCGGACGTAATGGATGACAAAGCTGATCCGTTTGTTCACGATTGCCAGGAACAAGAGATACTCACGGTTGAGCAGCTGCCTGAGTGAAAAAGATTGACCTAAGATGGCCTAGCGTCTTGGCTGTTTCAGTTCGGGTAGATCCTGGTAGATGCTGAGGCGATTGGATGCTGAAGAGGGTGCAGTTGCAAGCCAACAAAGCGAGATCCAAGCAGCAGAGGCAATGGGCAATCTGCGGAAGAAACAAAGGAGATCTCAGGAGCTCGGGTGGAATAGAGCGCTGAAGAGCCCAGTTTCATTGAAACAGATCGTTGATATTCGTTGATGATATTTTATCGATTTAGATCGATTTGATGATAGGTGGGCCAAGTTGGCCATGCCCCACACTTGAGAACCCACCTTTATTTTTTTGTTTTCATGAATGTTCCTCATGGCAGTTTGACCCCGCTAGTATATAACTAGTAGCCATGTGCAAGGCTTAACTGTACTGCTTTCTATCCTGTAACATGTTATGATTTCATGGATTTCATAGCGTCTTTTTGCAAACATGGTCCAAATTGGTCCAAGCTCAACTGGTGGTACTGTATCCCCCCATGCCATGATAGGCACAGCGTGTTCTTGCCGACGAGCTGGCAGAGGTGCGAGAGGTCACCCCACCTCGAGCTGGTCGGCACGGGCTGGTCGCCATGTCTAAGGGACCTGGAATTCCCGAAGGTCAGAAGGCCTACACAGCTGCTGGCTATCTATGATATTGGACACATTTCTATAAATATAATTAAATATATACAGTAATTCTCTCTGTAATATATACTTATACATAATATCATGTTGCTATAAATATATATATATGTGTGTGTGCATTATAAACACTGATTCATCGCAGAGCCATGTTGAATCAGCCAGGTCAAAGCCAGCTGTGCTTGGTTGTGGAATGGTTCTCGTCAGATAAGGGGAACATCATGGAACGCAACCTGAAATATGCGCTACACTATGCAAACTAAATCAAACTAATATATACTGGCGCTTCAATTCCTCAGAGTACAGCACCAAGCAGGCATGAGCCAGCAGTGGCTGTTGGTTTTAAAACATGTTTTGCTGACTGAGTGAGATTCGGCTCACACTCAGCAAACAGTGTTCTTAAATCTCAAGTCCCTGCTGTTGTAAAAACCAATGCCAATTTCTTGTTCTTCATGAGAATCAACTCAATGCCAAAGTGCAAAAAGTTCCTCTTAGTCGCTAGTCAAAGCCCCCACTTGCGCTCAGAAATTCAAAAGCAAACTATTATTATATACGTGATTTTGATTATTGTATCTTATGTTGAGATCTCTGAAAATGGTCACCGACACCTTCACACAGACAACGCACTTTTTGGCCATGGCACGGAAAACGCGCTGCTGTTTTGGGCGCACCGAAGAGGGCGTTATCCATGGAGTTGTTCCTTCATGTTCATTCCTCTTTTGGAGGTCCGTGAAGCCCATAGGTCGGAGAACTTTGATCCATTTTAAACGGGAGAGCTGGTCCGGGTGATGGATGTTGGCGCTGACTTGCTAGGATGTTGTTGGACGGAAGTGATCATTTGCCTGGTGATAATGTGCTCTTCACTTGCCGTTTCCTTGCATGATTCCTCAGCTGAGGAGGTAAGACAACCAAAGGTTTTCTGGCCGCCGGCCTGACCATGACGGACGTAAGTAGCAGCTTCAAGCTCAGAATTTGTATGAACTGTTTGGACTATTTGGACATTGTGACAATCACCTAGACCATGGTAGGCCCTTGCTTGCTGCTTGGTCGAAATCTTCTCGTTACCGTCAATGGTTATATTATGTTGCTTGTGATCTTGTGATCGAATTCTACACATTGTCTTGTGATCTAGGCCGCTGCGTGTTCGTACACTGCTTTCCGCAGCTGCTTTACATCTCTGCTGGGGTTGTGCTGCACAAAGTTTCACCCTTGCGAGCCCCAGCAAAAGTCTTTGCAGAGGGCCGCTAGGGTCCCTGAGTCAGTCGCAAGCCTGCATTATCTCCCTGCATTTCCATCAAGCTGGGGCTTGCAAGTAGAAGAGGACACTGTTAAAAGCCTCCTGCCTCCTGCCTCATCAGAGACCCAACAACAAGTATAGATAAACATGACTGGGTAAAGCTTCTAAAGATGTAATCAACCTTCAATTCAACCTTTGCAGTTTTCCACCTTAGAGATTTTAAGACTGGACAGTTTCAGAGGTGGCGGAGCAGCTTTGGTGTCGCTGCTGGCGGCATTCAGTCCTCAACCCCGGTTGGATGAAACTGATCAGTGAGATCTTCCATGATCACTGCCATGGCGACGGAACAATGACACCCGCTACACTTAGGCGGGGAGCATTTGTTAAGTGTTACTGGAAACCGGGGAAAAAAAACTCAAGTTCATGAGCAACAACAATGAAACGATATCAACCAAGGAAGAACAGACATGCGTGTCGTCAATCCTCAATGATTTGATTCATTCTTGTGTTTTGTGTTTAATGCAGACTTACCCCAGCTTTCACCCAGCAATGGTCCGCACAAAAAATGTTGTCATAAGCACATATATATATACTTTGATAGAACTTGATGAAAAGGTAAAGCTGCCAGATGATCGATAATAAAAAGCAAGAACATGATGGCAACATAGAGGCCAATGTTGCATACTGTAGTGACTAGTGACTGTAGTGTTTCTGTAAAATTCCAGATGCTCTGCCTGTTTTGGCGCCAAGGGAGCTTTTGAAGTCGCTCAGTGAGCAGAACGTTGGGCTTTGGGATGCCACAGATGTTGACAACATCTTGGAGTCCTGGGCAAACAAAAGCTCCATCGACTTCGACGATTTCCTTAGTGCCTAGTTTGGTTTGGCATGTGTCGAGTTGTTTGAAAACAGGGTATCCCCCAATTCAGTGGTTGATCATCATTGTCACTATATTGTCACTTTCCCTGTAAACTTTGCTCTTTGGGGGATTTTGATGCATTTTGGGGGTATGCCGACAACTTAGACTGGTAGATGTTTTGCATGCGTGCGGGTTTCAACAACCACCAGTTGGTATGGAAATGTCAAGCATTGAGCTTTCGCTGAAACAAGACATGCTGTACTAATCGCTGGTGACTGTACGATCATTTGGAGGTACTGGTATGTATACTTGACGCAGTCAGCGACTCGAGTCAGCCACGCCAATTCACAAGAACGCACTAAGTGCGTTTAAGTGAATTGGCATGCTGGTTTGATCCACATTGGTTGTTGCATGTGTTATGTGAACGGCAGTTGCAGCGCAGGGGCATCATGGCAGTTTGCTCCTTTGTCTCATGTCAATCTAGCACATGGAGGCAAAGGATGACAACCTAAGAATTCCATCAGCTCAGTCCGTGAGTCATGAGGTTGATTATTGTGTAGAAATGGGGAGTTGCTAGGTTGGGTCTATGACGGTTCTGCCATGCTCTCGCCACGGGATGTGGAGCCTTTATCGGAACCGCGTCATTTGACTATCAACTTCGATGTGAACCCTGGCGAAGCAAAGGGTGTTTGATCCTGCCAGTGATTCAAAGGAACGGAACTCACTGTGAGGATAACGGTTGTCATCAAGAGCGAAGAGCTTGCAATTTTCCTGGTGTGGCTAGTTCATGGCAAATTTGACATATGTTGATTGTGATCGATTAGGCCTAACACCAGCCTTTCACTGGCTGATTCCGACTCCGGATTTTGATTTCAGCTGTAACTAACTTTAAGAATCTTTAAGATCTTTCAGGACGCTGTATTTGAAAGACAAAGGAACAAAACCATTGTCATGCGTGACAAGACGGCCAACAAATCGGTTGAGGTGGTGATCAACGAGGCCTTGAAGCCTTGTTGATTCTTGTTGATTCTTGTCGTTGAATCTATTTTAATCTCGTCATATCTCAGTTTTTGTGACTGCCGACTGCCCAAACCCACCAGGTCCTGGCAGAGACCTCGTGGGGTCGAGTAGAGGGTGATCGCTGGATCATTGAATCAACTAAGTTTCTTGGGCAGAATTGAGGCAGCATAGAGCAGCAAACACTGCAGGCTTTTTAGATTTCGAGTCGAATTGAGTCAATTATAGTCAATATATAATGTCAATGATATACTCCCTCCGCAAAAGTTGGGTCGAGGTGGCTTCTAGCATCTTCTAACTAACGCACTTGCTTTGATAGATTGCACAAACTTGTGACAGCAGGACGCACACCAAAGCCATGCATTCCATGGTCGTGTTTGCTGCCACGGATCAAAGAAAAGAGTGAAGATGAGTGAAGTGTGAGGCCCAGCTCCTTCCGCCCAGAAAGCGAAGGTGAAGAGCTTGCCCTTTGGCAGTTGTTTTTTTGACACTTATTTATGACTGAAACCACTTATCACGGGGTTCCGCCGAGTAGTTTCAGTATCTTTTAGCGCTGTTGGAAGGATGTAGACAGACATGGACCTAGAATCAAATCCATTGAAAAGATTTGAAAAGAGCGATTGTACTTTGAGGCCAGGAACATACTTAAGCAAATCCCTTTTCGCTTGAGCTTGATCCCACAGTTTAGCAATGAAGAAGTACGTTTTGTAGGGGCGCATGGAATGCCCAACCAGGAGCTGGAAGACGCAAGATGCAGTTAGATACAGAAGATGAATGAGACAAGTTTTAAATATGACTTAATTAAGAGCAACTAAATACGATTGAGTTGGTCCACGAACCTTTCAGAGACACCAGAACTAATTAAAACCAGTAGCATAAACGAGCTTGTGCGGGCGTCGACGAACTGTCACTGGACAAGCCTCCGGGGTTAAGGTGAGCTATGCCGAATTTTTGGAGAAGCAAATGCCAGGGAGCGACAGAAGAAAGGAACGTCAAAAGTACAAAGGTGCAGCAGATTTTGGAAAAAGGATGGTGAGAAGACAGGGACTGATTCAACTATAATATCAAAATTAAAAAACATGCAGGTTTTAGATACTAGTATCATAATACAGTAACAGTATCATCATTTCCAGAGTCTACTATATCATGCGATTTGCCCGCAGATGGGCACAGCAATCCTTGCACTTCCCAACTTAAAGTCACGATGCCATATTCTTGGATACACGATGATACAAGTAGAAGACAAATGATCAGTGACTGCGATCCTCAAGTCAACATATATATATAATATATATATATATATTCGCATAGTTGATCAATGTTACATATATCATCATATATCATAGTTTCTATTTTGGCGTAAGGCATGTGCCGGCTGCGGAGTCGAATGCTACGGTTGCCACCGTCATTGATCACTTGCACTAACCAAGGTGCTTTCACCTCACCGGGGAGCGCTGGAGAAAGTATGGCGCATCAGCACAAGAATCTGTGCAAACAGCTAATCTATCCAGAGACTTGTTGGAAAGAAAGGCGACGTAAGCCGAGGATGGGGAAAAATCAAGCCAGACACGAGACCCATACAATATACTTGTAGTATCTTGTAGTGCTAGTATGTGCTAGTACATTACCTTACACATAAGATGTAAAAAATTGACTCCAGGCTGGTGATGGCTGGTGTACTGTGCAAGTCTGTCATGTTTGGAAAACTGGGGATGGAGAACAGTTTTGCGAAAGGGGCACCTATGATCACCCCTACTGATTTGTCATTGCATATGTGAGACTGGCGCAACATGGAAACATTTGGAAAATCAAAACAGCCTGCTGGACAGCCTGCCTGCTGGATCATGCTGGATCAACAAATGATTTGAAGCAGTACAGCACAGTATGAAGCAGTCCAAGTTCAATTGATTTTGGCTCTGAGGATGGGTCACCAGTGCAGGTGGTGCATGCCTTTTTCCGGCTCCTGGTTGAACTGAAGCGTTCGAAAAGGCCTCTTTGATATAACTTTGATCATTTTCGTTTGCTTCAATGACGATTTTGCTTTCAAGTTGCAATATGCAGAGATCATGCAACCTCAAGTGTCGGGACACCTTTGGTAGTCATGCGGTGCTATCTATGTCAACACCAGCTAGTTAACCTTTTGCATGATCTGACTCTCGCGGCGACTTTTCGCGCGAGGTCGTTTAGTTTGATCTTCCGTAGCTTTGGTGAGGAGCGGAGCCAGCAGTGTGTGTGTGTGTGTCCCATGTGGCAGGTTGCACGACTATGCTTTGCCTTTACCATTCTTGGCCAGTCATCATCCACTAGCGCAAAATACATGAAAGTATCATGAAAGGACAACTTGTGCTGCAATAGGTTGTTCAATGTTGTTGAAGCATATGTTGTCAGTAGGATTTGTGGATCTTAGTTTGCAGATTGGGCAAGGACTTGGAGCTTGTGGCGAGCGAGTTGAACAACTTCTGCGAGGGAAACCATCCACTTTTTCCAGGCTTTCTATGACTTCGATCTTGAATAATTAACATCGCATATTTTGTATGTGCTTGTCTTACGTCACTTGAAGATATTTTAAAATTACATCAAATTATCAAAACATACCAAGCAATCCTAAATATTTAACTTAACTATAAAAGTATCCAACATGTTCTGCCCCCTCGCTCTTGTTTCTCGACCTTTGTGCTCCTGTTGTTTTTGACCTTGGATGAACTTGACATGGAGCGGCATGCGGCAGCCTGGTGTCCATATGTTTCGGGTTTGCATCTTGCCTCACCCCAAAGAAACACAATCGGTGCGACCGCTGGACTGTGCCACCAAAAAGCACAAGGAGGGACAGGGCTGCCGGTCCAAGACCTGTAATTCAGAATGCACGAAGTCTTGTCTTAACCGTCTTAACGTGTCTTAACCTTGCCATTTGCATCATGGAATCATTTGCTGTAGCTATAGTTCGGATATCTTCGGATGACATTGATGAATCTCGGAGATTCCTCACCTTGGAAGAGCCGGAGGCTTTCGCATGGATGGTAGCGATGGTGAGCCAGACTATCGTTTTGACATCACTCACCCTGAACGATTTGGCAATTTCCACATCGATTCTTGGCATGATGGGGTAGAGGAAGAGCATACAAGTTGTTTGTTGTTAGTCCAACTTTCATCTCTAAAGTGACTATATAATATGTCACAACATCTCCAGACGAAAATAAGAGGATAGGATAGGAATAAAAATGAAAGACATGGCTCTGACATTAAAAAGTGAGGGGCCTGTACCAAAAGATGCAGTGAGGGTGCTCTTGACATAGGCTACCCATTGTTTTCAGGCTGCTCAGGGTTAGAGGTTGAATGATTATCCAAAAATGATCAAAAATGTATGGTACCGTAGCTTGGATTGTCAACTCAGGGCAGAGGGTGGCAGCCTTACTTGAATTGGAGTCACTTTTCAGTTCAGTCCTGAGGAACAGGAGGAATTGTACTTGGTGCTGGGTACAATAGAGCAGCCCGGTGAGGGCCGCTTCAAGGACAGGAGGGGAGGGATATTTTGAGTTCCAAGCATTTTCGTTGTAAGACGTTTTTGTTCATATACGCACACACACACATGTGTACAGTCACATATTTTCAATAGCTTAAATACGCTTAAATAATGTTTTATAATATATATTTAATATATAATGTTTTATAATATATATATATATATATAATATTAGAATATATACATATAATTACATATATATATATGTATGTATGTATGTAATGTAATGTAATGTAATATAATGTAATGTAATATAATGTAATGTAATGTAATGTAATGTAATGTAATGTATGTATGTTTGTATCTATGTATGTATGTATATCATATACTGGTACATATTGATGTGTGTGAAACATGTCTGGCAGACGTTAGCTCTGGTTCAAAAGAGTCGCAGCCAGGATGTGACGGACAGAAGCCTCTCCTTCTACGAGAAGCACGAGCTGCCCGTAAAGCGCATCATTTCTGGCACGTGACCCACCTTGACGGGAGGGCTGGCGCAGCAGGATTCCAGGATGGATACAATTTGCATAGTTACATATAATTACAGCATATTATTACATCATGACATGATCATGTTAGCTAGTTTTCATCCTTGTGTTAATCCTCATGAATTTGGAAGAGCAGCCCTGGGAAGCTACTGGATAAATAGAAGGTAATAAAATAATAGAACCAATTTTAATGTGGAACTAAGAAGTTAGCATTGAGGAAATTACAAAGTTGTTCACCCAGGTGCTTCGTGATCCGTGAAAAAAAACATGGGACAGTTGGAGCTTAGATAGTTCCAACACGTTTCCATGCAGGTTGGTAGGCTCGGGAGCAAACCAATATCATCTGATTTCATCTTGATTCATATCATCCCCCGCAAACCAACCTCCTAAGTGGATGTGAAAACGCCACGACCATGGGCAGCTATAGTTCAGAGGGGCTCAAAGATACTCGTATTCACTTCATTTCGATTCATTGCGCACATATATAGGAAAATGATGAGAAAGGGCCTGCCACTAAAGGTCGGCCGTTGTGGACTTCATTTGGGAGCTCTCATCCCAGTGCATCACGGCTGGCTTCCGGGATAACTTTCAGTTCTGGAAGATGAAGGGCAACACCCAGGACAGTCAAAAGGGATCAAAAGGGATTATATAAAAGGGGGACCATGTTCAGATCATGGAAGGTACTTTGCATAGGCATGGCATGGGATTCTGTGGTTTATTTTGGTTTGCTTTTCATTGCTTTTCTATGCTTTTCTTCGATTCTGACGGAGCATCGGATCAGCCCCTGCAGGAGGGTGGGAAGTTCTTTCTCTTCGATGCTTCCAAGAACACTAAGCGCCATGAGATTTTCTTCGATGACAACGTGCATTTTAAAGATCTAAAAATTGTACGCCCCTACCACAGGACCTGGTTTTCACGTCACGGCACATTGAAGCAGTTCTTTTTTTCCCTTGCCAATGTCTTGTGTCTTGTCCATGTCTCATGCATTGCTTTAGTGGAAGCACGGTCGGCGCTTCAAACGCTAGCTGCTGGCCCTTTGAGAGCACGCAGGATGCGACAGAGACGCTCATGGTGGGGGTTGCCCTTGCTCCGCACCCACGTGTGCCATGCTTATCATGATGTAGTTGCCATGTTGCAGTCACCCAGGTGATCCCAGGTGTTTTTTTTGATATCTTTTGACTTATACCGGGTAAGGAACGAAGCTTGAAACTTCAGAAATGGCTTGAAGAACTACCCGCCCTAGCATGGAGGAATTTTAAGCATCGACTACGTGCCTATGTGCGCATTCAAGTTTATGTGGACTTTATATCAACCGATCCCACCCAATCCATCACAAATTACTCTTAGCCTGGCACTTTCTTTGCGCCGACAAGTGAGGAGGGAAGAACTGCCAGTAGGTCATAGTAGGTCAAGATCCCATGGCATCTCATGGCTTTCTTTTAGCATCTGGCGGCATGGCGATAATTGTCGTATGTTGTGGTCATTGTGGTCATTCTGGGCATTTATTGAAAGGTGCCGAGCAGATGCCCTCACAGCCATCAATGATGATTTGTACTTCGTGGCGGAAGTACAGAGGTTCTTTGAAGCGGGTTCGAATGTTGTGCACTTTGAATTGATGTGTTAGGTTTGGGTTTCTTGGGACGTCCAATCGCATCAGCACGTCCAATCGCATCAGCCGCATCAGCCTGATGCATTCGTGAAATAGCTTTCGAATGCAGCGCTGATAGCACAGGCTAGAGGCGAACTATGCAACGAAATTGGCCGCGATGCAACGATGTAGCACCTGCTCTGGGGCCCAGCATGGCTGCAGATTCTGTCACTGTAACTGTACATGAGACGACCATGTAATTAAGATTAATTAATCACGAAAAGTAGCTCCAGTGGGGCTACTTTGAGTTTTGCTTTACGAAGTAAAGGGGAGGGCGGCCAGCCCCGTTACCTGATTATTCAGGAGATTGCTAGTCATTTCAGTACCCCCCCCCTCCCCCCCCTCCACGCCTGCCACGCACCCTAAGAGCAGACTCAAAACATTGTAATTTACAGTATATTTTTGTTCTTTTCGGATCAAGAAACCACATTTTGTTACATGGTGAAACCTCCGCAAATACCAGTGTTTTTTCTAGGTGCTGGCCAAAAAACACTGTAAAGAGGCAAAAAACATCGTAAATACCGTGGTTTTGGGTTTCCGACCCGCCAAAAACATTGCTATTTACAGTGTTTTTTGCTCTGAGAGTTGCAAAAACATGCGAAAACACAACCTATTTGACGATTTTCGGCCACTACGGAACCGAGCAAAAAAGGTGCAGGGGTAACACCAACACCAACAGCAACAGCAACAACAACAACAACAACAACACCAACACCAACAGCAACAGCAACCGCAACCGCAACCGCAACCACAACCACCACCACCACCACCACAACCACCACCACAACCACAACCACAACCACAACCACCACAACCACGACCACAATCACAACCACGACCACGACCACGACCACAATCACAACCACAAGAACAAGAACAAGAACAACAACAACCACAACAACAACAACAACACCACCACCAACAACAACAACAGCAGCAACAACAACAACAACCACAACAACAACGACGACGACGACGACAACAACAACAACAACACGATCAACACCAACACCAACAACACGATCAACACCAACACCAACAACACGATCAACACGATCAACACCAACACCACCAAGAAACCCAACCACACCAGCAACACTAACAACACCAACAACACCACCAACACCAACAACACCAGCAACACCAACACCAACAATAACAACACCAACAACACCAACACCACTAGCACCACCAACACCACCAACACCACAACCACCACCACACCGCCGAAGCCTTTCCGTCGCTTTTACCAGACTCCACTTCATGTTTTTAGAGAGAAAATGGCCCCGTCGCTTTTACCAGACTCCACTTCATGTTTTTTCCCTTGCCCTCTCCCCTTCGTTTTTTCTTCGGTTCCTTTCTTGCTCACCTACCTTTCGTGTTCCGCCTCTCAAGTTAAGTACATAGATTTTCTGCTGATCAACTAGGGAGAATGGGCAAGCATGGGCAAGCCCACATACAGGTTGCATCATTTTGCGCATACTTTCACTGTGAAAACATGTTGGCCACAAAAGGTCCCAAAATGCTGCTGTAACATTCTGTTCATAAGGCATGCATTTTGTTTCCCAAGGCCTACTGCGATTGCCAATGCAAAAAAAGTCTACACTGAGCTTGTCCACCATGGACACGATGCGCAGTGAAACAGAGATTCTTGTCCCAAGTCGTGAAAAGGCTCCTGGCCGATGACAATCAATTTTTCATACTTTTTCTAATAGCTGGTTTGGCGTAGAAAGGCATCAGAAATTGAGCGAGGCAGAGGTGAATGAGATGGTGAAATGATGACCTTGAATGCTTAGGGACCACGCCATGCCAGACATGTGACAGATTCGTGATGATTCACGCTGACTGAGGAAGTATGATGCGTGGGAAAGCCTTCGTGACTTTGTTTTGTGAGGTTTGGGAAAGTAGGGATCGGGTCCAAACACCTAAACATTGAATGAAGCAGGGAGGGTGATGGAGGGTGGTGATTGGCTGATTACTGTAGTTGATTCGAAGCTGTACGATTAAATCATGTTTAAGCCAACGTTCATTTTTGGCAGTATGTCATGTAGTCTCTAGAATGCAATGAATTAATGCAGCTATCCTTCTAGCCAAGGTAGAGATGAAAAGGTTTTGCCAGCCACATCGGAGTCGGATGCTGATTTCCTATCACCCGTTTCCGCAACCCAAGACAACTTGAAGTTTATTTAGTTGCGCCAGAAGCCTTGCGCAATGCATCAATGCGGCAATGCGGCACACGCCATGAGATCGTGAGAGCAGATTCCAAGAAGATTCTGTTCTCGTTACAAGCTTCAGGATTCACATGGATTTACTCTTTGCTCAATGATCTGTGTATTTTTGTCACTTCTGCGTTTGGTTCGGCATGGAGACGATTGGACCAAGAAGTATCAGCAATCATCATCATTGGATATCATCGCCTTCCTGTCGGTCAAATTACTGTGCCACGCCGAGTGCAATTGCTCTTGTACTTGTATAGTGGCTGGTGGCGGCTGCTTCAAGCACTTGATTTGTCTCTCCCCGGTACCTACTGTATCTTACTGTTTTCATGATAGCAATTATTGAGCATTGTGTGTGAGTGTGTCATGCTCCTAAGAGGACTATATATCGTCAATGATAATGTCCACGCCGGCCGCATTCGAGCCACGTCTAAAACCCCCTTGTATAATTATATATGCGTTTTTAGTACGAGGGCGGCAATGAGAACCGCGTAAGTAAAACCCTGGCGTGCGTAAGCCTGCGTAAGGATCAGCGTAAGCTATTCCATGCTATTCCTGCGCGTAAGCTGCCGCGTAAGCATTCCCTTAGCGCCTTCAGAAGGAACAAGACCTTTTGAACACAGCTCATTTGTTCCACAAACTCTATAGAACGCCCAGGTGATAGAAACTACAGCACAATACAACATACGACCAGCATACCACAGCCATGCCGAGACCATGTGAGGCCGCATTTCTTTTTCGGTCTCGATTTCATCTCAAGTGCATGGCCCAGCCAGTGCCCACCTGTGGATTCTAAAAGTTTTCACAAAGGTTGGGATTCGACGCACAGGATCAGGTCGTGTATAACTATAATTCGAAGTACAGTTTTTTTTACGGTCATTCGTCCCTGAAGTTGATCCTGTGCGTCAAGACTTTCGCACATGGACGAGCCGCTTACACCGAGCCGTCCTGAGCGAGACATGGCAACATGATATGGGGCCACTACAGGATCGCGACACAAGTAGGAGAAAGCTGGAAGTGACTGCAAATTGATTGCAGATGTTGGATGATGTTGGCATGCTTCAAACAATGCACATCAATGCACAAAGAGCAGCGAGCTGAATCTGTTTCGAGGACTCACAGTACATGAAAACTGCCCAATTGAGCACGGTCATCGTGCCATGTCCATAATTGTAAATGATTGGTTGCCGGCTGTTGTGGATTCCACAAGAGACTCATGTTTGTCCAGCTGTGGTTAAGCTGCGTTCAAGGGTTGAATAAACTGCTTTACGTTATCTATATATATATAAGATACATGATTTAATGACTTACATTTACTTGATATTTCATTTATACAGATCGAGTTCCAAGGGATACCCGATGATACCTGTATTATCCCGTATTAAGATGTATTAAGCTTGAAGGCAAAGTGCCATGCACTAAGGCACTTCACTGTTTGAAGCAACGAAGCCTGGGTCACTTTCAGCTTTCAATCCTGTCTCGCTGATCGCTATCACCAGCTAAATGCTATGGTCCTTTGAGAGGTTTTTTTTGGGGAAGGGGTCGTTGTGGACATTACCACTCCCACGGTGTTTTTTCATGTTTTTTCCCTACCTTCACCCTAAATACACTTGGAACACACTTGGGATACGATTCTTCTGTGTTTTTCTTTTTGCGTTCATCGCTTCGGCCCTTCGCTGAGCGAAGATTTGATCGTTGGAACGGAGTCCTGACCTTTGAGAACTCCTCAGCGCAGCAGAATCCGCTCCCAGAGCGTTGGTTGGCTTTGGCTATTGTGGAATTTTGCGGAAAACTGCAAGACCATGCGAGACAATAACACAAAACGGCCAAAGTTGTTTTCCTGAAAAAAGTGTTTTTGAAAGGAGGGCTTATTTTAGCTATATGTCAATGTCTCTTGGCAAACTCCAGCTGGCAAGCTTGCGCCAAAGCCATTTGCATGTTACATCTACGCCTATGGAGCTTCTCTTCGGTTTTTGACAAGATGCATGGATGCACCAGAGCATCTGGGAGTTGGAAGGTTTAGACTCAAAGCTGTGATTCTGGCTCTCCGGAAAATATGACCGCGTGCAAAAGAGACGTAAAAAGAGCTCGAACTGACTTCTTCATCACAGCAAGTCAATACTGCAGTTGTGCACTCTGTTTTGCTGTACTGAAAAATGGCTACTGAAGCAACATCACAACGAGTGCTGTAATACAGCAAACCAATGGTATGCTATCTATAGAATGTTGTAGAGCTTCACGCACCAGCGATGGTTCCTGATCCCCGCAGGTTAGCTGTTGTTGTTGCTGTTGTTGTTGCTGCTGTTGCTGCTGCTGTTGCTGCTGCTGTTGCTGCTGCTGTTGCTGCTGCTGCTGCTGCTGTTGCTGTTGCTGTTGTTGGTGGTGGTGGTGGTGGTGTGTGTGTGTGTGTTGGTGGTGTTGGTCGTGTTGGTGGTGTTGGTGTTGGTCGTGTTGGTGGTGTTGGTGTGTGGTGGTGGTGTTGGTGTGTGTTGGTGTGTGTTGGTGGTGGTGTTGGTGTTGGTGTGTGTTGGTGGTGTTGGTGTGTGTTGGTGGTGTTGGTGTGTGTGTGTGTTGGTGGTGTTGGTCGTGTTGGTGGTGTTGGTGGTGTTGGTGGTGTTGGTCGTGTTGGTGGTGTTGGTGGTGTTGGTGGTGTTGGTGGTGTTGGTGTTGTTGTGGTGTTGGTCGTGTTGGTGTTTGTTGTGGTGGGTGTGTGTTGGTGTGTGTTGGTGTGTGTTGGTGTGGTGGGTGTTGTGTTGTTGGTGGTGTTGGTGTGTGTTGGTGTGTGTTGGTGTGTGTTGGTGGTGGTGTTGGTGTTGGTGTGTGTTGGTGGTGTTGGTGTGTGTTGGTGGTGTTGGTGTGTGTTGGTGGTGTTGGTGTGTGTTGGTGGTGTTGGTCGTGTGTTGGTGGTGTTGGTCGTGTGTTGGTGGTGTTGGTCGTGTGTTGGTGGTGTTGGTGTGTGTTGGTGGTGTTGGTCGTGTTGGTGGTGTTGGTCGTGTTGGTGGTGTTGGTCGTGTTGGTGGTGTTGGTGGTGTTGGTGGTGTTGGTGGTGTTGGTCGTGTTGGTGTTGTTAGTGCTGTTGGTGTTGTTGTGGTTGTTGTTGTGGTTGTTGTTGTTGTGGATGTTGATGTTGTTGTTGTTGTTGTTGTTGTTTTTTTGTTGTTGTTGCTGGTGTTGGTGTTGTTGTTGTTGTTGTGGTGGTGGTGGTGTCTTTGTGGTGTCTTTGTGGTGTCTTTGTGGTGTCTTTGTGGTGTCTTTGTGGTTGTCGTTGTTGTTGTCGCTGCTGCTGCTGCTGCTGCCGCCGTTGTTGATGATGGCCGTGTTGTAGTATGATTTTGCTTTCTGGCGGTAGAAGAAACCCGTCAGAAATGTCAGAACGCCTCTTCGCCACAGCCAAACACCATGGCAGTGAAGGACGGACGGGGAGCCGAAACTGCCTGTTGCCACTGACTAACGTTGCTTTCTAAGCGGTAGAAGAACACTGGCAGAACGCCACCTTCGCCACAGCCACACACCATGACAGTGAATGACGAACGCCCAAAACGCTTTGCCCGCGACGGCCACGCACCGTGCCATTCAACGACGCATCCTGCCCTCCGCTTACAGATCGCCACAGGCACCGCCGTGCCGAAGCAGCCTCTTTTGCATGTCCCCTCTTCTCTGACGCACTCCCCTGCTCCCGGCCGGGGTCGGTAGATGACCCTGATGTATCCTGATGTATCCAATAATTTAAGTTGCATGATTAGTTGCTTAGCTGTGTGTGCCTCATTGCGAATCAAAATTGCACCAAGGCACAGGTGTGCAACTAGTTGTCGCACTGGTGTATACAACTGAGGCTTTGTGTGAGCCGCGCTACAGTCGACATGAAGATGGCGCCAGATTGATTTTCCACAACAGCCAGGGCGATGCAGCGATTGAGAGAAAAGGACAATTTCACATTAAATATATTTATATATATATGTTATTTGTTTGTTTTTTTTCGTTGCTCTTGAGGGACAGCCATGTTCTATCATGTTCATTTTAGGAGCTTGTGTTCGATTATGTAGGCATCGCAAGGCACCGATCCACAACAGGGCGGTCCAAGGAAGACTACCAGGATTCAGGATAGACATGCAATGCCAAAAAAAAAAAATCGATTGTCCAGTAGAAAATTGACATAGAAGTGGGATTGCCGACATTGGTATAGTGTGTCCTCATTCTTGGTTTCAACGGCTTAAACATGGTTCAAGCCTGAGCTACATCGACAAAGCATAGCGATATCTAACAATCAAAATCAACAAGCGTTGATATGCAAGTTAATGCAGCGACGTGAGCGAAACAAATCAAGTCAGGAGCTACAGGGGCATTGCACAGTATCCTAAGGTTGTCGCCATGGAAGTCTATATATATAGATAGAAGGGTGTGTTTCTATGGGCTCATGCCAGCCTCGCAAGCACCTTTGTTCCAAAAATGGTAGTATTATAATATAGTGATATAATTAGCAGGTTTTCTGATGAGCAACTCACCCAAGTTTTGCACATTGTTGTACCATTGCAATCTATGGGGTGACGGTGACGCATGGTCTAAATGGTTTGGCTTGATGCCACCAAAGAAGGCCAGTTGTAGCCGTGGTTACAGTCTGCAATTTTGTTTGGTCGGGAATGTTGGGAGGCCTATGTCAGAAGTATGCTGTCGTTGCTGCTTTGATGAATTCAGGCCTCGAAGCAAGGAAGTGCCAAAAACGCCGCAGACTTAGTACGGCGTGTCATTTCCTGAACAAGCAGGTTCACAAAGTATCGACCATCAGAACCAACACTTACTTCAGGCTGAAGTATGCTGAAGTCAAACGCTTTACGCATACATTTGTTGAACATGATCTCCGTCACACTGGCCGGCCATTATTGCGATTATTGGCCTTGGTACGGATCAGCGTTGATCAACAATTTGTGTCTCCTTACCGACTCTTACCGGGAACTTGTACAGATGTGCAGATTGTGCAGGCTCTGCCTGGCGGTCTAGCCTTCACACCTACAGCCAACACGATCCAAAACAGCATAAAACAGCTCAGGTTGGAGATCCATCTCCCACAAGCACCATCAAGAGTGAAACTTGGCACATTGTGGCGCTCGGTACACTGCCAGAGATTGTTGTCAACAGTTGTGCAATTTTTTTCCTGTCATGGGCCGGCTAAAGTTTCAAAGGCCGATGGCCACAGTTCCCATGTCAAGGCAGATAAGGCAGGCCCAATCTGCGCATCGAAGCCGCCTGAAGAAGAGAACCCAAACATCGTACTTTCAGCACCTGACACCCTTAAGATCCCTTAAGGATTTTACATGATGATTAACCCGAAGCTTTTCCACATTCTTGCGTCCACGAAGTCAGCAAAGGAGATCAGTTTGACCGATGTGCTCAGCGACGTCAGCCCTTCAAACAAGTCTTCTGCGCTGGCCTCATATTTTTCTTTGCATTCATCCCAAGTCGCCTCAAACATCCAGACTAGTCAAAGCGATTCATCTAGCATGAAGAATTTGAGCTTTCGTTTTTGAGAAGTAGTGGCATGTGGTTTGCTATGTGGTCCTCCACTTCAGCCTCATATCTTGATGACCTGACTGCTGATGCTCAGTCCAAGAAGTCATCAAAAAAGAAAGCTGCAGAGGAGTGTGTGCAAAAGCTCCTTCATGGAGGGGTCACCATGGGTTACCTCAACAACTCCGAAGACAAGATGTGGCTCATAATGCGCGATCTCTGCATTTGTCTGAATTCCTGATCTTGTCCTGTTCTGCAACTGTAGGGAAACAGGCTATGCTCCACTACGCTCTTTGTTCAGTGAGTGGCATGGGAGTTTTTGTGCGCGCCTGAAATGCCAGACTAGTCCGAGAATACATTGAAATCGGTTGAGATATGTTGAGATACTGTATATAGTCTAGTTGAGATACTGTAGAGAAGAAGGTTGTGGAGGTAGATCTTCATGGAAGTGCCCCTAGCATCTCCTTGCAGCTGAGCGCTCTTCTGCGCAGGAGGCAAAACGAAAGGCAGAAGCTCGAAAGGCCGAGCTCAAGCGTCAACAGGTGGCGACCGTAGATGGCAGGGCTCCCTGGTGGCTCTTAACACAAAAAGAGATATCAGTGATATCATAGTGATATCAGAGAATACCAGGTGAATACCAGACCATATACAAGAGATATATCAGAAGTATATCCGACATATTGACATATAGTTAATTATTCGATCCAGATCAAACCCAATCAGATCTGTTTGGCCACCGCTTGCCACAAGCACGTAGACTGGTGTGGTGCCGTTTTGAACATGTCCTGTCAGTATCGCCAACCTGACTGAGCAATCGGAGTGATAACTGTCCGGGGCGATTTGCCAACAGGAAGAGGCAGAGCAACAACTCAAGGAGACCATTGCCCTGAAGGAGCTGCAGCTAGGTGTAGCAAGTGAGAGTTTCAACTCGCATCCTCAATTTTGGCAAGTAAGTTATTGCGTACTTGGCGGGGTTTTGCCATCCAAAGTGATTTTGATTGATGTTGTTGCATGCACATGCTGTCTTTCGAATTGGATTCAACATATATATATATTATATTATTTATATAATTAATATATATATATATATGCAATTTGAGCCATCTTGAGCCAATATTCTTGTAGACATTTGTAGGCTATTCTTAAGGCTGGCACAGGCAGAAGAGTCAGTATATAGAGGATTTGGAAGGTTTAGCAAAGTGGTTTGGCCTATGATAAATCCCAAGATTGTTTGCGATGTTGGAACGCTGTTCAGGGTAAACAAATTCATGTGCATTTTGCTTCGTTGCTGTCATGGTCATGATGCAAAAGGAGAAGATCTTGAAATGCGCAATGTCAGCAGCAAACGCGAACAATGGAGTGATTGGCGCAGGTCATGGCTGATTTGTCGGCCGGAAATTGAGAGCATTTGATTGCCTTCTTAGCAGGGTGTCCTATCAATCAATGCGGATCATATTCACAAAGCATCACTTGACTTCCTTCAGGCAATCAAGCACATTCCTTTTCCTTGAAGTCATGAGTGAGACCATGTGGAGACAAATCAAGGTATTATAGGACGTTTAGATACGTTTAGAGTTAGAGAGAATATGAGAGAATGTGAAAGAAGTGGGACAAAGAAGAAGGCAGGCGCAGGGAGCAGAGGCACATGACCTCGAGGTGACACCAAAGTTCTTTCCAATTAAGTGGAAATCCACCAGTGCTGGCAGGCTTTCGGCACAGCGCAGTCATTTCCAAAGATGGAGGCCGCGATATTGTATCGTAAGTAAGAAGCTAGTCAAGCAGCATAATTGGACACGCGTAAGAGACCTCTTTTTTGTGTTTTCTCAAGGCACCCTTTCAAACCTGAAGGATCATTTACCCTTTCTAGTCTCTAGCCCTTTCTGCAACTATTAGAGACCGGGCAAAATAGGGACTTTGTTCATCTTTGTTCGCCTTTTTGGCTAGTTCTGCACTACAGTTTCAAATCGACTCAGTCGACGGAGGTTTAATTTGCTTTGGCACCTCTGGGCGGAGTCAATGTGACGTTCCTCACCCGAGTGTCACTGCGTACCGCCCGTACGAGTCAGTGGCTTGCGGCACCTTGGCAAAGATCATCCCATCCCGATGCTCTACGCCAATATGCAATTGTGGCCACTGCAGCATGCTTTGACTGTTTCTGCGTTGCCTTGAAATATCTTGCAATTTGATGCAGTTTGATTCTTTTGATTCTGCTCATGACCCGCGACATCCTGTGACCTTGCAAGGCCATTTGCACACATGCGCTGCCACTATCAAAGGGCAGCTGATCTTCTTTGGGGAAACATGTCACTTGGCAATGCTTGGTGCCACTGGAAGGCAGTTTGTGCAACTGCTGTTGCTGACTAAATCGGACTGACCAGACTTGACCAGATAATGTTTTTTTACCTTCAAAATCCTCAATTATCAGCCCAAGGCTCACAGGGATTTGCTTGATGCAACGCCTCAGGTTTTGGCCAATGTTCTCCACCGGAACTGGCAGTGGATGTCGGTGTCACTGCGCTTTGCGCTGGCTATGGTCACACCTGCATTCTAGACACACAAGGCCAGGTTCCAATGGTTCCAACTCGTTTTTTCAGCTTGTTCCTGGATATTGCTTATAATGCCTTCAAACGCCTTCAAGGCGGGTATGACAGAGCTTCTCAATTACTGTAGCCATTGCAGCCAAGTTAGCGCAGTTTGCGTTGTTGGTTCGGAACGTAGTACAGCCACTTGTTTCTGCGGCAGATGCGACTTCCGAGGACGTTTGCACTGTTTCGGGGACAATGTCTACGGCCAATGTGCTGTACCTATTGAGTTGGCATCCACCAAAGTGGTCTCGATTGCAGCTGGATTTCGTCACAGCTGCGCAGTCACGGCGCAAGGTGTGCTGCTGTGCTTTGGCGACAACAGCAGCTCGGTAAAGAAAAGGTTTCTGCAAGCCTCTAAGCTCAAAGAGAGAATGGATATATGATAATATGCATATGTAATTAATTGTTATTATATAAAAATATAATTATATAATAGATAGATAGATAGATAGATAGATAGACAGATAGATAGATAGATAGACAGATAGATAGATAGATAGATAGTTGGGTAATGATGGATATAGAATTAGAACGAAACTATATGAATTTGTATATGGTTCATCGTGAGGTTCGATTTGGTCCTTGTTTCCGGATTTCTCATACTAATACTAGTAGTACGTCAAAATTACTGTCATGTTCATGCAGGTGAGACACACAGGCAAGCAATTTGCAGCAAGAAGAGAAGGAAATACCATGGGAAGAAGGTAAAGCCAATGTGCAAGCTTTTCATCCTGAAATACCATGGATTTGCATGGATTTGTGACTGGCACATCCTCAAGCAGGATTCTGTGCAATTCCAGGCCGTGGACAGTGTACTGTGCCGCCATCTTTGACGAACGTCAGGTGACTTGAAAGATTTCTTGGCGTATTGTTGGTGGCCCTGCTGAACCTAAACAAAAAACATTGTGACCTCTGAAGGATTCATCACAGCCATGTTAGGTATTGTTTCCAATGAAGAGAGGTAGGAAACCAATGCGTTGAACTGGCTTGCGCTACCACTGAGCAAAGCCGGTGACATACATCGCAAGCGCATACAAGATATTTTGATAGATCTGGTGCATTTTCAATCATGTTCATCATGATTTTCATCCGTGTTGTCCCCGGAGATGCTTAGGTTGGTGGCCGCAGGGGATTTCCACACTTGTGCCATCACAGCGGATGGTAAGCTGCATTGCTTTGGAAGCAACGATCATGGTCAGTGTAATGTTCCGAAGCATTTGGAGCATTTTATCGTGTCTCAGCTCCTCATGTCGGGATGCTGTTTCAGTGTGTAGCTGACAGTATTCAGATGTATTCAGTATTTGTGTTCAGTCGTTGAAATATTGCTTGGTTTCCGGTATCGTGTGCTTTGGTGTTGGCTACAGCAATACATCTTCTGCTAGTCGACGCATGGTAATTAGGGTCTTAGTTTCAGCTAGCTGCCGGCGGTTCAAGATTTCAAAATGCAACGAATGGTGAGTCCAGCAAGGCTGTCGCTGCTGGATCGAATTTCACCATGGCTATCCTTTTCAATGGCAATGTGTGGTGCGGTGGATCAAGTGGCCATGGTCAATGTGATTTGCCCGATCACTTGCTGCCAGAGGCCCTCTTCAGATTGCAGTACAAGCGGCATGGGGGGTCAGACCTCACCAAACAATACCAAACATACTTTTATCACATGTCACATTCTTATTTCCATGTATGGTTTCTCATGTTTCTCAGCTGCCAGGCACCTGAAATACCTGAAGTCTCTGAAGTTGAGTCTGATATCTTCTCGGACGGAGCAGAAGAAGGAGAGGAGGAACTGCCGGAGGCTGGTCCTGAGTGACCGTGAAGCATTTTTTTGCAACGCGTTGAAAAGGTGTCTTTAAAGAATTCCTTATAACAATTTCTTCCCATCAGAGCTGAAAGAAAGTGAAACACCAAACCCATCCAAACCCCTCGTCAGTTAGGTGCAAAGAAATGTCCAAGAGATACAAGCCGCGCACGCTGGCACTGCCGCCTTCCTGCTTTCTGATGCTTTCAGGAAGATGTTCCGGGTGATTCTGTCGATGTGAACCCCACAGAGGAGCCCGTAGAGTTGCGACTTGGTGCAAAGCGGATGTCGGGAGGCTGGAATATACTGACACTGGATGACACTGATGACTGGATAGCAAGGGTTCTAATATTGCGGATCACTTGTTTGCCAGGGAGTTCCAGCTACTGAAAACTATTGGTATATGTTCACAAGTTGAAGAGGCAAAAGATACATCGGCTTCAAGAATCTGTTTGATCAAAAATTGTGACAGGGAGCAGCTATAGTATAGCAAGATTAGCAAGTGCATCAAGTGCCAACACTTGTGGCAGCACCATGCAGTACGAGCTATCCTTCATCACATTTCATCACCCTTAATGCTCAGTTAATCTGCACGCCCAGCCCTGGCCCCTGATTTCCCAAGGCCTGAGACAGACACGATCGCCTCTGTGCCTCGGATAAACAGGGCCGCACAATGCTATGCTGCACACCAAATGGTCTCACTGGGTCTTGCTAACTGAGCACCACCCAATTCAGATATATATATAGTATATATATATAGTATATATATATTCAGAATGTTTCGGAAGAGAGGCAGAATTCTGTGGTTCAAAGTTTCCGAGGACATGGAGAAGCGGATGAGGTCCACTTTCGGGAGCGTGGCAGAGAGTCAGGGCACACTTGACACTACGATCACCTCCATAATCAGTGAAGCACAGGAGACACAACTTCCAAGCACTTGCAAAGTCGAGTCACTATGTTTGTCCGGTGCTTTTCTTTTCAAAATTGGTTGCGTTCACGTTGCCTTTCACTTGTGACAGCATGAAGTCGTTGAGGAGTCGGTGGCAGATCAAGAAGAGACGGCCAAAGGCAAGATCCAGGCAACAAACTTCGGTATCCAATCGCCCATTCGCTTGCACATGGTAGAGCGCATCAGGATTTACATCGAATAATTCGAATAATTAATTACTGAAATAATCAGAATTAATGTTGGCTACTGATTAGTGTGAGGCCCCCCCTCAAACAAATTTACTTTCAATTGATTTCAATTTACTTTCAATTGATTTCCAACTGGTTTCAATTGATTTCAATTTACTTTCAATTGATTTCCAACTGGTTTCAATTGATTTCAATTTACTTTCAATTGATTTCCAACTGATTTCAATTGATTTCAATTTACTTTTAGTTGATTTTTAATTCAAATCAATTTGCTTTCAATTGATTTCAATTTACTTTCAATTCAAATCAATTTAGTAATGGTTTGATAAGGCAGCTAATTATTTCGAAAACATTGCATTTTAAAGCTTTAGTTAACATGAATATGGCTTTCTAAAGTAAAGGGACCAGCTTTACCCAAAGAAGAAAGGTGGAGAAAGGGTTTTGTTTTTTTTTCACTCCCAAAAGTTGTTGTGCACAATAGAGTACCATCCAAACAATTATATTATTGAGTATCTGGGCCACTCTTGAGGTACCCCCTTGAAAAATTGTTTGGGTTCTGTTTTTAAGTAAGGGTTTAATAAGGCATCTAATTATTTGAAAAAATAAAGATAAAAAAAAAAAAAGTGAAAAATTGTATCTGAGAAAAAAATGAAAAAATGAAAAAAAATCTGAAAAAAACTGAAAAATCTGTGAAAAACTGAAAAAATCTCACAATAGAGGTTCCCACCCACAAACACCAAGATACTCAATTAGGAAGCATTTTTTTCTCACAATAGGGTACCATGACACTAATCGGGAGCCAACATTGCAGAGGTTCCAGGGAAGATAGGGAAGGGCACTGATTTCATTTTAAGATTCAGCAACCAGACTGACAGCTGCCAACTGTCGTTGGACCGGTGCGGTTCAGCAAACAAATCCGATTTTCTGCAATTTATCGCGCTACTTTAGTAGTGTTTGGTTTAGGACGTTTTGAACCCACGTTTGACATCTAGAAGGCTTCGCACTCCCGGCATGCAATTTCTTGCACTTGGGAGGTTTTGCATGAAAAATTGGCAGCTGCTTGGGAGGATGCTGCAGCCTCAGAGTTCTTGCATTTGGACATGATCAGGAGATAATTCTCTCACACATGGAGCCGTTGAGCGCACTTTGCATACACTTGACCTGGTCAATGGAGAACATGTTGCATGTTTCTAAGCTCATGGGCGACTTATGCCCGAAGGAGATGTTATCTTGATGCTATAGCAATCTTGAACTTGTTGTTTGTATACAGACCGTCTGTGTACGTGGTTGGTTTGCTTGGATACTTTCTTGTTGGATATTTGCCTGCTCACATAAAAGTGCTTGAAGTGTTTTCGCTTGCAGTATGGCTACTGAACTGCAAGCAATGACTAATGACTTTGGATATACCAGTAGTACCGCACAAGGCGGTGACGGAAGTTTCAAAAATAGGAAACCTATAGGAAGGGTTGGTTGTTGTGACTCACGGATGGCAGAGCGAATCCACTGATGGACCGAAAGGTTGTGTTTTCTGGAGTGGTTGAAATGGTTGCATTGGTCACCTCACCACAACTGCTGGATGTAGTGTGGTGTAGTGCAGTTGTAGTTGTAGCTGTAGCTGTAGTGTAGTGGAGTTGTAGTTGTAATTGTAGTTGTATTGTACAGTAGCTGTAATGTAGTGTAATTAGCGTAGTTGCAGTTGCAGTTGTAGTTGTGGTGTGGTGCAACTAGTGTAGTGTAGTGTATTGTACTGTAGTGTTGTGTACTGTAGCGTGGTATAGTGTAGTGCAGTCTAGCGTATTGTAGTGTAAAGTAATGTAGCTGTAGTTTTAGCGTAGTGTCATGTAGTGCAATGTAGTGGTAGTTTCAGTTGTAGTGTAATGTAATGTAATTAGCGTAGCGATGCGTAGCGTAGTGATGTGTAATGTAGTGTAGTTGTAGTTGCATTTGTATTTGTAACTGTGGCGTACTGCAGTTTAATTAGCGTACTGTAGTGTAATGTAGTGTAGCTGTAATTGTAGTTGTAACTGTGGTGGTGGTGGTAGTAGTAGTAGTAGTTGTTGTTGTTGTTGTTGCTGCTGTAGCAGTTGTAGTGTAATTAGCGTAGTGTAGTGTAATTAGATGTAATTAGTGTAGTGCATGCAGTGTAGTGTAGTGTAATTAGTCTTGCGTAATGTAGCGTAGTATATTTGTACTTGTAGTTGTAGTAGTAGTGTAGTGTAGTGGCACTTGTAGTTGTAGTTGCAGTTGTAGCTGTCTATCTATCTATATGTCTATCTGCCAGCTTGAAAACGAAGCTATTCCACGAGACTACTTCAGTTTTTGAAATTGACAACATCAAAAACGCGGCAATTCTGCGAGACTTCCTTAATTTTTGAACTTGACAACGTCAAAAACGAAAGAATTCTGCCAGACTTCCTCATTCTTCGAAGCTGACAACATCAAAAACGAAGCAATTCTGCGAGACTTCTTCGGTTTTTGAACTTGACAACATCAAAAACGAAAGAATTCTGCGAGACTTCCTCAATTTTCGAAGTTGACAACATTTGACAACATTAAAAAGGAAGCAATTCTGCGAGACTTCCCTCAGAAATGGATCATTTCTGAGGGATAGTCGACTGCAGAGCTGACTGCTTCGTACCAATCTAAAGCACCGCGCCTGCCACGAAAAAGTGAGGCCAGGTCATACGAAGTGCTGCACCCAAAACTGAAGTTCTGATGCTCCAAAATGCAACCTCTCTCAGAAAATCAGCGCCCGGACATCCTAACATCTCTGATTACCATGTCTTTTGTGCTGCGGTTGCCACGCGACATGCATCTTTGCAGATCTTCTTCAAATGCCCCACGCCTGCCACCATTTTTGGAAATGCTACAAAACCCTCACGTTTTGCTCACTTTTGACAAGGTGCACAATCCCATGCGCCTGCCACGCGAAAGGACATCTGAACGTCCAGAAATTCTCCGAACATGTCCGAACATGTGGCGTTTTTAACAATTTGGCTTGGAAATGTGCTTCGCCACAACGGCGTGCACTTTTTCGACATCTCAACTTCCAAAAGTGGTCCGAACATGTTGTTTTTTGAAGTTTTTTGAACATTTTACCTTGGAAACGCGCTTCGCGCCAAAACGGCGTGCACTTTTTCGACATGTCAACTTCCAAAAGTGGTCCGACACTGAGGTGTTTTGTACATTTTGACTTGGAACTGCTTTTCGCGCCACAACAACGTCCACCTTTTCGTCATCTCAACTTCTCATCTTTGCTTTTCATTTGTCCATGTTGTCAGAAGTTTGATTTCTAAACTTCCTTCGATCATGTGTTGCATAGAACAACCACGTTATGATTTGAATATAATGTAACACTATACAATATATAATATATCATATATTTTTTTTATAATCGAAGGAAGTTTAGAAGTCAAACTTCCGACAATATGGAGAGATGAAAAGCAGAGCAGGGAAGAGGCATAGAGAAGAGAAAGATTAGAAGAAAGAAGATTAGAAGAGAGAGTAAGAAGACAGAAGATACAGATGCGCGAAAAGGTAGGAAAGTCGCGAAACACTGTGTTTTTCCAATGATTTGTGGCTCCGGAGGGTCGAAAAGTAGGCTCGCTAAAGCGGCGGGTGCGGAGCCAGCTGGCCAGAGGAGAGATGAAAAATTGCACGCTGTTGTGGCGCGAAGCACATTTCCAAGTGAAAATGTAAAAAAAAAACACCATTCTCTGACCACTTTTGGAAGTGGCGACGTCGAAAAAGTGCACGCCGTTGTGGCGCGAAGCACATTTCCAAGTCAAAATGTACAAAACACCTCAGCGTCGGACCACTTTTGGAAGTTGAGATGTCAAAAAAGTGCACGCCGTTGTGGCGCGAAGCACATTTGCAAGTCAAAATGTAGAAAACACCTCAGCTCCGGACCACTTTTGGAAGTTGCGATGTCGAAAAAGTGCACGCCGTTGTGGCGCGAAGCACATTTCCAAGTCAAAATGTACAAAACACCTCAGCTCCGGACCACTTTTGGAAGTTGGGATGTCGAAAAAGCGCACGCCGTTGTGGCGCGAAGCACATTTCCAAGTCAAAATGTACAAAGCACCTCAGCTCCGGACCACTTTTGGAAGTTGAGATGTCGAAAAAGTGCACGCCGTTGTGGCGCGAAGCACATTTCCAAGTCAAAAGTGTAAAAAACTGAGGGTTTTGAGCCTTTTTTGACGTTAAGATGTCGAAAAAGTAGACACTGATTAACTTAACTAACTTGACTAACTTAACTACACAGATAAATACCACTGCACTCCATTACACCATCTTCCACTACACTTCACTACATTACACTGCACTACCCTCCACTAAAATACAACTACACGTGCAACTCCACAACTACACTCCACTACACTACACTGCACTCAATGACATTCAATTACACTACATTGCAGACAGACAGATAGATAGATAGATAGATAGATAGACAGGTAGACAGCTAGACAGATAGACCGATGAAAGAGAGAGAGAGAGATAGATAGATAGATAGATAGACAGGTAGACAGCTAGACAGATAGACAGATGAAAGAGAGAGAGAGAGAGATAGATAGATAGATAGGTAGATAGGTAGATAGGTAGATAGGTAATGAGATGAAAGAGAGAAAGAGAGAGATAGATAGCTAGATCAACAGATAGATAGATACATAGAAAATAGATGGGTAGGTAGGTAGATAGCCAGAGAAAGAGAGAGAAAGAGAGGAGACCTCAAGCACCTTTCGGTCCGTCAGTGGCTTCGCTCTGCCATCCCTGATTCACAACAACCAACCTCTCCTATAGGTTTCCTATTTTTGAAACTTTCGCCACCGCCTTGTGCGGTACTACTGGTATGATATAATGCATTACCCAAACTTTGTGTTTGGGAACACTTGAGGCTGAAGCTTTGGCAGCGAAATACGTGGACCGCTTCAGAGGATTGACGGCAGGCTGCTTCCATAGTTGTCTTCTGCAAGCAGATGGGCAGTTTCTTTTCTTTGGAGCAACTGGGCCAAACCTGCTCAGTCCCTGCAAGAACTGTCCTGGAAGACCAGCTTGGAGGTCATGTCTCTGTTCTTTAGTTTTGCTATGTTTTACATGTCTGATCCAAACCCCTCTATGAAATAGCGAGGGTCATGGCCCTGCATAAAACGTTTTATGTATGGTTTTTCTGTTGGTTGGACCCCCAATTTTATAGCCAAACCATGGTTTTGCATGATTCTGCTCAGAGTATGGGTTCAGGAGGGGGGGGCGTCAGAGATCCCTATTTTATAGAGGATATGTTTTTTTCCAGTTTTGTTTTCTTTAATGACAGGACGGTACATGACATATAAATTTGGTGCATGTTTTTTGAATTGAATAGTTCAGTTAGATTTTTAGATTGTTGACCACGAGTAGATAAAATTTATCCGAAGCCATTTGGCCAAACAAAGGTGTCCGATCAAATTCAGAAACTCGACATGAATCATATTGAATCATCAGGAATCCATATAATAATTCAAAGTTCGGAACATGTTTAAATCATGGTTTTGATACATGGAACCTGCTGAATGACACAAATCCACATGAGTAAATATGAATAAACACGACCAATGTTTTTTTTGAACAAGTCTGCAAATTCAGAAGCCATCTCGGCTCTGACACTCTTCTGCAAAGTTCTACTTCCTCTACTATCCTTTCACATCTTTGCTACCATCTCTCTTGACTTCTTGGTTTGGGCAACCTCCTGCCACATCTTGCCACGACATGCCACGACTGGGCCCTTTGCTGGCAGGGTTGGTCTCTATAAAATGGAGGGGTCTAACCCTCCACCTGCACCATAACACTATTGCTCTGTGGGAGAGCAGAGGAATTGGAGCAGCAGGGGTCAGAACCAGCACTCAGAAGCCATCTCAGCTCTCACTCTTCTGCAAACTTTTACTTCCCCTACTATCCTTTCACAACTTTGCTACCATCTCTCTTGACTTCTTGGTTTGGGCAACCTCCTGCCAGATCTTGGCACGACTGGGCCCTTGCTGGCAGGGTGGGTCTCTATAAAATGGAGGGGTCTAACCCCGCACCTGCACCATAACACTGTTGCTCTGTGGGAGAGAGGAGAGGAATTGGAGCAGCAGGGATCAGAATCAGCACTCAGAAGCCATCTCAGCTCTCACTCTTCTGCAAAGTTCTACTTCCTCTGCTATCCTTTCACATCTTTGCTACCATCCCTCTTGACTTCTTGGTTTCGGCAACCTCCTGCCACATCTTGCCACGACATGCCACGACTGGGCCCTTGCTGGCAGGGTGAGTCTCTATAAAATGGAGGGGTCTAACCCCCCACCTGCACCAGCAGCAGGGGTGGATCTCTATAAAATGGGGGGGTCTAACCCCGCACCTGCACCATAACACTGTTGCTCTGTGGGAGAGAGGAGAGGAATTGGAGCAGCAGGGATCAGAATCAGCACTCAGAAGCCATCTCAGCTCTCACTCTTCTGCAAAGTTATAGTTCCTGTGCTATCCTTTCACATCTTTGCTACCATCCCTCTTGACTTCTTGGTTTGGGCAACCTCCTGCCACATCTTGCCACGACATGCCACGACTGGGCCCTTTGCTGGCAGGGTGAGTCTCTATAAAATGGAGGGGTCTAACACCCCACCTGCACCATAAGCAGGGGTGGATCTCTATAAAATGGAGGGGTCTAACCCCCCACCTGCACCATAACATTGTTGCTCTGTGGGAGAGAGCACGGGATTTGGAGCAGCAGGGGTCAGAACCAGCACTCAGAAGCCATCTTTCTACTTCCTGTACTATCCTTTCACAATCTTTCACATCTTTGCTACTAATTGCTACCATCTCTCTTGACTTCTTGGTTTGGGCAACCTCCTGCCCACATCTTGCGACGATTGGGCCCTTGCTGGCAAGGTGAGTCTCTATAAAATGGAGGGGTCTAACCCCCCACCTGCACCATAAGCAGTGAGATCTCTATAAAATGGAGGGGTCCAACCCCCCACCTGCACCATAGCACTGTTGCTCTGTGGGAGAGAGCAGAGGAATTGGAGCAGCAGGGGTCAGAACCAGCACTCAGAAGCCATCTCAGCTCTCACTCTTCTGCAAAGTTCTACTTCCCCTACTATCCCTTCACAATCTTTCACATATTTGCTACCAATTGCTACCATCCCTCTTGACTTCTTGGTTTGGGCAACCTCCTGCCACATCTTGCGACGATTGGGCCCTTGCTGGCAAGGTGAGTCTCTATAAAATGGAGGGGTCCAACCCCCCACCTGCACCATAAGCAGGGAGATCTCTATAAAATGGAGGGGTCCAACCCTCCACCTGCACCATAACACTGTTGCTCTGTGGGAGAGAGCACGGGAATTGGAGCAGCAGTGGTCAGAACCAGCACTCAGAAGCCATCTCAGCTCTCACTCTTCGGCAAAGTTCTACTTCCCCTACTATCCCTTCACAATCTTTCACATATTTGCTACCAATTGCTACCATCCCTCTTGACTTCTTGGTTTGGGCAACCTCCTGCCACATCTTGCACGACTGGGCCCTTGCTGGCAGGGTGGGTCTCTATAAAATGGAGGGGTCTAACCCCCCACCTGCACCATAAGCAGGGGTGGATCTCTATAAAATGGAGGGGTCCAAGCCCCCCACCTGCACCATAACACTGTTGCTCTGTGGGAGAGAGCACGGGAATTGGAGCAGCAGGGGTCAGAACCAGTACTCAGAAGCCATCTCAGCTCTCACTCTTCGGCAAAGTTCTACTTCCTCTTCTATCCTTTCACATCTTTGCTACCATCCCTCTTGACTTCTTGGTTTGGGCAACCTCCTGCCACATCTTGCCACAACATGCCACGACTGGGCCCTTGCTGGCAGGGTGGGTCTCTATAAAATGGAGGGGTCTAACCCCCCACCTGCACCATAACACTGTTGCTCTGTGGGAGAGAGCACGGGAATTGGAGCAGCAGGGGTCAGAACCAGTACTCAGAAGCCATCTCAGCTCTCACTCCTCGGCAAAGTTCTACTTCCCCTACTATCCTTTCACATCTTTGCTACCATCCCTCTTGACTTCTTGGTTTGGGCAACCTCCTGCCACATCTTGCCACGACATGCCACGACTGGGCCCTTTCTGCATACTACCGGAGCCTGTGTCTTGTTTGTCGGTGCTCTTTTTCAATAGAATGATCCTCCGGAGGTCCGACATTGCGCCGTACGGCCGGCAATTTTGATTTCACCCACTATTGTATAGCATCGTCAGACCTTAACTCAGACCGGGCCGAATAGGCCAAAGTCTGTAGGGAAAACAATCTAGTTCCTCTTCTACCAATTTCATCCAATTTCTACCCTTGCATGTCCTTTCCATTCCTTTCTTCTATAATCTTCATAACTTTAGACATATGGAAACTTTGGATCATTTGAAACTATTTGAGATACATGTTCTCATTTTGTTTGTGGTGAACTGCACTGTTTTTCAAAATATAACACCCAGATTGGGGGGGTAAGAGTTCCCAATTTCATAGACATCATGATTTGTATGGTCAAAGTTTGGCAAGGTTAGTGGTTAGACCCCTTATTTTATAGACTTGGGGGTCCGACGTTGGTGCTCAGCAAATTATATGCACCCTAGGGGTCAATGACACCATTTTATGTCTATAGAATAGCGAGCAAGACCCTCCCCCCCTGTTTGGAACATACATTGTTTTACTCCGTGGTTCGTTTCCGTAGAGGACACTTGTGCAACGGCAGGCCGGCTGGATGTAATTTAGCATGTTTTTTCTGTACCAGGGCTGCCATGGCTGCCATGCTGTATTGTATTCGCTGTAGCACTTGCCAAGGACGATAGTGCAAACCAGTGCACGATGCCAGAGGGGCTCATCCCGAAGGCAATTGCAGAGGACTTTCAGGGTTGTAGGATGTCGTAGGATCGTAGGAGTCTGGAACGGATAAGATTTGATGAGATCTGATAAGCACATGTCATTCCAACAGATAGATTTGGACAATTCCACCAGACAGATGATTGAAGTGTGCTATGTGCAGGTACTCGTAAAACAGACTGTCAGAAGGAAACCTCAAATGAGATGCTGCAAGATTCTGCACCGCTGGTGCTTTTCTGGGCACATCTCACACCTGTCACACCTGCAGGTCTCCATCATCGACGCTGCAGATTTGCCCGTGGGAATCCTCGCTGGCGCAAAGCCAAAGTTGCTCTTGCCGCCAGAGCCGCCTGAAGTGCCATCCGACTCCGGTGAAGCTGTGGCACCACCACCACAAGCTCCAACTTTTGGCAGACCATAGCAGAGCTCTTGAAGCCTCCACTTGGCCAAAAAACATTAAACAACACACACACAATCACACATACACACACACATACTGGATACGCCAATATACGCCAATATACGCCAATATACGCCAATGAAATTGAAACATAGTGAAACATGACGAGATGTTTTATGATGATTATTCATGCCGTGCCACTTTGGATGTTTTAGATCACGTTCGAACTCGTCGAAACGCTCATCAAAAAGCACCTGTGTGCCAACTGCTGACTGCCAAAACAAACAACCACAACATGCGTTTTGAAGTTTTTTTGAAGCTTGAGGCTTGGTTGGTTTGGTAGCCCAAGGCCACTCTCTCCAGCTGACAGCATCAAGATCCATCAAGTAGATGTTCCAGGTGTCATTGGGCCGGTTGGTCCTTTTCAACAGTATTCCGGAAGTCTATGCAACAGTAGAAGAGAGTAGGGAGGCTCTCATGACACCACAAGGACAAAGAGCTCAAAGTGAGCCCGCCCTTGCCAATGCAAGAGCACTTTGCCATCTTTGCCGCATTTTGCCGCTTTGCCTGATCAAACTTAGGGCCTGCTTGCCAAGAAACAGGAGTTTCTGGATCAGTTGCTTCTTGGGTGAGGCCGCTCTCTTTTGCTGATTCTCCGGGTGCCTCTATGTAATCACATCGTGCAGGTGTATTTCTGCAGCTAACTTTGAAATGCAATAAAGACTTCTTCAGTTTAAAGATCTGTTGGATCTGTTGGGACGAGCAAGGCATCAACTTGTGCATTTTTTGTTGCATGGTGTTTTTCTCTTTTCCCCAGCGCAGGAACACGAACAGCAGCTTCGAGCTTTGGCGCGTGCAGAGTCTGAAAGCTCGCTGCTCCCAGCAGAAGCCGAGGGGAGAGTGGCAGAATGTGACAGACGCACATAATATGATGCAGAAAACACCAAATACTAAGTGCAGAATGTAACATGCATGTAACATATGGATACGTTTGGTGAGACGGGAGGTGATCCTCGGTAGAGCAGTTGCTGCAAGCACTACAGGAGGTGATATCAAAGTGATATCATATGATATCATCCTTGTCGTTCAAGTTGATTTGTCAAGGCATGGCAGAGCCCATAGCCATAGTTCACGAGAGGCTTCATGAGGCTTCGCAGGAATCCCCGTGCCCATCAGGGTGTTCATGGTGTTTAATAATGTTTAATATTGTTTAATGCATGCCGGTTTGGCCCAAGAACATGGCGAGCAGATTTCGCACATGTGTGGCCTTGTCAGCGGCATTTGCCATCGGCATTTTGCTGGTAGCTGCTCGTTTGACTGGCCTCATCTCACCGCAAAGACCGGAAGCATTGGACGCGAGCAATCGCAAAGCTGAGATTGAGGCACCAGATAGCCAGTTTCCCCCACGGTTCCCTCAGTTCTTTGCAGATACTGCTGGTGAGGAGACGAAACGCGGCCAAAGTGCCGGAGAAAGTCGTAGTGGACAGAATCACTCTGGTGACTCTAGAGGATATGGTTCCCAAAGCAGCAATCGCAATGACAAGAGTCATGATGACGATGTGACTACAAGACCTACAAGATTCCGAGATGGCGACAGGGGCATCCACAGAGCCAGCCCGACAGCTAAGACCAGAGATGGAAGTTCAGTTGACAAGAAATATTTAAACGTGAATGTGGCATCAGCAAACGTTGGTGGACGCGAGGCACGAAGTTTGAGAGATTGTGTCACGGCTTCCAAGGTGTTTTCTGATGACGCTGAAGTGGATGCACTTGTTCGGGTTTTGGAGCAGTTTCGTGACATGACTCCTCCACCAGACGATGACGGAAAATTATTTCCGCCACTTCCCCTTGTGTTCACACAAATGCGCAAAGGCGAGGGGGTTGGTATCGCAGAAGCATTTCACCATGCGTGGAGTGTAGCACTTGGCTGTGGCAAGATTTTCTTCACAAGGACCGACGTCCGAGTGCGCCAGGGAAAGGAGAAGTGTTTCTCCCTCTTTGCATCCGCTGCCGCACCACACCTTTATCCCTGGGGCTTCTTTGACTCTGCCACTCGGAAACAGAAGCTACCAGACTTGGATAAGATCATCGGCATCCGGGGAAACTTGCCATTTGGTGCCTGTCGTTTTCTCGACTCCGACTGCAGCTACACAACTGTTTTGCTGGAACCCGTGGAGAGATACATTTCTCACGTTCAATCAGAGTGCGCACAGAGACTACAAACTGTCCCCGAGTGCGATCTGTCCCTGCAAGACTTTACTCATGCAGCAGTTCGTGGAGATGTGTCGTTTTACGGCATTGATAATTACCAAACACGACTGTTAGCAGGGGATGGCTCTGTTGATTCGAACAACAAGCCTTGCTTTTCAGCTGAGACCTGCAAACGTGTGGAGACCTTTCAAGTTGGACCTTCGGATGTGAAAGCTGCAATTCGCAATCTTGTTTTTCATTATCCTGTTTGGGGGGTAGTCGATGACCTTCCCAGTTTCGCGGAACGTTTGCAGAGAGTCTATGGCTACCCTTTTTTCATGTTAAAAAAGAAGCGAACTACAACAGATCTAGATTTTGGTATGAACTTGACACTGGATGCCACAGCTAGGAAGGAGATTGAGCAAATGAATGCCGCCGACGTAACTCTGTACACATTCGCACGCTGTGTCCTTGATGCTGGCAGCCCAAGATTTGCATTTTAGACGTGGCAACGTGCTGTCCTAATAAATTCTGAGATGCTGACCCGAAGGCACATTTCGGATCATTTCGGGCATAGTCTGCCTGTTTTGGTTGTGGACTTGTAAAACTCTGCACTGGCTGGGTGGCAACATGAAGGCTACATGGCCTGCCTGATGGTCCCCTTCACCGCTTCATCCTCATTCAGACTCATCAACTTCAAGGCTGTGAGCCCAGAGATGCTCAAGGTCAAGCGTTTCTCAAGTTCAAGTTCCGGGATTCTCGGGTCTTTCCAGGATCAACATATCTCCGCGCATCGCATAGCTGGGAGCCGCTGAACGCACAATTTGGAAGTGGAGCCACGGCCGAATGCCGAAAAAGATGAGTGCACTTAGTATACTTAGTGCATCTTAGTGCACTTGCTCAACTTGCTCAACTTGCTCAACTTGCTCAACTTGCTCCTTCCGCCAATGGAAAGCTTATTCGATCCATTTTCGTCACATTTCGTCACATATCGTCACATATCGTCACATGTTAATTAATCATATTTTTTGTGATCAAAAACAGCTCAGGCCACCGTTGCTGGGAGAAGCTTGAGGATGCCACCATGCAGTCTAGCGACCTTTGTATAAGGCGGGTGCCGTCACGCAGTCCCACATGCAGCTTGAATTTGTCTTTCCTATTGGCCAGACTGCCAGACATGGCAAAACACTTCACTTGCAAGGCTTCAGATGATGGGAAACAATTTGGAGGTACGATAGCGGGCAGCTTTGGAAAACTGACGGCCTTGGTGATGAGATTCTCAACACATAGCTAAAGTGATCAAAAGTGAGGACCTAATGACCTAGTGGGGCACTTAAGGGATGGCCTAGTGGGTCACTGTTTGGCCACTGTTCAGGGGGTAGCTGGCTAGTAGCTTGACATCATTGACATGTTTGACATTGTCAATCAAATGAGTAATCAGCAAGACAAAGACCTGACGCCAAGGCAGACAAGACAAGAAATGTGCATTGAGATTTGATGGTATTTGTTGTTTTGTTCAGAGGGCGATGATGTGCTGAATCGAGCTTTTGTCAGTGTCAAAACATGATAAGGATAAGTCTCGTACCTGCCTCTTGACGCCCCCAGAACTTGTCAGGACCTCTCCCAAAAGTCTGAGGAGTCACACGAAGCCATGAGCCTGGCAAAAGTTCGCAAAAAGAGCTGTTGCTAAAGACCTGTCCTTGCTTATCTTGCTTGCATTTGCTGTTCCATCAGACCTTTCCCTGTGACATGTGAGGCCAGCATACGGCTGCGAGGCAAGCGATTTTTTATGATTTGTTTCAGTCAGATGATGAATGAATGAAATGAAATGAAAGTAAAGATAGTAAAGAAAGAATGAATGAGTGACTGAATGAATGATACCTACCTCTGAAAAAAAAATGGGGGGAGTCGTATTGAAATTTCATTTCAAAATTCAATTGTTGCATTTGTTTTTCCTCGATGGTCAACATTCCTCGTCATTCCATATCATTGGCAAGCAGATGAAAATTAAATACTTGCGCTTAGCTCCGGAGGAGCTAAGCACATGTCAGACTGAAGCAGCACATGTGTAGGGGTGGCATCCCTCCAAAAATTGTGCTGCCGTCATCATACTTGCGCTTAGCTCCTCCGGAGCTAAACGCAGGTATTTTCTAACCAGTGCCCAAGGCTTGTTAAGAAATGTTACTTTTAAATTCCATTTGAGGGTTTGGATCACTATCCCAGGGTTTCCAAGCAAAAAAAGTGGAATTCGACAGGTTGGTTTTGTCCCCCACCCCGCCCTCCCCCTCTATAGGGGTAGGGATAATGAATGAATGTGTGGATTTGGTTCGCGCAAGGACATTGACCTTCTTTCCAGCCGCTTTGCGTTGTACTTTCATGGATTTTCTTTCACAGTTTGCTATCTACATTTGTCTATTATGATTCTGATTGATTCTGTATTATGTTTGTGCTGACACGCCGATTTTGCTTATTCCTGATTTGCATGTCTCTACTCCATGCATGTGCAAGGTTGCTGGCAGGAGGCTGGGAGTCCCAGACTTTCACAAGAGCTATATACCCACAGACTTGCTGCTAATTGAATATAATTGAATGTATTCAATGTATTCGTTGAGAAAGGATGAGTGCTCCACCCTCTCAGAACTCTTCTGATATGGACAGTCCAGGACAACAGGATGTAACAGGGTATCCATATGGTTACCACCCACGTCAAACGTTCTGTGAAGAGGTTAGCGGCTAGTGACAAGCGCTACCAGCAAGAATAGATTTGCCAAATTTTGCCAATATTTGCCACCTCTTTCACGCTTTCCAGTCCAAAGCATGTGGCCTCATGTACTGCACGTAGCCTCAGAATTCCAAAAGATATCAAAAGAATTCAAAAGATACTACGGCTACCGCGTCCTATTTTGCTTGTAATTTGTAATTGAGTGCCATATGTCACCACAGATTTTTTGGAGCTTCCATAGGGCCCAAATGTTCTTTTCAGAACTCCGAAACACACCCGTCCATCTCATCGACAAACAACTTGGACGTATCGACTGGACTGAATCGTTGATCCCAAGTGCCACACGTGTTTTGCCTTGGAGGATGGACGTCGCAACGTTCTTGTATGCAGCACATAGCACATGCATGTCATATATATTACATGTATAATAATACAAATTTGATTGAGCTGTCACAAATACAATAAGACACAGGTTTTAGATGGTTTTAGTCATTGATTCGCACCACTAAGAGCTTATTGAACATTTAAATAAAATTAATCAATCATTCTACTTATTTCATCTTATTTCATCTTACAGTATGCTGAGCTGAGCATCTGCCAGGCTGTGCAACTCGCGTCCCTGGAGAGAGGTCAAGTCACAGCGGCAACCGACCCAGTTGAGTGACAAGGAAAAAAATCTTCGATTTGACCATTTTGACATTTTAACATCTTTTGACATCTTTTGACATCTTTTGACCATTTATTTTGCTTCCTTTAGGCTAAGTAATAGATAGTGATAGTATATAAGATAGTAATAGTATCAAGTTTCACATTTGTCCACACTTTTCTGTGCAAAGTTGCGCTTTCTGTGGATTGTGAGTTCTTGTCGCGCGATTTTAAACCTTGATGCATTGATGGGACATCAGCTGCTCATCGACCAGCTTGGCCATCAATTGACATAAGGTCAATGTGCAAATTGGTCAGCTTCGTGATCATGGGGACACGTCCTCAGACCATGTGATTTCGACACATTGGTCATTAAAATGAACTGAATCACTGTTTACGTTCCGCATTTATCGGCAAGTTTTGAGGCAATTGCTGAATGCCAAGCGGCAAATCTTTGCGATGAGGCGATAATGACAGCGGCATGTAGAGAAGCACAATACTTATCAATACGTCACTATCATCCAAAAAAGGTGGGAGAACGTATTGTTTGTAAGAACGATTCTTGTTTTTACATGTTTTTACTGTACCTGCGGGAGATGATGACTTGTCCTTTGGGCTATGTATTCAGCCCCGCCAAGAGTGAAATGGCGGAACCACTCGCAATGATTCAGTAGCAAGTACGGGATGTTCTGTCCTTGCCTGAGGACAAAGCCAGGACATACAGTAGACTCGGTAGACTATGTTCTGGCTGAAGATTGAAGAACAAAGCATCCATTCGGCAGTAAGTCTTCCTTATGTAGTTTTTTTTTTTGCAACTCAGTGTCAGAGTCATATCAGGTTCAGTAAGCCACTTCAACAGGCATCTTGCTGAGGTAGTTATTGGTTTGCCTGAGGCGGTGGAGACAGAAACTGCAGCCAGCGAGCTTTGGCAGGACATTGCAAAGGTAGAAGGCCGAAAACAATAGGGGCGGTGGCAAACTGCAGAACTGTCGTGCTGAATGTCGCTGTGCAAGTATATGGGGCAGAAGCAAGCATGGTAGTTATTATATGACTATTACAAATCATATGCATATTTATATAAAGTTATATCCTATTACACATACATACATACATACATACATACATACATACATACATACATATATATATATATATGATTTTAATTTAGTTATGTAATTATATGTAATTTTTGATATTATAATGTCAGCTTAAGTAGATAATATGCCTGAGCTAGTTTCTCCGGGATTTGGGAGGAGAAATCTCTCGGATACTCCTGAAAGGCCAAGACCATCGCCGAGACTCGTTGGTCGCAGAACTCCGGAGTGCACAGGCAGAGCATGAGGCCAGGGCAGCATCAATTACATGAACTTAGATTCGTATAAGTAAGAATACAAAGAATCACAGTTAGAGAGTTGGGACCAGTTTGAGCTGTATCAGTTTCTATCATATCCTGTGAATCATAGTCAGAGGCATCGAACTGTCACTATGTGTCACCCTGGCCACCCTCTTGCCAACTAGGCAATAAAATAAGAAATTGTCGTGTTTCCTCTCAAATTGCTCCGGGGTTCAGCCATCTTTCAAAATAGTCGCTAAATGTCGCCAATTGGTCTAGTCGCTTCTTGATCGTTTGCCATGGAATTCCATGGATAGGGTCAACTGGTTATTTGTACCGAAGTACGGTAGCACCTACATGGACCTACACTGTATACCTAACTCATGAGTTGCTGCTTCTGTAGTTTTCTGTGGTATTTGCACAAATGTGAATGTGTCTTTGTTGGGGCAGTTGTGAAAGTTGGCACTCTCATTCTGTTCCATGACCATCAGATATGGATCTAGTTGGATCTATTTGGATCATGTCAAAAGACATATAAGACATCATGTCATCATTCTTCAATGCTCTTGTTGGAAATCCAGTCCCAACATATCCCAACCAACATTAATGCCCGTGCAAATAGGGCAAAAGCGGAACATATCCATGAGGACCCTGTCAGTATTTAGATGACTAGAGGGCACTTTTTAATGTTTTTTGTGCCCCTTTGCTTTGTGTAGGAGTTGCGGTGCCACATTTTCATGCAAGAGCCAGAGCCTCAAAGCCAGAAAGATCCAGAAAGTATAGGGTCTCCTTTTGATCCTTTCGCATTATTGTTTTACATTTGCCACTGCCAATCATTGCCAATCAAAAGCAACCAGGCTTTGTTTGTCCCAACCAAAAGCACGGCAAGAGAGCCCAAGCCACGTTTGGGTTATTCGAAGAATGCGCAAGAATTGAGAGATAGTTTGATGCATTTTGATTATGTTTGTCCCGCCTATATGCTTCTCATTTGTTTCGAACCCCAGAACTGAGAGAATTGTTGTAGAAGATCGCTTTCAGGGAGTACGATTCTGAGCTGTTGGCTTCTTTGAACGAGCCGGAAACCAAGCTGCTCACGACCGTCAGATGCTGGAGTG